TTGCCCTCGTACTTATCACTATGATAACGCAAATGAATGACTGAGACCGGGGCAGGGAGCAACCTCGTCCCCAGGGCTTTTCCCTTTAAGTTGGGCAGGGAGGATACCCCTAGGAATTCTTCGAAGGTGTGTGCCGCCAGGTTTTCTAATCTTGACCCCCCAGCCATTTCAGGCCAAAATATGATAGAATGGTTAGACCTGAGATTTGAAACACGGCCACACCCTTTTTCAGACCTGGCTTGGAAAAATTGTTTTCAGGTAAACACAGTACCTCGTCCAAGTCAGGTGTTTTTTAAGCATTGTTTTTATTAATTGATATTATGTGACGCGGAATTGAATGTTCTTATTCAGTTGGAGCCGAAGAGACATCTTCGCTTACAATGGAACCCCACCCGATTTTAGGCCATGAATGAGAGGACCAAAACGGCTCACGCAACCGTGCACTTTATGGCGATTACACACCTACTTATATAGCTTATAGAGGGGGATAACTCCACCACCACAAACCCCTCCCCCTCCGGGTCGAGAGGCTCATTTTCCACTTCCTATTTTACAACAGGCGTTTGATAAAGAAAATTCGGCATAAAATTCTCCCAAAAAGAAAACATAACAACAGGACCTACTGAGTGTACTGAGTAAAATCACATAGCGGGCATCTTTATTTCATCTATTCTACGTTAGTTGTCAGATATCAGAGAGGAAACCTGCTATGCGTGTTATGCCTATATATCAAGAGCGTCATATCCTGGCTTTATTTCCGACCTTTTTTAAACTTATGGCTAGCAAATGATCTGATGACTCGTCTTTTGGTTACGGTTAATTCATTTGTAATAATACTACGGAAGAAAATGTCCATTAATGGTTGATTTTTATATGATTTTGCCTTTTTTATGCTCAGAATATCGATCAGCAAGACATGCAATGTAAGTAAAACCGGCTTTGATCATGACTTTGTGGACGAAATTTTGTGGTGTATTTATTCACTGAACGGAAGCTCAGTTATGGTATTCATTGCTTCTTTTGCATGTTTTTAATTGTTGTTTCTCACCACTCAGTTGAGCTTTCTCGGCTGACTATCGAGTCTGGATACTATTGAGGTAGGTTTGATCTCGGATCTCTTCTCTTGAACAAAAAATAGACCCAAAGTTTGTTGGTTTTCATTTTTTAAGTTTGATATTTAGCGTTGGCAGTATCCTATTGATCAAGAAGAAAGTGTGGAGTGTAAATTTGGTCGGAAACTTGGTCGCGCCACCATCCTCAGACTCAGCTGAATGCGAAATCAGTAAAAAACAAAACTCACTTCTATAACTTGACCTCGCTCATGTTTTCACTTCTCGATGATTATTGAAATGTCCTGAAGGAAAGGATCCAACAGATCAGCATTCTTGCCTCGTTTCATGATAAGACTATAAGTGGATATCTACTTGCCTTGGAACACGACTGGAAGTGTTCCTTTGATTTTCTCTGAGAAAGTCGGATCTTGTTTACTGTGGGTAATGTCGACCGAGATATGGAAAAGGTTCTCGAGTGTAACGCGGACCCGCGTATTTCACGAGAGACGAGCGCGCGAGTGTGAGAGGAGCATCTCTTGCTGTTTTGAACAATGTGCTCCAAAAATACCTTGAAAACATCACTTATCGTGCTATCAGCCCACTTATCGCTTTCGTAGAGCATCAAAAACACCGGTGCTCCGAGCTTTTGACCTTTGGTTGTCAGAAAATTAATTTGCGTGAGAGAACGTTGATATGAATTGATTTTCGCTAAACGAGACTTAATGGAGCCTTCATAAAGACACTTCGGGAGATACTATCTCTATTTCGTAAATCTTTTATGCCATATGTTTAGGAGAAGGCTTTCCTCGCAAATGCGAAGGTTATTACGTTCTGTATCGAAAGAGAGGTGGAAGGAGGTATGATAACCAGCAAATCAGCGTGAAATTCGTGTTTCGTTTGGCTAGAAGACCACACACCATTTTGCATGTTGAGCCATCCAGTGATGTATGGGTAGGAGAGATAAAGGGAAGCAGGGAATTATCCATGCTGACAGGGGAAGATGGCACGTGTAATCCATCTGCTTTCTAAGCGATTATCGGCGGGACGTGCATTGTGAGAGCCTGGAGTTATCTGTGAACCATCTACTTGTATCAAGAGTATAGTGTCCACTGGCCAGCTTTAAGTTAGAATATTTTCCATGTTTACACAAGCAAATTAATCAGTTTATACCTTAAGGCATAAAGAAGTTTGTAGAAGAAAAAACTTTATTCAATCTTGTAGACGAGTTTTTATAGCACACTAGCGCGCTGTTTGAAACTTGACTTTGCTTAGTTTTGATCACATTACAGTGCTTTTAAACCTTAATTTCAAACAGTACTGAGTGAAAGAACTGAAAGAGAAACGGCCTTTAATTGATAGCGAACATATCCTCGTGACACTGCATTTTGCTATCTTTTTCTTTCAAATAATCTGAGTGTACCAGTCCTTATTTATTACTGTTATTAGCTGTATATCCAAAAGCAAAAATGACTTCAAGACAAATTAAAATTTTTTTTGTAAATTACTGAAAATCAAATCCAGTAAGCTGAAAAAGTACTGCAGAAGAAGCTTTAGTTGAATGGTCGCACCATCGGATCCTTATCAGTTAGAACTTCCTTGTACATGTTTCAGTATTACTTAATTCTCTGATGAAGCACTTCCACGACTTCTTATTCAGTATACCCCGTTCCACGTTCTGTCATTTCTTTCATATTTTTCTGCCCCATTTCTTTCATACTTAGTTTTGGATCAAAGTAACATCTCAGAAACGACAATTTTCGGAAAAATATCTGTTCCCATCTGCTTATTTTCGAACATCTAAGAAATGGTAGGTTTTTAACGGATTTTTACTAAAAAGGTTAGAATTTTCGGGTTCGAAAAGGCCAGTTTTGATCCCTATAATTTTCGGATCACTAGACTTTGTGCCGAACTGGACGTTTCAAAAGTGGTTTTGAACTATAACATCTTTCTTTTACTACTAGTAATGGCCAACGTGTACATCAAAACATCCCAACTTGTTAGCTGTGAGAATTTTTTTTTTCTTTCAGTAAATCTTAGTCAAGATAAAGGAAGTGGTTTATAATACTCTTATAGGCTTTTTCCCCCTAAAATAGTTTTTAATTCTTCCGACAGCGCTAGCACCACAAGTGCATGAGTACCCTTAATCAACCGACTATTGTAAATAAATCTTCAGATTCCCAGAATTTTTCAATCACAGTTGAAATAAAAATTTCATCGAAAATAAACCAATTTAACAAAAGACGAACAAATAGTTTTTTTTATAACTCGAGTGCATTTAAGTCTTATAAAATGTTACGTATACTACATAACTGAGAAACAAAGGAGATGTTTGCCGGTGTTCTGCTGTTTATTTTTTCAATCGATTCTAAAAATATTGATAACTTTAGTATAGAGTAACGGACAGTTGATATCAAAAGAATATACTCTGAAACATGGTATTATTTTGTTTGTTTTTTAATGTTTATAAAATCAACAAGGCACTCGATACAAATCGTATTTCCACAGATTATGCAATGAAAAGACTCTTTGATCTTTCATCTTTTTGAAACTGGTAATAACAAATTGACCTAGAGAAAGTCTTTTATCAGAACTTAACTAGTAATTGTATAGTATAACTTCTTCACATTTGTTTAGCGGTTAATCTGAAAGAAATGAATCTCACTATAACAATGTCTTCAAGGGAAAGAGGTGTGTGTCCTTAAAATAAAGGAATTTTCAAGGCCATGGCGGCTTGTGAGCCTTCAAAAACGAATAATCTTAACAAGAAAGAACAATTTCTACGGAAACGTTTTATTGTAGAATAAACTAAAGCATGCCATTTCACTGAGAATTTTCACGAACCTGAACTCCCCCAAAAACTTGGCATCTACGTGGACCATAGAGCAGACGAAGTTCTTATCAAACCGACATGCCTCGCATTTTCTTGGAAGAGTTTTTTCTTGCGATACACTCATAGGCACGCAATGGATGTTTTGCATTTGAAATTTTTGCTACTTATCAAAACTTTTTTTAAGGAGTTGAAATAGAGAATTTTCAAGAAATAGAGGTAATTAAGCCAGTGCAAGAATCGTAAGGCAATCCATTGAGCTACTCTTTTTTGCATTTTTGGAAGAGAGCATTCTTGCAACTATATTTGAAAGCTAATATATAATGTTGCAATAAAGGTGATTTCAATTGAACTTCTCAATAGAATTATCGAACAGTTCAGAAGCACAATTCCAGTGTGGAACTTTTTATTTCCGTAGCTACGGACTATGCTTAATAATTGTCTTCAAGAGGGTGAGAAACGGTGTTGATCTTCATGCAAACAAAGCAAAAGTGTGCCTTTCTTATAAACATTCATGAACTGACTGTGTTGTGAAATCATTTTATCCTTGTATTGACAGATATCTCTTGAAAACAAAAAATGTCTGCTGCTGCGAATAATATATACAACTAGTACAAAGAGTTGAATACATAGAATGAGATGAAAATTAGTTATTGAAATATGTGGTCTACCTGCACTGTTAAATCTTTTCTAAAAAAATATACCCATCTAATAGAATTTTTTTTTCCGTATATATACACATTTGTTTCTTTTTCTGAGTTGTAGATAGACTCGTCAAGTATCTCCACTACAAATAAAAACTACCTACTAATACTTTTCTTCTTGTAATCACCACCTTTTTTATCTTGCTTAAGGTTGCCCCAGTCTTACTTCCAAAAATCCTCTTGGACCTAGGTCTAGTTGTTGGTGCGAGTACTGATGATTGGCGAACACGAACGAATTCTCAATCTTTGGCATGTGATAAAGATGTTCGACTAACAGCTTATGCTACTCGCGACAACTAAGCCTTTCACCAATCCGAGAGTTTTCTGATCTGCTTGTCTAGCGGACACGAATACTTCATATTAGTTGTTACCAGATAACAGGGCAGGTATCCTGTTTATAAGATCTTTTGCTCGTCGTCAGTAACAAGCGTGAAAATGAGTCGAGGCAGCACAGGAATGATAGCACTGGCATGCAAATGAAGTCCACATCTCTGCGGCACCACCGCATCCGCTTGTAAAAGCGTTGGGGCTCACCGGTGTGCATAAATGTTCAGGTCTCTGATAGTGAAGAGATGGTTCTTGATGAGTAGGGCCGCGACAGTAGTGCACAACATTTCTAGACGCTGAGAACGATCCTATTAAGAAGGAAAGAAAAATGATCAGTCCTGCTTAAGTTAACAGCTTTTATTATGAACAGTTACATCAAGTCTTCTCTTAAAAGAAAATGTTCTAACCTCTTCCAAAACAAAGACATATCTCATCAGATTGTACTTCACTTACCTCAGCGCAAAAAATAAAAAGAGGGCAGAAGGTTCTGCTGCGTAACAGCGTACGTAAGATTTGCCTCAGTGTCAAACCAACGAAGGAAGTGTTAAGTGGTCTTACTACTATGATTTATTAGCTGGCCTGAACTCAAGAGTAAGCTTGGACAAGACCGTTTAGTGTCTTTAGTCGACAAGGGCTACGATTGCGCTGATTGCTTTAATTGTCGTCCTCGAGTTGGTGACAGTGCCATGATTAATTTTTTCAACTTAAATATTTTTTTTCCCCGTTTATTAAACTGAACAACTCAGCCTTGTCATCGCTTTTTCGTGTTGATGCATAGTTCGTACGTCGAGACTTCAAACTTCCCTACTAAAACAACAATTCACCACCCAAAACTTGCCAGATTTCAATGAAAATACAGATCAACAGCACGGAAAGGCATAACTTTGAAAAAGCTCTCTTTTGAGTTGCCAAAGATGTAGTAATTTCAACTACAGTTGAACTCTACAACGGCCACCTTGGGGACAGAGGAAAGTGGCCATTGTAAATAGGTGGCCGACGTTTAGAGAGGTTTAAACAAGAATCAATGTATGGGTTCTTTGTCCGCCAGGACAAAAAAACAGACTGAGTGTCCGTTGTAGAAAGGTGGCTGTTGACGGAGGTTCGATCGTACTAGGCACGTTTTAACTCTGTTGGTCCAGAACCAAGTTAAGTACGTTTAACTGTTTCTCTGAGCCACGATCCTATTCGGTTCTGTGAGAATGATTGATTCACCTACTCATTGCAAGTCACACTCATTCATGTGTATGCTTGAGTATTGTTTTTTTTTATGCGTTTCGAGCCCACTTTCATGATCTCAACAACCTAGACAGACAGGCTTCAGTTATTCGGTATCATTTGATATATAACGAAACATTTATTTAAAGACAACTGGCAAAACTAAGGAAATAAACAACTAAGGAAAATACAACTCGAGAATTCGCTAAAAACGCCTGATAAATTATAATAAGATGGTAACCAACGTTTATGTAAATTCTTCTTTTCGTCATCAACCTGGGTTTTAGATCAGATCTACGACGATCTGCGAACAAGCCGGGTCCTTTTTCCTGAACTGATCATCGCAAAATTTGCATGGACAATCCACAAATTACAATATTAAATTTAGGTAGCAAGTAAGAATTAATAGTATAGTATAACTGTATGACTGGATGCAGAAAAAGACCCACATTATGGCAAACAAATGGCCTTTCTAAAACAAATTGTTCTTGGTCTTGCTGCCTACATGTTAATCCTGCAAATGAAGTGCACAATAGGTTCTTTTTTTTGCATGCTGGACGCAATCACGATTTTTGACATAGATGGAATTTATGAATGATCCCTTCAGCACATTTTTCACTTGGCGACCCTGCTGTGAGCGTTCAGTCATCAAATCAAGAGAATTCAGTTTATTTTAAGGTTTAAAGTTTGAGATTCGATGCGTAAACATTTCATTCACATCCGATCTAGGCTGATTATTCCACTTCACCCTTGTTCCCCTACGTATACCGCCACCATTAAACTCTAAACTTACGTGTTTTGCTAGAAAAACGATTTAAGGACCACAGTTCGGATGCCATGTAACTTTTCATCAAAATTAGTTTCATAGATACCTGTTAGTGTTCTTGTTACTGCAGTCTGACTTCACTTGGTTAACTTCAAAGCTCAGTTGCGAGTTGGCTATATATGAAACCTCTTACGACATAAGTATTGTACGAAGGTCAATTCAGTTTTAGGCATTGTTGGAAGCTATTTTTGAAAAAGAAACTAAAAATTAAAGCGAACATATCAGATAGTTCTTATTCTTCCTTTTGATCTCGAAGACTTGTTCTCTAACAAACGTCTAAGTTTGTTCATTGATCTTGTCCAGCTTACCATCTCGGCATACCCGAACATAGAACTGGCCTGTTTTATTTTGCTTCAACTACTTATTTTATTTTATTTTGTATCATTTTGGCCATTGTTTGCGCCTATTATTCTTTAGATGATTTTTGTTCTTATACAGAATCCATGCCAAAAAAAGATTACTTTAAAACATTTATACAGAGCGGGAGGGTCTTGATTGCAGCTGATAGAATGTGCTGGAAGAACTACCACTGGGAACTTGCTACGACTCACTTTCAGCGTGGTTAATCAACTACTTTTAGCAAACTCAGTTTAGTGCAATCACACTATTCATGAAAAAAGGTTATTTAACTATTCTGTGGCCGCAAATTACAAACATATTGGATGAATATAATTGTGTAAATAAAATTGCCAGAATTGTTGGCTCCGGTTTCCTTTAAGTCCTTTGGTTTCGAGTACGCCCATTCTATTCAGAGGTTAATACTGTTCAGTATGCATCTTTCAGTAAGGCGTGTGCCACAGGAATGGAAAAGAGGCCACAGTTTACAAAATAGCATTTAACACGTTGGATATTGATACAAAACGGTGCGGGAAATATACGTCAAAACTACATCTGAAATTAGAGCTTTTAAGGCGATGCCACTTTGTGCTAGAAGTACGCGCAAAATAATTTTTCTTGAGATGTAAACTGTTGGACTTTCTTATGAATTACCAACAACATGTAAATCTTCACTCGAGTTTACATACGGAAAAAGACTATTCAATAGGGTCAAGTGTGTTTGAATTTTATTCGAATTATTTTTTTACACGACGCTTTAAAATGGTATGTTCACTGTACGAACATCCTCCGCCTACACCTTTACCACGTCGCTGGGTATCTAATCTTCACTGAATTTGGCCACCAAAAAAAGTGTGCTCTGATTTGAAATATGTAATTATTGCAGAAATATTGCCTTGTTAATGAATTAAACTGCTTTGTGATTTGAACAAGTTTACGATAAATGCAGACTGTTTACCTAGTGAGATTCTTTGTGACGGTTCCCCTTATGACCGAATGATCAAACGCGCATTTGGTTTAGACGGGATTGGAAACAATTTCACAATCAACATAACACTTATGCTCGCACAAATGACTGAGCCCACTCCCGGAAAAAGTAAACTTAAAACGAAACACCGGAAATTTCAATTCACTATTCAACTTACCAATGTTTGGATTAAGCACACTTGTAACAGGAAATGTTTCACTCGTTCTTCTCGCGCGCGCTCTGTCCTTTGCCCTCGTCTTTTCGTCCGCTAAAATGCTGTCGATAGAGAAGGATCCTTGAAACTGTTTGGGAGCAGCAGGATTGTGCAAACCATGTACGACGCCAGAGTGCGCTCTGACGGCTTCAAAAGGAGCGGGCATCATTAGAATGTTTCTTTGCATATCGTGCATCCCAAACTCTCTAACGTCGTTTCGCGGCGAAATCTGCCCTGATAGAATGTTGTGGCCTAACTCATTTCTCTCATCTCTTCTTTTGGGTTTTCTTCTTCTTCTTCTCCTGAACGTCCCATCAGCTAAGAGATAATCGTGCAGAGAACTAACTGTCCAGTAATTATCCTTGCCCCAAGGACGCGCGGGGTCGCGCAGAATCTTAACAAAACACTTGTTGAACGACAAGTTATGCCGCACGGAATTTTTCCATCCCTGGTACGGGCCTCGAAAAAAGGCATAGTGCTGAACCAAATACTCGTTGATCTCCGTGAGTGTCAGTCTCTTTCCTGGCGAGTTTAAAATCGCGGTTGCGATGAGCGCGATGTATGAGTGAGGAGGCTTTAAACGTTCAGTTTTGGACTCAAGAGATGGATCCTTTCTTTGTCTGGTTGAGGACGTTTCTAAGCCATCGCTGTTGAGTTCTTCCATGGCGCACTAACGATTAGCACTTCTTAAACACTCGACTTTCGGTCAGTCTCAGAATCTACTTTTCTCCTTCCTAGTTATGGAAAATCCTGCTGCAACTAAGTGATCAGCGGGCTCCAAAGTTACCTCTACACCACCACCCACAAAGAATCAATTAATGTTTACAAACGTTCAACCCTGATCAATTAGGCAAACTATTAAACAATGTACAGAGTAAAGCGGATTTAAACGCAACACTTTAACGAAGCCGATACAGCCTCTCAGGTGTATATAAGACGTCTCTTGGCACTCTGCGAGCGAGTTTCAAGTGGACGTTAAAATCCCTCTCGACAGACGTTTTACTCGTGTGCTTCGTGCTCCTCGCGCAGTGACGTTTGCGTCTGTCCTGCGTAAGCCAATCTTTTTACGTGGATAAGCCGTTCCAACTTTGGTTATCTCAGGTAGATCAATTGCTGTATGCTCTGATTTCGAGATAATTCGATCGGCGCCATGGTGCGAAACTGGTTTTTTTTGTTTTTAGTGCTAAACTGATCCCGGTAGCAATTCATCTTAATTAGTGTCAGTAAAAAGATTGTAGGCGACAACGACTTTCTTGAAAAGAGCGATATTTCAGCATTTCTCTTGACTATTGGCGCTCAAATGCTTGTTTAAGCTTCTTTATTGATTCAGGTAAAATATATTACACTCCCAAACCGAGACAAGTCTGACAAGTGTACTTATTCTGCGCTCAAAAGACTCGGGGTCGGTTTTAGACCTACACCTTGGGCTCCGTCAGCCTCGCACTTTGGCAAATCCAGCAAAGAGGTGCTAACCCGTTTAAAATCTTTAAACAAACATGTCCCTCAAGAACAAACGCCTGCAGAACGCTAAATACGTAACTTAGTATAAGCAGTATGTTAATGTCAAGTGAGCGAGGTTGAAAGACGTTCACGCAAGTTTACATTCTTGAAGAGCCGACTGGTTGGATCATGATTATGATGAATAAAACCTTTCCGCTTTCCGTCGGCAAATGAGTTTAAACAAACGTGACGCGCCATTAAAAAATATCATAAACTACAGCTTTTGTTATAGAAAAGGGGAGTTCTGTTTGCTTTTTCCGTTCTCGCGCACAGTTTGATTAACTTAAGGTTGGAGTGCACGCCACGGCGACTGGACACGCGTGACTCGCAGGACTAGCGCGAAGCTCCGTGAATGCAGGGTAAACTTTCAACAAGATTTGGAATAAGTAAAAAGTTTCTTTTTGTTTTTGTTGTTAGTTTTTCATACTTCGCGGTATTAATAGCCTCAATCAGGCCTTATCAACCAATTACAGTCAACTAGGCCAGATGCCTCGGGGAAAATCGTTTGGCCATACTTGGCAAGTCTGTTTACTTGAAGAGCAAGAATCATGTAATTAAGAGCTTTTTTAAACGATGATTTGAACGTACACAATCATTGAAAATCATCCCCTGTACAATGTGGCTGCTTTCAAGAATTGTTCAAGTAGCAGAAAACAACTGGTCATAAATCTCGCATGCCTAGATTTGACATGATGAAATACCTCCCGATATTCTTTGTTTGAACGCTATCTTCTCGAGATGTGCACAAGATAAAGTCAAGAAACTCGAGATGTGGGGTAGAAATTATCGCTATAAGCAAAACGATCTATCAGTGTCATCCCGAAAATTGCTCTCAGCTGGAAGTTTTCCTTTGTGTTTCTCCGCTTTCCTCCGTTCTGTTAGTTTAGAATTCATTTATCCACGAACGATCTTTTGAAGAATTTTTGTTTAGCTTTTTCCAACCTGAACAAATTTGGTGCTTTGCGGGATGTAGCTTTTCACCAATGAAAATTTGACAGCCCCAACGTTTTTCTCAGCTGAGATTTCCAGAGTTTCATGGGACCTGGATTACTTTTTAATTATAATTGATCAAAAATAAGTTCATTTTCACAACTAATAATATATACAGTGTACTGAACACCTAAGGGCAGATTCAGTTAAACGCGGAAACTAAAGGACAGCGTCGAAGTACGAAAGAAAAATATACGCCAAGAATTATCAATTATACCCTATGAATTTAGAAGAAATACTCTTATCTCGAGGCAAGATGACATGCTGTTTGCAGAAAGGATTGAAAAAAGCCGAGAGAGGTTGATCGGAGGTATTTTATTGCGTTTTTTTAAAAAGTGAACTCGAACACGCTGTAAGTTCTTACACCTTTAACTCTGTCCGTGCTTCAAAAGAGGGTTATCCTTAAAAGTGCCATATCTTTCGGGTACGCTTGCTCTTTGTTTAGACGCCTTTTCATCATAGATTATCCTTCTCCCTCCCAAATGATTACACTGATGAATCTAATCACAGACAACCTGTCTCCGAAAGTGAAGTTAATTCGAGAGGCTATTTAATTAAGGACTGATATCTTAAACTTGTGGTGGGCAGTTATGTCTGAATAGGCTGGAAAAATTCACTGATCTCGTCAGATGATGTCCGCCATTTTGGGCGCGATGAAGAGAGTTTCGAGCCTTTTCGTGACGCGGAAAATGGTGGCTTTTTAAATAGTGATCTGTAAGTTTATCATGAGCACAAATAAAAAGCAAACACAAATGGAAAGGAGAGAAAACAAAGATTCTTTACACCGCTGATAAGTTGTTCAGAGATCTGCGTCCAGATGAAGATGAAAAACGCATCAAATATAAAGTTCTTCAGCGCGTTTCAAGAGCTGCAGTTTTCTACTTACGAGTTTTGTCTTTAAACAAGCACGGATATGCAAAAAGAGTGGCGTTGAGCCGCAGTTTCACAGAGCCAGTTTCGTGCTTTGCATTCTATCAGCAAATGCGGTAATTAATTGCTTAGTCGTATCTTGATCATACGGGTTTGGGAACAAGAGATCTGCACTTGCACAAATAAACCCGCCTATTCTAACAGCACATTGAGATATATTAGAATACAGAATTGCTTAAATTTTTACTTGTAGAGAAGCTGACCAAGAAACTTGCCGCAAATACACCTGCCTGCAATAAATGTTAGTTTATGTTTGATAGAGCTGATAATTTCAGTTGTTTTTGGAATTTAAAACATTCGAAAAAAAAAAGAAATATTACTTCATCTTCGGAGTAAACTCTGAATAACGTTATCTCAAGCCGTTGTCTCACACTAAGTAGTTGTTACTTTCAAAAAGGTTGAAAAATCACAGTTTCGTCAGGAGCGCGATGATTTGAAATGTGCTTGAAGTGTCATGTTTGGTTGAGAGACTAGGCATCTCCCACATTACTTGAAACGTTACATAAACGAAAATAGACTCGTTTAGCTTCAAATATTCAGTGAAATGCGCACGCTATGAATGGTCAGAACAAGTATTTTATACTTTCACTGTTAGAATAACTACGGATTCTGCCTGCGCGCAATGCTTGTATTCTCGTACCACCCCAGGGCATTACAGACAATCGTGTGGAAGTCTAGGGAGCTGGAGTCCTTTTGCCTATTTAAGCCATGATTTCAGTCTCTTTTGTCAAGTAACCCCGTTCCGCAATGCTTGTATTCTCGTACCACCCCAGGGCATTACAGACAATCGTGTGAAAGTCTCGGGAGCTGGAGTCCTTGTGCCTATTTAAGCCATGATTTCAGTCTCTTTTGTCAAGTAACCCCGTTCTTAGCCGGGGTTATAATTTTTGACCCTCCCACCTCCCCTTTGGCGACGCGTATCTCCCACTCCGTTCTCTGTCTTACGACCCTCTGCCTTTGCAAAATCTCGCTTCCCATAACTTAGTTTCGCGAAGGCAGTAAGTGGTTGTTATGACAGTGAAAATGGTTTACTATCTCCATATAAAGCCCACTGCCTTCGTCCCGTGCTGTTTTTTCGAGTTATATAGGCAAGAAACAAACGTCGTTAATCTGACGAGGGCGCGCAATTTACCAAAAACGAAGTTCTACCACTTTATTACATTTTGAAATGCAGAATTTGTGTCTGGCTGCAATTGAGGGCGGTTTGTTAAAAAGCCAAAATAGCTTTTACATCTCATTTTGTATTGAAATGACAATATATAGAACAAAAATGGTGAAATTTAAAAAAATCATGGGATTTAGAACATGAATGACGCGAATGAAGGAATAAATCACACTGCTGAGAGCCAATCAGATTGCACGGATAGCCAGTGATTTCAAAGTGGATGTAATAAAGGCAAGAAAGAAACGTCGGTAATCTGACGAGGGCGCGCAATTTAAGGCTAATTTAATGCAGTGTGTCTGGCTGCAATTAGGGCTGTCACAATAGAGTACTAAAGTGATGACGTCATAAAAACCCTTCTAATTTTTTTGGGTCGACCCCAAAAAAAATTTTGAAGGGTTTACTCAGAAAACTCCATACAAACCCTATGGAGTTTTGTAAGCATAACTGGGCTACGATCTCAGAGACAATTTGCCCCCAAATGCTCATTTTTGGCAAGTAGGCCTCTTGGGCATTGTCCTTTCAGAATATCCTGACAAATCCCATAATTTCAGAAATTTCATTTTATGACGTCACACTTTAGTACTCTATGGGGTTAACAGTCAGTCAGACGGTCAACGGTAAGTCTACCCTGGGTTCCAGAGGATATTTTTTCGTATCAATAATGATGATTCGCGGCGAACAGACCTCCTGGAGCCAGGGTAGTGAGTCAGATGGTCAGGAGATTTCCGATCCAGTGGAAGTAGCCGCTTTGCAGCTACTTCTCTAGTATATGGTCCGATCTTCGCAAAGAAAATACGGCCTTTAACCAGGCAATCAAAATGAAACACCCGAAAGCAATCCTGACCTTGTTGCACGCGGTTTCCCGCGCTTTTTAGGGCCGGCTGCAGTTATTTACTTTTGCCTCTGATTGGTTAAAAATGAATGTCTGACTGACTCCCCTACGATACGACAATCGAGAATCGAGTTCGCTTTCCTGTGCCTTTTCTGGGTCATTCAGACAGGATATTGGCCAGATTTCAACTTGTTAAGTTTTTATACTAGAAATATATTTATTAATGAAAAACTTGACCGATTTTCCTAAAACGGTGGAAACCGGTGTGGATCCGCGCCTGGATCTTTCGTTAAAGTTATTTCCTCTTCCGGTACTTCAGCTCTATTGGGTGGAACCTTCTTCTTCTTCTTCTTCTTCTTCTTCTTCTTCTTCTTATTATTATTATTATTGTTATTATTATTATTATTATTACTACTACTATTATTATTATTATTATTGTTGTTGTTATTATTATGATTATTATCGTTATTAAACAGCTAGTGACACGAGGAAATTATACTGGAGAAGTATTTGATGCGGCGGCTTTTTAAAAGAACCGATTGCTTGGTCAAATTTAACTGTCTGTGTCGAAACTGTCCGTCCGCGGAGAAAGATCTCTCTTTAACTGATGGCTGAAAACGAGTGTTTTTTTTTTTTCAAGATTGAAAGTGGTTGCTAAAAAATCGATAAAAATCTAACTCATCTGATATGCGGACCAGTATGCAAATGTAAGGTGAGCGGATTGACACAGGTCATTTGCATAATCTTGGTGCGTGACTCTAATCACTGAATAGTGTCGAGTTCTTTCTTGTCTCGTTGACTCGCGGTCTTCCTTGTCCGCTTTGATCGTTCACCGTTTTTTTTGTAGCTTCAATTACAATACGTTGTTTTGTCTCAGTCGGCGAGAAAAATGTCAAAGCTTGTTGTTCTCCAGAACTATTTTCTTTTGTGGATATATTTATTACATATTTGTTGCGACGTTAGCAGACACTTTCATGTCTCAGCCAAAACAACGGACGGTTCACTTGGCCTTGAGGAAGTTACTTTCCCCCCAGTTTTTGTTCCATCCAGCGATCCTACTGTTCCAGCTGGACATCTTCAAATGTTTGGCCTACAGCGACCGCCAAACGGACCCGTGGTGGAGTACAACACAGTGCTAAAACCACAACAGTTCTGGGAAACTCACGTTAGTCAAAACCGACCGCTCGTGTTCCGTCAGGCGCTTGTTGATTCACCAGCGCTGAAGAAATGGACAGACGAATACTTGAAGGAAAAGTACGGCGATTTAGATGTATTAACTGAGCTAAAAACTGAGAATAGAACCCACGGAATGACTTCGCGTATGTTGTTGGGAGATTTTATTGACGTTTACGCGGATAAAAATCTTTATGTGGTCACAGTGTTACCAGATCCAATGAGGCAAGATCTGCCGGTGGGTTGATGCTTTTTCTTTGCAAAATGTGTTTGTGTCTTGAAAAGTGTTAACGAATAAGCTCTCGTAGCTTGAAAAGCATGCGTTTGGGGGTGAGTTAGTTGAAAAAACTCTCAACAAATTCGCGGGGACGCGTGTAAGCAGGCCAGAGGTGGAAAGTTCATTAGAAACTGCATTATATATGTACGAATATACCGTAGATAGGATTATTTTATTTTTTATTAAAAAATGCTGACTTCCATGAATGAGAGAGAGGAACAAAATACAAAGCGGAAATTCAATGGGAAAGTACGGCCAACTCGCCTGAGCGGTCTTGTCAAGGCAGTGCGTTACTATTAGCGCAACACAGCGTTTCAATTCTGGGGCAATGTTGTCACCATGTTGTTCTTTCTTTTGTTTCTCGTGCGTACAATTAACATAAATGAATTTCAACTTGACCTGAACTTTCCAGCCACACCATCTGTACCCAGAGTGCCAGAGTAAGCCTTGGACAGGGTTGATTTCGAGGTGCCAGGGTACATTACATAACGGTGTGCCTGCTTTTATAGGATACTGATCAGGCCCTAAATTTGCCTACTTGTAGCCGCACCCTCACCCCACAAAGGAAAAACGGCAACTAACCCTAACCCTCAAAAGATCAGTTTAAATATGAATTGAACGAGACAGGGACTTTAAAAAGTCTGAATGAAATGAGCAGACACCTAACCGATACTTCTTCAAGCAATTGTGTCCTCTCAACCCACTTTACCAAATAAAGACAACACAAACTCTTCGCTTTATATTCATAATTTTGTTGATTTTGCCGCTTCTGAAATAAGCCTGACTTACTCAGAGTGACTTGGTACCTTCTGAAAACACGAGACTATGTGAAAGACAAGCCTCTGAATTGATATGAAAAAGTTGTTCTTTTTAGGTGCTTCCCTGCATCATGTGTGGCACTTTTAAAGACTTCTTACATGAACTAAACTTCTGGATGAGCTCAGGAGGAACGCGTTCCGTAATCCATTTTGATGCAGACCATAATGTTCATTGTCTGATCGCGGGCCGGAAAGACTTTATGATGATTAATCAGGAGTTTTCTAAATATCTGAATGTCACGCAGGTAAGAGTTAGACCAAACAACTTTACTTGTGCATCGCTATTTTGACAGAAGTCTCAGCCCTGTTTTCTTAACCTATTAAATTGCTTTCTTCCTGTGCAGCTAATGAAGTGAAAGAAAACAATTTGATTGGTTTAGCGAACTGAACAGAACCTTACCGTTAGATCCGGTTTCCGGCTATGTTCAAGTTAAAAGCGGTGTGCCAAAACTGAGGACATAATTGGTGGCTCCGACTGGGTAACTTCTTTTGCCATTTGAACAACAACAAAAAAAGATTTTTAAGAGAAAGTTAGATGTTTAAAGTGGTCTGTTGTTTAAGATTTTCAAGAACTATATTCTGTACGGCTTTACATTGCCCGGGTCTCTTATATTTTTAAAATTTTGATGAGTTTCAGCCTCGACGCTCTGATAAAAAATTGTACAAATTGCCGACTGCACTTTCAAACTTAGCGAAATAGTGCACATCTACACCAGCAACAAGCAACGTTTTTTTCTTATCTTTTCAGCCTCCACAGTTTGGTTCAGGTTTCTCTATCGCGAATCCAGATGCGATTGACTTAAATCTTTTTCCGGATATTTCAAAAGTGGAATGGACTTACAGCACTTTGGGTCCAGGTGACTGTATCTATATTCCCTCAGGTAAGTATGCATTATTTAGTCTCAACTGTGTTTTCCTTTCAGTTTCGTCAAACCAACACCAAAGCTTTTACTCTACTCTGTCCAGTCAGACTCAAAATTCTGACCAGAGCCCGATGCACTTAAATTTTCCCGGTTTCTTGCCCTATTATAAAAATGATATACGATAGTCAGTGTTCAAAAACATGACAATGCAATTTTATCGGCCGCATTCTGTATACCAGAGGGCGCGCGAATTCGTCGAACAGAAGGATTTAACGCAATTGCCATTTTTCATATTAAGAAAACAAAGCCAATGTACTTCATACGTTTCCAGGGCACATTTGCGATTTAGTAAGTGTTTTTTGGTGTTGTGAAAGCTGTTGTTGTTTAGGTATGTTGTTATGTGGGTATTACTTAGTTTCTTTTCAGTAGTTTTGGATCGCTCCCTTGTCCGTGCTCGCCAGCACCAAGGTTCCCGACTTAGTCAGGTCTCCCCGATTTTATTCTCTTTTGAGGAGCGTGGCCTTCCACAGCCAGTTTATAAAACCAAATCGTTGTTGGAAAGTGATAACAAGACCACATCTTGTCGCTACAAGAAGATTTATATGAATTTAACTCTCACTTTATGATGGTGGTACAGTAAATACTCGCTAATAAGAACCTCCTTTTTGAGAAAAAAGCAAAATAGGTTCTTTTATTTTGGGTTACTTATTGGCGATTTGGGCTGAGTAGGTTCTTAATTTGGTTCTTAATTTTTGTGAGGGGGATAACAGATTGTCGATTACCAAGAAAAATAAATAAGCTTTATTTATTCACAATTTTATTATTTTAACCCTAACAAGACTGATTACCACATTTATATACAGTTAACTTGTCGTTTATCATAATAACCCACATATAAGAACCTGCTTGATCTTGCTGGGCTAAACAGGCTCTTGTATTTTTGGGTACAAAGTGTGGCAAGCTTCTGCCAGCTGTTTACTGTACCACGCAAGGTAGGAGTTTTTTTCCCGTGTTAAGTTAGTACAGGTGTGTAATTTGAAATTTCTGCCATTTTACTGTCAGGCTATATACACCAAGTGCGCTCATATAAAGGTAACCGAACTATTTCCGCTACAATGCTGTTTACGGCTTCGATAGACAACAGTTTTGATAACAGCAGCTGCGAGAATGAGACCTATGAGTACCGTCCTCTCAGCGAAGCTAACGTGCATTGGACTTACAAGAAAGGAGACAAGACTATTGATATGGGCTATCAAAATGTTGAGACGTTCAGGCAGAGTATACTGGCCTCATTTGAAGTGAGTAGCCATCATACAGAGCAGTTAGGGACAGACCATTAGAAAAGTTATGGGGGCGGGCGAAGTACAAAAAAAAATATTCGCCCAAGGGAAAATTAAGTGAAAAAAATTCTCGCTCGCCAATTAATCCCAAAAAATATTCATGCTATGGCCTAAAAAAAATTCATACAAGGAATTTGATAACGAAAAATGATTCCTGCGGCTAGAAAATTCCCCTGTGGCTACCAGTACCGTAAATCCTCTATTAAGCCCACTTTCTAAGAAGCCCTCTTTTTTTAGGGGAAGAAAGTTAATAAGTCCCCCCCCGCCCTCTCCTCCCCCTTGTTTCTCTTCACCAATAAATGATAGACTGTATTAATCTTTTACGACTGTAAGACTTTGTGTGGACTGATTCGGAATGGTTTATTCACCAGCTGGAAGTACAGATTTGGTTTTGATTCCCGGCTGGTATGACCTCCAACCGCTGTACTTGAGCTTCTCCACTTCATTCTAGTTTTTTATTTTTTTATTTTTTTTTTATGGAGAACTGACACCATCCTCTTTGCTAAGTTAACTTAGCCCTCCCCCGTCTCTATTAAGCCCCCTTCAAATGTGTTTGAAATAAATAACTCCCGGGGGAGCTTAATAGAAGGATTTATGGTAGCTTCATTTCCCACAGAATGAAAAGTTCCTGACTGAGGAGCGATTTAAGGAAATCATAGAGGACATGTTTGAAATGGACGAACACGATTTACAAGCGATACAAAGAGACACCAATAAAATCTACCGAGAGTTCCTGGACCCAAGTGGCAAAGGCTACGTTACTCGGGAAGAAATCAAAGCTCTTTCGCAGGACACTTTGAAAGAGATAGCTCGGCGTACGGAACCGCCTCACGGCCCTGTTGCCGGAGCTCCTGACGACAGAGGTGGTGCGTACAAGGCCAGTTTGGAGAAAGATGCTGACCAAAATGAGCAAGAAATTGAGGTTGAAGGAAAGGACGAATTATAAAGAATAGTATCTTAAAATGTAAAAATAATTGCAATAGCATAAAAAGTAACCAAGACACCTTAGACCTAGGCCAAACGTCTAACTTTTCATGAGACGAACCAATCTTAGTGACGTGAGTTAAGTTCATGAAAATTTCGATGTCTGGCTCAGTTAAGTTCATCTTAATGAATTTGGATCGTCCAACACGTTCTATTCGTCTGTACACAGGCTAATTGATATGATTCTCATGCAAATAACACTCTTTTGCACGTAACCTCGTTTTGGAGGCGAGAGTTTTTGGAAGTCGAAAATGGCGGTCTATTTTCGTGAATTTTGATCCCGTATCAATGTGTCACGAGAAAAGAAACCTAGCCTGTGAACGCAAAAGTATTTCCGGTCGTCGCTTTTCTCTACCCGAAAAGTTACTTTCCGGGTGAAGAGAAGTCGACGCGTTCGCAGGCTAAAAGAAACCACCGCGAAAAGTTACTGTTTTCATGCATGCTGGTTTAAAGAGTGTGGTTTTTAAGTTATAAAATGTTAAATCTGGTTTCGATATCACCATTATGAAAAAGGAAACTGAAGGTTTTTTCTGCCAAAGAAAACACAGTTATATCATTGAAACCGGGGACTTGTTCCCAATATTTAATGATTCGCGAAAATTTGTTCATACTTAACGGAAAAAAGGATCGGTAATCCACGAAATTAAATTCCCGCAAAAATTTAACGCCATAAGGTATTTTGTATTTAAATTACATCAAATTAAAATAATAAAAATATAGCGAGTAAAATATTTATAACAGTCAATAAAATAATCAGTAAACTTTAATGTGGCCCCAAAGATACGTTCTGTATTTAAAAGGGACCTTAAGATCCGACAACGGCAGCACTGATGAAAACGTCGGAGAAAAGTAGTATTGGCTTTTTTTCTAACTTTTTCTCAATTATTCCAAGTCACCCAGTTACTTAGAGTAGGCCAGTAAAATAGGTAGGGGCTGAAGAGAGGGGACCTCGTCATGACTACGTCCGAGATAAAACAGAGATGGTAAATTTTTTCGCCTTGTCCATCCCGTTGTCGCCTAAAGTTACACGTTTCCGGAGATTTGTTTCGCATCCACACGTAGCGTATTCGAATCATTTTCGCGGTTAGCCTGTTCCAGGCTTTTAGATCGTGTGGTCAGCGCAAAGAGACGTCAGCAGAAAACAAACAACGAGGGCGTGGGGTAGGGGTGCATGAGAGCGAGGGAACGGCCGGAAATACGATAGCGACCCTTACCGAGCATGCGTCATGCTAGAAGTTCGCAAATGATGACGCATAAAATCATCGTATTCGAAAACCTCCGTTTTCGGTCTGCTCACATTTAAGTAATGGTCCAGATAAGAAGGAAAGGGCCAAAACGCAGTGAACACGTCGGAATGCAAAAAGGTGCTAACTTTACTATTGTCTCTACTAAGGTTCTGATTGGTTTAAACATCAAATTTTACGAAATCTTCGCAAAGCAGCATGTATATTAATCCCTTTTTTTCTATCCAACTTCCTTATAACAAAATCTCGTCTGAGTCTAAGTAACACAGAAATCGTATGTGCGGATCATGTAAAATTGTGAACATTTCTTGGCCATTGTTTGCAACTCTTGTGATTGGTCGAAATGTTTTAACACAAAAATACACCCTTTAAAAGTGGAGTTTAAATACATTTTCTTTCGTAAACAGCCTTTTTGTAGATTTATGAACTCTCTGCGTAAAAATGAAAACATTTCTATGTGAGGAAAGCGTATTGCGCCACAACAATAGAAATTGCTTTCCTTCTTACCTGGATCATTACTTAAACAAGAATCACGGGTTATAAAAAATCTCCACTCTGGTGAGCGTTTTTAAAAAGATGCATTTTCGGTGACCTTTTTTACCGGATAGGTGTGGATGGTAGGCCAAACCGGAGAAAAAAATCTCCTTTTTCAAACAAAAAATTAAACCGAAAGGTGTGGACTAGGCCTTGGAATTTAGTCAGTTCACGTCGTATTTTACCCTGCAGCTTGTCCCAGAGGTTTATCTTGAAATTTTTCTTCGCGAAAGAGAGACCGAGCCGTTATCGCCGCTTCGCGGCTCGCTCACTCTTTCGCGAAGAAAAATTTCAAGAAAAACCTCTGGGACCAGGGTACGGTGGTCTTATTCGTTCAAGGACGGCAAAGTAACGCGCAAAGTTGTTGCTTTTCTTATTTGACATATTGTATTCTACACCGAGTCCCGTTGCCGTCGTTGTTTCGTAAGGTCCCTAACAGCAGCAGCAGTTGTGAAAGTAGCAAGTGCTCTCTCTCAAGTCATAAATTACAGTGCCATGTGGGAAAAAAATATCATGTAACTCTTTCCAGAGCTTCTTACAGTGAATTAAACCGCAGTGGCGGATGCAGACCTTCAGGTAAGGAGCGGTTTTCGGCCCTTCGGGCCTCATTTTGGTCTAAAAATAAGCGGGGGAGGGGGGGGCGGGCTCTCCGGGCCCCTCCCCTGGATCCGACACTGAACTGGGACTAAAAGTCTCTGTTCTAGGTTACTGCGCCCATCGTTAGGCTTAGAGAAAAGGATGTCCTGTCTCTGGAGAAGCGCGGGAGAACCTTATGAAAACTAGGAAAGACCTCTTGGGTTGAGGTATCTTATGGGCTTTTAGGGTCACGTGACCGTGTGCCGGAGAAGGGAAGAACAGGAAGTACGCGAGGCCCGTGACAGATGGAAATTTTCGACACAGCAGTATCACCGTTCGACGACCTTTTATTTAAATAACGGTTTTCTATGGGAGTTACAAGGAAAGTACAAGAATTAAATACAACTAGAATCCCATAAAACCTCCACACAATGTATGACCATTTTCCAGAACTGTCTAAATACTAAATACTAGGTGCCTTACCCAGACAGACAGACAAAAGCGGCCGTAAGTAACTTCTGATAAAATGCTACATTCACTTTGGAATTTGCCCTGTAAATGCTTGTCGGTTTACGGTCATCTCGCCATCCATGAAATCACCACCAATAAGTCGACTCGTCACCAACGAAAAACTCTGGAATAATTGACACAGTTGAATACCTAGGATTACTTACCTAAGATTTTTACTTTTTCGTCAAGCCTATTAGAATTTAAAGTCGACCCAAATACAAATCTGTCGATCCTAACTAACGATCCTTGCGTCGAAGGTCTTATGCTCTTGGTAATGCAAATACTAACAACACATCTGACGCATGTATAGGTTCGTTGAATGCAAACTTCAGCATTTGAGAGATTGAAAAACTGGCAGAAAAGTTTCACAACCACTGGTCATTTCTTTGAAATATAAAAAGATAGCAACGGTTAAGAAATTTCCGTTCATAAATCAAAGTTCAAAACAATGGTTGGTGGCGATTTCGTTGGTGGCGAGGTAATCAGATGAATGCTTGTCAATGAAAGGAGGAAATCCATATTATATCAGGAGTCATTTAGGGCCTTATTTGCAAGCAACCAATCGATAAATCAAACAACCCCGAATTAAAGGTAATCTAAATTATACAAACAGTTGATAGAGGGAGTAATTTTCTTTTACAGGTTACACTCTAACAGTCATTATTTACCTATAGCAGTTTCACCGTCGTTTCGCCCACGAGTCGTTTCGCCAACGACCTGTTCGCAAACTTCTGAAGTCCATTCGCTTACGTATTGAGTTCCCTAACTGCTTCCGCCTGATTAGGGATAGAAAGAACCAGGTATACACATGCGTATCGCACTTTTATGTATCATGGCTGAGAGAACGAAGCATAAACATGCTCAGCGCTCGGGATGTTGGCGAACGGGATGTTAGCGAAACGACCGGTCACCAATCCCATTTGGTCAAAAGGCGGACAGTGCTATCCATTGGATAACTAGACTACGAGTACAGTCGACTCTCTCTTAACGGACACCTCTATAAGACGGACACCTCTGTCACCCCTATAAGACGAACACTTAGTGCCGGTCCCAAAGGTGTCCGTCTTAGAGAGAGTTGACTGTAGTTCCCGTCGGGAAACGCGAGCGCGCGTGATTTCTCGCGTGCGGTGATTTTCACGAAGCTTCTTAATGGAATGGTGTGAATTTCTGGTTTGTCCACAAGCGGCCCAAGCTCATTTCATGAACGCGGACGTGACTCTTGCTTGCGAGCGGTGTTGTGTTACAAACGGTTATTTACAAAGGTTTGTATGGGATGCAAACGGTTTTTCTTAAAAGTGAGAAAAAATGTAATTTTTTAAATAAAATCAACTTACCTTATTGCTTTGTTGTATTCTTTGTTGTTTGCTCGCGTCTCAGGCCGTTTTGAAGCGTTTTCGGCGAGTTAGCTCTATTTTGGTGTTCCACTGCTAAAAGAAGTGGAACAGTGGAACACCAAAATACATTTTTTCTCACTTTTAAGAAAAACCGTTTGCATCCCATACAAACCTTTGTAAATAACGGTTTGTAACACAACACCGCTCGCAAGCAAGAGTCACGTCCGCGTTCATGAAATGAGCTTGGGCCGCCTGTGGTTTGTCCAGGTAATTGGCAATTACCTGTGCACTATGACCTTAGAATAGAACCTGTAAAAATATGATGAAAGGTGAACTTGAAAATTCCCTTTGAGAACTGTTTTTATTCACTATTAAGCCGAAGGGTCTTCTTTCATGAGTGCTAAATCTGCTTCTACCATTTCCTTGACCAGTCCCTGTGAATGGAATTGAGAGTAAAGATGATTACTCCTCAAGCTGAACATGACACAGGGTAATTAACAAGCCTTTCATTTCAAATTCCTCTCTTTACAAACGCTAAAAATAGCACTGAATCCTAATAAATGAAAAGACTGCGTAATTCCCACTTATGTCCAGGTTTGCACGCAGCTGTAACTCGTGTGGTTGCGTAAAACCAGGAAAATCGCAAGGTCAATGATTTTTCGAAAGTCAGTTGCGAAAATTGCGAAAAATCGCAAATAAAACGATTTTTCGTGTTACTTGCGATTTTTTCGCACTTCTTTGTGAAGTAAATAATCACTAAAGTCAAAACCCAGTCGTGGATTTACAAAATTTGCGAAAATTGCGAAAAATCAGTAGTCTGATGATTTTTCTCCTGTTCTTGGTCAGCAAATTTTGCCATTTCTCCAATTTTTCGCAAATTTTGCAAAAATCGCAAAAATAGCAGATTTAGCCAACAAAACAACAAAACAACAACAAATTTTATTGAAAATTGGAAAATAACTAATTACATTACTTTCCCACCCGCAAATAGCTTATGAACTAATCGAGGCGGGGGGAGCTGAAGACATATTACAAAACAAGAGCCGGAGCCCTCGAGTTTTCCAATTTTAGCAAATTTTGCAGCTGCGTGCACATATGCAATTCTGCAAAATATTCCAGCAACAAAACTTCACATACCCATAGCGAACCATTCTTCCCGTATTTGCAATTTAATAACGCTTTTCTTTTTTTCCATGGCTTGCATGAATCGCATGGCTCGCTGGCTCGTAGATTGACCGCTCCCCTCCCACCCCCTCTTCCAACCCCCTCATTTATCCGAAGACATCTAAGTATTGGTACACTCTCTTTGTCAACCAAAAATTGGTCCTAGGATTCTAGGCCATTTCTTTATCTATATAATTTTTACGCCGCCATAAAAATAATTGAGATCTAATCATTTTCTTCATTCATCCAATTGAATAAGCTGTTTTTTTTACCCTCCCCCCATAACCACAACCCCGGGAGCTTCTTTGACATCTGTCACTCATGTCACTCTATATGTACTTGTTTTACTCATCAAGACACCAAAGAAGTTTACTGTCTTGGCTGTAGTCAGCTACGCTCTATGTGAGAATGCGACTATGGGTATAATTTAAGGCAAAGGATTTACCTCAAAAGATATCTTTGGTTTCCAGCCAAGAAGTTTGTGGGCCTTATCTGCACATCCCTGAAGATATTCCTGAAGGAGAGAATCAAGGGCATGTGTTATATTTAGGAATACATGTATCACTAACCTTTGAAGTTTTTAAGTGCAGAAATGGCAAAGATGGTCTGGAACTGGACATTAACTTTTCTTCTGTTGTCAGTGTATCACAACTCTACAAAAGTAGCTAGCGCTTGCATTAATTTTTTTGAATGATCAGGAAATGCTCAATCCTCCAACCTTAACAACTCAAACAAAGGCACTGAAGTGACTGAAACATAGAAGACTTCAAAGCAACACAGCACCTAAAAATTACATGGATACTAACATGCATACTACCATCATTTACAGTGACACAAGCAAAATTAGGATTGGTTCTTGGCAGTCAACATAACACAAGAATACATGTAGTTTCCTTGTAATATTACAGTGTTATTGGTAAAAGATCTGCAAAAAATGCCTTAAATAATATAAGTAACCGCAATGTTTGTGTGGGTGCCATAAGAGAATTGCTAAACTTACCACTTCTGTTGGCCGGTAAAACTTGGGGTTTACCCTTACAATGACTTTCCCAGTGTTTTTATCTTTGCCAACTTCTGTATCACCTTCTCCTTCCCAACTATAAAACAAAAATTAGCGATAAACTGAAACTACTTGTTAAAACCCCTTCGATGTGACAAGGGGAAAATATATTAATAATTAAGTTACTGGTACACAATTACAGTCGAAGCCTCCCAAAAATGACTGCCCAGACTGCGAAGATTTAGTGGTTACTTAAGGGAAGACGGTCTATTACGAGAATTGAACCACAGGAAGTCTCTTCCTAGAAAAGGTTTGGAAACATCTACATTTTGAAAGAGATTCATTGCATGCAATTTCTAAGTTACAATATGTGTAGTTTCATGTTGACCCTAAACTTTCTTGCGTACTCTATTAAAGTAGTGTAGCACATTCAGAGAACATAGGGAACAAACCATACGTTTAGTGGTCACATACATAAGGGTAAAAACAATGAAAAAATTCTAAAACCGTCATCGCAAAAAGTGGTTGCGGCTACTTACTAGAGGTGGTCATTTATGGGAGGTTCTAACTGTAGCAATTTGACAGGGAAAATATTGTTGTTTTGGATAAGTGGTCGCTTACTAGAGGTTAGCCTGGGAAAACAGCCGACATTTGGCAACGCTACCACTGGTTTCCCCGCCAAATGACGTCTGAGAAATAAGCCCAGAAACTGAATGATGACGTGTCACTACCCAGATCTGGGTAGTGCTTCTGATTGGTTGAATCAAATCTCCCACGCGGCACAACCAATCAGAAGCACTACTCAGATCTAGGTAGTGACGTGTCTTCAGTATGGAATTTCTGCGCTCGTTTCTCAGACGTCATTTCGAGTGGAAACCAGTTTTGGTGTCGCGAGATGTAGGCTGTGTTCTCAGGCTAACTGGAGGTGGTCGCACATGGAGGTTCGACTGTATATAATTATTGCTTATTTTTTCTCACTAGTTTTGTGAGATGTGGAGCCTTGAGGATACGAATTCGTCCAAATAATATGGGTTTTATAGGATGGAGAAAAAATTCAGCTCATTTGATAACTGTCTGGAGTATTTTCTAGACCAGAGATCAATGTAAACAGACAAAATGATCGGCAAAAATATTATTATTGATTATTGCTGATTAATAATATTTAAATTTTCTAATAATAACAATAATAATAATAATATAACAAATACTGTTATAATTTGTTATTATTATTGTCATTGTGATTTACTGGCATTTAGGTATTTACTTGGGATCGAGAACCATATAAAGTGAAACCCCATAGGTACAAGCAACGTTGGGTCATGAAATCCTGGTCATCTTTATGAGGTGGTGATAAGATGTTCAGAATAGAAAATGACTGAGTTTCTTAAGGCTGTGCCAAAATATGTGTGGTCATAAAAATAAGGCGGTGGCAAGGTGGGGGAAATACAACTAGGATAATGATCAGAAGTAAAAACAAATTAAACTTTACACAGGAGCAAGATTATTGTTAATCCATACTTGGGAAACAACAACAAGAAAAAACAAAAGCATCAAGAACTTAAATATTAGGGCCATTTAAACAAGGAAAAATAAGACGCGTCTTACATAGGACACGTCCGGCCTAAATAAGACTCAAACTATCCTGTATAACTGGTACATTTCGTTTGAAATTTAGCTAAGATGAATCCTATCTAAGAACAGCGCCTAACACCTGTTCTTTGATAAGACACGCCTTTGCTAAGTCGCGTCTTAATTTGCCGTTTATACGGAATAGTTTGCGTCTTAAAAAGGACGCGTCTAATGAAACGTGCATCTTATTAATTTTCCTCGTATAAATGGCCCTAACATGTATGTTAAGCATTTATGCTCTAATCAATGATTGTTTAGATTGTACATACACAATGCTTATTCCAACATGTTGAAAAGCTTTCTCGGTAAATTCTCTCACACTGTGGACTTCTCCAGTTCCAATCACAAAATCTTCTGGTTTTTCATGTTGTAAGACCATCCACATAGCCTGCAATAATAAAAAAAGTACAGCTTAAAATGTAATGCTTGCAATTCCTTGATAGGGTAGTGACAGTGGTGCTATAAGTTGCAAATTCTTTAGATGTTGCAATAACTTAAGTCTCTGAAATCAGTAAGGCACTTCAGGTCAGACCGATAGGTGAGTCCTTGTTTACATTTTTTGCCTCATTCTCAGAGGCTTTTCATTATCTGATGAAGCTAATAAAATGAAATTTCTGAATATTGAAAGAGCATAACAATTTCCGTTATCTCTGAAAATTTGAGCCCGATATACCAATTAGCTTCGGAGAAACTTTCTTTGAAAAACCCCAGAATATACAAAGAATGTATGAGCTCATTAACGTTATGCCACTCAGTAACTTTGCACTTTTTAATTGCTGCTATTTTCTTCGTTAGTGATTGCAAAGAGCTGAAACTTGCACAGACTCCCTAAATTAACCGCTCTTTTAATTTTTGATCTTAACAGGTAGAATCTTCTATCGGTTAGCTCATATGCATATGAGGAAAAATGTAAACAATGACGTCACGATGAATCCGCATATACTCAGGGTCTTAAAATAACTTGAGAAGTGAAGGTAATGCCTTTGATTCGCAAACAGCTAGACCTATTGTGCGTCTTTTACGGTGAAAATGGTGCTCCCGTCTCAGCATGAGTTGTAAATACCGTGTCCTCAATATTATTGTATAGTACTTTTGTGCTAAATGCATCACGACTCAAGTAATGTGCATTCTTCTATATACTGTATCCAGGATTTGATTTTTGAACAGACCTCTTTCAATAGATTATTTTAAGTCTAGGCTGAAACATCTTGAATCTTCTTGAATCCTTATTCACAAGTAGTGGTATCCTTCCTTGGTGAACTTGATATTTTTCATCCAGTTTATGACATACATTTTATTGATAATTAATAAAATAATGAAAATGAAATTATTTCATTTTCCTTTGCAGTAAAGGTAAAGACTTATCTTTACAAAAATAAAGTACAGAACTCTTTTATCAGACTTAACCTCACAATAGTCTCTGGCATGTCCCCAGTCACGTTTGGAGTCAAGGTTGCCAAGTTGGAGCTGAAAATTTACAAGCACAGCTAAAGTTAATGCTTAAATTGCATTAGGGAAAAATTCAAAAACTGTTTTCAGGCTACAAAACAGCTCACTGTAATACATAATTTCTCCCAAACAGTGACAAGGGTACAGGTGCTCACAAGCACAAAAAGTGCACCTAGTATGATAGTAATTTTTTGTTTTAATATGAACATCGGCCATCTAACCAGAATTAACAGATAGCTTAACAGTCCAACTTTAATTTATTTAATATTGGTCTTATGTTGATTTTCTGAAATATATTCTCACAATCAGAAAGAACAGTCATTTTTGAGGCTTTCTTAGTCGGGGGGGGTACGGATGTCCCTAGCCTGAATTTCAAAACCTTTCATTTTGCTAATGTATTTGCACTTTTCTCCGTCGCTCTTGCATTTTAAACACATCTTTGTGTCATTTGTCACCATTTCTGCTGTCCTTAATCACTGTGTAAGGCCTGCGTGTCGCTTGTCAGAATTTGACCCTAACAGGGTCACATTTTTTTTATTAAATATCTTGTCCATATCCTGACAAAACAGCAGCTTTCGCTCCATACAATTTTCATAGCAACAGAAATTGCAAAATTCATCACCATTTGCAAGGTATGAGTTAACCCATCCATACCATTCCCACGTATTGGCCAGATATGGCTCATCATTTCCCATATTATTTCCCAAGATTTTGTTTGGTACGGTATGTAACATTTAAACTTGCAACACCTCAGTTCTTGTCACTAAATGTGCTGTTTACCTCATCCTGAAGTCCTAAATGAATTTTTGCCACTGCCCTTGTGATCTTCCTTGTTACAAATGTTTCACCTGTGGTACCGTGACAAAGTTTTTCATTGTCCTTGGACAATTATATGTGCCTTAAATTGTTCTGTACAACTAAAATTCTACCTCAATTTAATGATTGTAAGTGAAAGCATGTACAGTTTATTGAAAAAAAGAATGTAGAGATGGTTCACAATATTTTTCCAAAGTTCGCTTGAAAATCAAAGTTAGTTTGAAATTCTCTCCAACAACTGCAGTCTACATCATGACTGTATGCCAATGAATATTATTCTCAGTTTAATTGCATATTCCAGTTAAGGTTTTTCCTCAACTTAACTGAAAAATTTTTAAAAGAGACAAAGACAAATTATTTTATTTAACATTATCTTATAACGTAAAGAGTTGACATAGCTAACAAAAAAATCTTTTCACAAGACAGATGTCTTATTCACTTATGCTAAGAAATGAAGGAGATCAAGTCAAAGTCAAGTTCATATTTACCTCTGCGTGGACTTTCATGATTAAAGAGGATTCCATTGCAGGCAAACATGTTGTAAGCTTCTCTGTAGTTTACAACAATCCAGTAAGCATATACTTTGGCAGCACCTGTCAGTATCAAAAGAAGTACCAATTATACATGACTTACAAAATTTCCCATGTCTGATGAACTCCTGCCTGTGGTTGAACACGACAACCACACCGATCAAATACTTAAGATGAAAGATTTACATAGTAATCCAAGAAATATACAGTCCACATTATGCATATGGGTCCAACAACTTAACTGCTTTGTCCGACTAAAACAGTGACCTGGTCAAACAAATATCCTTTCTAAAATTTTTGACAGGCTATTGAACAGAAAGATGCATGGTGAGACCTTGCCTCAGCTCATCCCCCCATGAGTAAAAGTACACCAGGGCTGGTGGATTTTGCTATCGGCCTAGTGAAGTCTGTTCTCAACTTGCCTGAATGGGCAAGTGAAGCTTTTTGCGCAAATTGTTCAAATTGCAAAAGAATGGTAATCAATCCTGCTCATCAGAAAATGACTCATGGGCTAGAAAATGCTAGCTACAGCTTGCCTCAATGCCAAACTGAATTTCCTTGCACCATCATGTACAGTGCATATAGTACATGCAATATAAAGCCATATGTACACAGATTACGGAGTGGCTACTGTGGTCAGCTGCTCAATCCTTTGGTATTGTGATTATTTAATAATGTTACTTTAAAATGTTGTGTTAGCTATATAAATAAATGCAAAGAAGTAGGTCCTAAAAATGGGTAATATCTTTCCAAGTTTCTTTTCCCATCTATGGTTAAGAGGGTTACTTAGGAGTCACTTTTAAGTAACAAGGGTAACAAGGGGTAACATGAGGTAACAAGGGGTAAAAAGAGGTAACATGGGGTAAAAAAAGGTAGCAAGGGTAACAAGGGGTAACAAGGCAAAACAAGGGTAACAAGGAGTAACAAAGGGCAACATGGGGTAACAAGGGTAACAAGGAGTAACAAGGCGTAACAAGGGTAACAAGAGGTAACAAAGGGTAACAAGGGGTAACATGGGGTAACAAGGGTAACAAGAGGTAACAAAGGGTAACAAGGGGTAACAAAGGTAACATGGGGTAACAAGAGGTAACAAGGATAACAAGGGGAACAAGGGGTAAGAAGGGTAACATGGGGTAACAATGGTAACAAGGGGTAACATGGGGTAACAAGGGGTAACAAGGGTAACAAGAGGTAACATGAGGTAACAAGGGGTAACATAGGGTAACAAGAGTAAAAAGGGGTAACAAGGGTAACAAGGGGTAACATGGGGTAACAAGGGGTAGCATGGGGTTACAAGGGGTAACAAGGGGTAAGATGGGGTAACAAGGGGTAACATAGGGTAACAAGGGGTAACAAGGGGTAACAAGGGTTACAAGGGGTAACAAGGGTAACAAGGGGTAACACGAGGTAACATGGGGTAACAAGTGGTAAAAAGGGATAACAAGGGGTACCAAGGGTAACAAGGAGTAACATGGGGTAACAAGGGTAACAATGGGGTAACAAGGGTAACAAGGGTAACAATGGGGTAACAAGGGTAACAATGGGGTAACAAGGGGTAACAAGAGGTAACATGGGGTAACAAGGGTAACAAGAAGTAACAAAGGGCAACAAGGGGTAACAACGGTAACATGGGGTAACAAGAGGTAACAAGGGTAACAAGGGAAACAAGGGGTAAGGAGGGTAACATGGGGTAACAAGGGTAACAAGGGGTAACATGGGGTAACAAGGGGTAACAAGGGTAACAGGAGGTAACAAGGGGTAACAAGGGGTAACATAGGGTAACAAGGGTAAAAAGGGGTAACAAGGGTAACAAGGGGTAACAAGGGGTAGCATGGGGTTACAAGCGGTAATAAGGGGTAAGATGGGGTAACAAGGGGTAACATAGGGTAACAGGGGGTAACAAAGGGTAACAAGGGGTAACAAGGGTTACAAGGGGTAACAAGGGTAACAAGGGGTAACACGAGGTAACATGGGGTAACAAGTGGTAAAAAGGGATAACAAGGGGTACCAAGGGTAACAAGGAGTAACATGGGGTAACAAGGGTAACAATGGGGTAACAAGGGTAACAATAAGGTAACAAGAGTAACAATGGGGTAACAAGGGGTAACAAGAGGTAACATGGGTAACAAGGGTAACAAAAGGTAACAAAGGTAACAAGGGGTAACCAGGGGTAACAAGGGTAACAAGAGGTAACAAAGGTAAAAAGGGGTAAGAAGGGGTAAGAAGGGGTAACATGGGGTAACAAGGGTAACAAGGGGTAACAAAGGTAACAAGGGGTAACATGGGGTAACAAAGGAAAGAAGGAGTACCAAGGGGTAACAACGGGTAACATGGGGTAACAAGGGTAACAAGGGGTAACAAGGGTAACATGGGGTAACAAGAGGTAACAAGGGTAACAAGAGGTAACAAGGGGTAACAAGGGTAACAAGGGGTAACAAAGGTAACAAGGGGTAACAAGGGTAACCAGGGGTAACAACGGGTAACATGGGGTAACAAAGACTAACAAGGGTTACAAGGGGTAACAAGGGTAACATGGGGTAACAAGGGGTAACAAGGGTAACAAGGGGTAACACGGGGTAACAACGGGTAACAAGGGTAACAACGGGTAACATGGGGAAAAAAGAACTAACAAGGACTAACAAATGGTAACAAGGGTAACAAGTGGTAACAAGGGGTAACAAGGGTAACAAGGGGTAACATGGGGTAAGAAGGGGTAACAAGGGGTAACAAGGGTAACAAGGGGTAACAAGGGTTAACAAGGGTAACAAGGGGTAACGTGGGTTAACAAGGGTAACAAGGGGTAACATGGGGTAACAAGGGGTAACAAGGGTAACATGGAGTAACAAGGGGTAACAAGGGTAACAAGGGGTAAGAAGGGTAACAAGGGGTAATATGGGGTAACAAGGGTAATATGGGGTTTCGAGGGGTAACAAGGGTAACATGGGGTAACAAGGGGTAACCAGGGGTAACAAGGGTAACAAGTGGTAACAAGGGGTAACAAGGGTAACAAGGGATAACATGGGGTAACAAGGAGTAACAAGGGATAACAAGGGTAACAAGGAGTAACAAGGGTTAACAAGGGTAACAAGGGGTAACATGGGTTAACAAGGGTAACAAGGGGTAAAATGGGGTAACAAGGGGAACAAGGGGTAAAATGGGGTTACAAGGGGTAACAAGGGTAACATGGGGTAACAAGGGGTAAGAAGGGTAACAAGGGGTAACAAGGGGTAACATGGGGTAAGAAGGGGTAACAAGGGGTAACAAGGGTAACAAGGAGTAACAAGGGTTAACAAGGGTTAAGGGGTAACGTGGGTTAACAAGGGTAACAAGGGGTAACAAGGGGTAACAAGGGGTAACAAGGGTAACAAGGGTAACAAGGGGTAACAAGGGTAACAAGGGGTAACAAGGGTAACAAGGGTAACAAGGGTAACAAGGGGTAACAAGGGGTAACAAGGGGTAACAAGGGTAACAAGGGTAACAAGGGGTAAAAAGGGTAACAAGGGGTAACAAGGGGTAACAAGAGGTAACAAGGGTAACAAGGGGTAACAAGGGTAACAAGGGGTAACAAGGGTAACAAGGGGTAACAAAAGGGGGTAACAAGGGTAACAAGGGTAACATGGGGTAACAAAGGGGTAACAAGGGTAACAAGGGGTAACAAGGGTAAAAAGGGGTAACAAGGGGTAACAAGGGTAACAAGGGGTAACAAGGGTAACAAGGGGTAACAAGGGTAACAAGGGGTAACAAGGGGTAACAAGGGTAACAAGGGGTAACAAAGGGTAACAAGGGGTAACAAGGGTAACAAGGGGTAACAAGGGGTAACAAGGGTAACAAGGGGTAACAAGGGGTAACAAGGGTAACAAGGGGTAACAAGGGTAACAAGGGGTAACAAGGGGTAAGAAGGGTTAACAAGGGGAACAAGGGGTAACAAGGGTAACAAGGGTAACAAGGGTAACAAGGGGTAACAAGGGGTAACAAGGGGTAACAAGGGTTAACAAGGGTAACAAGGGGTAACATGGGTTAACAAGGGTAACAAGGGGTAACATGGGGTAACAAGGGGAACAAGGGGTAATATGGGGTAACAAGGGCTAACAAGGGTAACAAGGGGTAACAAGGGGTAAGAAAGGGTAACAAGGGGTAACATGGGATAACAAGGAGTAACAAGGGGTAACAAGGGGTAACAAGGGTAACAAGGGTAACAAGGGGTAACAAGGGGTAACAAGGGTAACAAGGGGTAACATGGGGTAACAAGGGTAACAAGGGGTAACAAGGGTAACATAGGAAATCAGAGTTGAACGGTTGTCAGCAGAGGGTTCATTTTCGCTTTGTGAGCTGGTGTGCGAAAAGCAGCCTTTGCTGACAACCGTTCAAATCAGTCCAGAAATCTGAACAAATAAATTTCAAAAAACGGGTTTTTTCCTGTGCTTGACTGGTTTGGAGCATTGTGTGATTATTGCGCGAGTCTTGCCTAGCAAAACAGAGTTGTCCCAATTTTTCATTCCCGTGAAACTCATGCCAATTTTGAGAACAGATCTGACGATTAATTTTGCCCACGAATTGCATGACGAATTTCGCACATGCACGAGAGAAAATTGAACGGTTGTTGGCAGAGGCTACTTTTTGTACAACAGCTGACACAGTAAAATAATAACCTCTGCTCACAGGGTACCTCCCTCCAGGGCATTGCGGCTTTGTGCCTAATAACAATAGTGTTATCTTACCATAAGGCGATCTTGGATAAAATGGAGTTTTTTCAGTTTGGGGAATCTCTTGAACCTTTCCAAACATCTCACTGGTAGATGCCTGTCACATAAAGTTAAGAAATAAAATATCATTATCATCATTATTATTATTATTATTATTATTATTATAGATATTGATATCATCATCATCATCATCATCATCATTATTATTTATAAAACTACAAATTCTGTTCTACCCTTGCCTAAATTCAACAAAGACTCATGAGCAAGGTTTAATGATTTTCATTAGCTGAGGCAATGATGCACACATTTTAATGTAACTTTTGAACCCATGGATGAAATCCTAAAGTGTGGCTATTGAAATGAAACCTCTTGGCCATTTCTGCCCTTGGCACAAGATGCAGTTGTGAATAAATAGTAACTGCATATTTCAGGACCAATTCCAAGTTTATTTATTTTTCTCGTGATCATCCACTATTATCTCCTTATATTATGAACCTACGTTTGGCCTAAATTGCCAATAACCACCCAAAAATACAAGAACCTATTTTCCAGACTTCAAAACAATTGTAGTTTTACACCCAAGTATTTACTGTGTAGTTTACAATTCTATGTTAAGAATCCATGGATGAAATTCTTAGATGTGGCCATTCACATGAAACCTCTCCAGTTGTACCACTGCGACTGACCGAACACAAACGCACGACAAGAAATGGCGAAGTCAACAATCTCATTGCGGAACAACTTTTACAGACGAAACATCAAATCGACTGGGACTGCGACATGTATTATGTATTCTACGGACTACTATCAATGACTTACTTTAGAAAGTTGGTTTACTAACTTAGAACAAACACTACTGAATCGTAACCAACAGTTTCTGGCACCATTCAAACGACTTATTGACAAAATCAACAGAATGACTGGAGAACTGACAGTTTGGCTAACAATGGATGGCTGTTTAACTGTGACAATAGACGGATCGAAATGCAACAATTACATTACATTGAGTCTTCATAGCTAATTACATCATGGCTTAACTGACAGATGACCAACAACATGTCATGACGTAATTGACCAATCAGGTCGATATAACCAGAGTACAGTGTATAATACCATCAACTGATGTGATACAACTCACTTTGACTCTGGGGATGACTATCACACAGGTTGTCGAAACATCAGTCACAGTCCTATTCAGGACTACATTCACCCAGACGATCAAACTCAACCTACTCTTGAAATGACTCCTGAGTTCAAACCTTTCACAGTACAATTTAAACATTGTAACGATCATTTTGGTATACAGTAGTTCTATCTTTGAGTCTGTGGATGAAATCCTCTGGTGAAACCACTTCAGCAATTTTTTTCTCTCTCAGTATTTGACAAATGAAGAAGCAATGGTGAAAGCAAAGGAGTTATGAGAGTGCTACAGCAATGGTGGTAGCAGTGGTATTTTTCTTTCAGCTACCTGATAGAATCTAACATGATGTTCCATCCCACAGGTTTTAATTGCATCCAGTAACCTTAATGTTCCAAGAGCATCAACATTGGCAGTGTATTCAGCTAAATCAAATGAAACCTGAAAAATTAAAAGGTGAACAAGTTATCAAAATTACCGGGTAACACTGACATACCATTATCAAATTTGACCTGTAACATACAGACAGGGCACCCAATGTCGACTATCACAGACTAACCTTGACGTGACTTTGGGCTCCTAAATTGTAAATTTCATCAGGTTTTACCTGCAAGAATGAAAAAATGTATCAGTGTTCTCAAAGTACTGACAGGACAACAGTCTTCTTAAAATTGCAAACTTCACTGGAAAAGCATACCTGGCTAACAATTCTTACTAGGTTTGTGCTGTCAGTCAGGTCTCCATAATGAAGTATCATTCCTGTACATTATATAAAAAATGAACTGCTTCAGCAAAGACGTAATGCTCCAGTGACCAGAATAAATACACTACACTGCAGTGTCTAAATCATGCTACGATCAATCAAGGTGTAAAATATCCAAAGTGCTTTTCTGTTTAAAATGCTGTCCCAGAAATTTTAGTTTGAACCCCCCCCTCCCTCCAACTCTCTGAAATTTTCTTTTTCACCCCTCTTCACTTGGGAGCCTGTTTGCAGGCTCGAAGTTAAGGATGAAGCCATAGAAAGGCCAAAACATGCTAAATTTGAAGGGAGGGTGGGGGGTCTCAAAATTCCATCTTTTTCTTCTAAGATTGTAGTTTAAAAAGGCCTTAACTTCACTGCTACAAAAACTCTCAGTAGCTAAGTAGCTGGACTAAAATTAATGACCAATACCAAGGTTTGTGATACGATAGCACTTCATCTTCTCATCTAACCAATGAGTTTAGTAATTACTGTTCTTCTTTTCCAATTTAATTTTTATCACCAAATTCAAATGTTGACGATCAAAAATTTCTACAGTATTGTTCAAAAGTAAGTTGACACTCAATTCTCAATCCTTGAGAGAATAAATCAAGTCAAGAATTGAGACTCAATTCTCCATTGTTGCGTCTCGATTCTTGTTGATACTGATTCCTGCAAGACTCATCAAACCAGAATTGGCTATGTAGTTTAGTACCCGGTAATTAACTTTCTACTCTTGATACTCGATTGCTGCGAGAATCTACAGCCGTTGTTCAAGTTTCTCTCAGGTTAAAAGCATTTTCTTGTAATTAGATGAAAATAGATGTAGTTAAATGATAAGCGTAAATCTACTATTCTCACAAAAGCTTAGTCAGGAAATAAATAACAAAAAAATGAAATTTTTCTTGCCTTCTAGCAAGAGTCTTTTTTACTACAGAACCATGAAAACTTGACGCTTATCATGGATATGTGTACTTTACATCAACAACACTGACAAAGCTTCCAGTTTGATCATAATGACATAATATTACTAATTTTTTTTAATGTTTCACTAGTCAGCAAATTAGGTGGCTCCAGGTTAGTGCCATTCTACATGACTGAAATAAGCTTGCTGTGTTTCTTATAAAAGTTTGCTTGAAAAGCAGACCTTATAGTCTGATATATATACCCACCTCCCATTGTATGTGTTTTGGTATTGGCATATAAATGAGAAATCCTGCCAGTGTTGAAGGAACTAGAACGTCTAATAATACCATGAACCTTTAAGAAGAACGAAAATAATGACATATTAAATAAACTTAACTGTCTTGTTTTTCCTATTAACAAATTTGAACAATATTAATTTGTCAAACTGCCGATGATGCTTATCTGAACTTCCATTTGCATCGGTATAATCTTACCAATATTCCAATACTGTTTCCGAAGAAACAGAAATTTTGCTTTCTGAAATTTGGAGATGCTCCCTTTAAACAAAGATGTCTCCTAGAAACAAAGTATATACGTACATTATTAATTTTTACATCACATACCTCATAACCTTTGGAAAGTAGTAGCTCAGCAAGATATGAACCATCCTTGAAGAAAAGAATAAAACAATAATACAGTTGTATTAGATTAAACATAGCATAATTTTGACATTTGTTGTATTGCACCTGTTTGTTGAACAGTTAATTCACCATGAAAATTCAATTCATCATGAAACTTATAGGTGAAAAGGTATTTCTTTTATAAGAGGCTATTAGTAACTAACACCCTTTTAAGCCACTTAAGGTGATGCTACATGAGACGATTTGCAATGACGATTTTTAGTGCGACACAGTGAAGCGACACATTGTGTCATTGTTTTGAATAGTTACAACATGGTTCTAACATTGCAATGCAGTGTTGTGTTAAAAATCGTAACTGCAAATCATGCCATGTAACATCACCTTTAAATAGCTCATTGCATGTTATCAATGATTTTGTTCATGAAATGAGGCCTCTTTTAAATCAACTCCTACATTTACTAGACATATGATTATGTCCATGCAGCAAACAACCAGACATGAAAGGTACCATATTAAGTAGCTCGCAGTATGGTCCATGGTCCACTGACCGTAAATTTGTACTGGTAAGGGCATGATTGAACCCCTGACTCTCACATGGCTTCTGTAGCATAAAGCTGCCGAGAGTGTTTGTGGTCCCTCATGCTGAGATACCAGTCCAACAAAGGATTGCCCCAGCAGTACTTTACCTGGGAGAATGACAGTTACAAGGCTCAAAATAATTTTTGAATGGTGGCCGGACACAATGACCATCCAAACAAATTTTTTCTGAGTCAAGTCTTGTCTCTGACCGGTCAAAATACAGAAAAGAGTTACTCATGACACTGCCACCCTGTAAACTCTGAACTAATCATATGCTTATCTTGTACAAGTCATTGCTAGATCATTTAAAAAGTGCCTTAATGGACAAAATGGCTTAATTAAGACTTGACCAAAGATAGCCTCTGGTCTCTCTTGTGACTAGTTAACATGACCAGCAAGTTAAGTTTCGGGCCGGTCAAGTTACCATTCTGGTGGACATTGTCTTTTGACCAGCTGTTACTTTGAGCCATGAGTTAGGAACACAGCGTCTTGTCTAACTTGCAATTCCAAGGCACACGCCTACAACCTGCCTCCATTACTGAAAACTACAAAATAGAACCCCACTTATTTACTGACAGGGCTAAGAATGGATCTCTTTCTAGACTACTGTTATGGCTTGTTCCTCTTAAAATCACTCCAGCTCCTTGATTATCATAGGAAACTACCTTGTTTAGCAGCTTATCATATTCAACTTGACTGAGTCTGCTCTCAAGTTCAACCAAAGACCTACAGCTGTAAAGTTACTACAGCAGAAGCTCTCCCAACAGACAGTCTTGTAAGCAGACAGCTCTTCTTACAGCCTCCTTTACAAAACTCTGTTTTTCTCAACTCCCATAAAAACTCTGTGTTTTTACATTCCCATAAGCGGCCAACTCCAGTTAAAGAAGGACCATATTTTAATTAAGGTATGCTATAGTCGGTCTTCAGATGAACCGTCAGGTTACATAAAGGCCCAAGCATCTTCAATTTAGGACTCATTTTTTGAACTGGGACTTATTGGTTATGAACACGGACTCATGATTTCTCACAAGATGAGTCACAGGACTCACCATAACTATTTGTAACAAAATCACTGGTATCCTATCATCAAATTGTGGACAAAAAGAATTAAACTAAATTTCCTTTTTAAGTTTTCATATGTGAATTCAAATTTCGCACTAACCCTTAACCAGCGATCAAGCAAGGGTGAACAAGGCGAGAGGAAAAAAAATACCCTCTTCCTGTGAGAGACGTGGAGGGAAATAGGGAGAGGCATGATCTCAGGCTAACTAACCCTGAGTTATCTTAACCCTGCTTTGAACAACCCAGCCCAGGAAATTCCAACCAATTAGCTAATCAACTTTACATCAGCTATTGATATTAATAGGGAGCTTAAGCAAAGATGTTTTTGAGTGACGCACATCAACAGGAAGTGAAGCATTTTCCCTTCTAATATGCCTTGAAGCTACCAAATTTGTATTTTTAAGTGCTTTTCCTCTCATAGAGACGATTTGCCTGAAAATTCGGTCAAAATCGCGCCCCAAGATTGCAAAAAGGCCACTTCTACTTGATGTGCGTCACTCAAAAACGTTATTGCTTAAGCTCGCTTATATGCTTCCCACAAAGTTATTAGCTCTTGAAAGAATAGCCTGTGAAAAAAGCCAACATTTGGTGATGTTACCACTGGTTTCCCCGTCAAATGACGTCTGGGAAACAACCACAGAAATTCCATATTGATAACGTGTCACTACCCAGATCTGGGTAGATCTGGGTAGTGCTTATGATTGGTTGAATCAAATTTCCCACGAGGCATGAGCAATCAGAAGCACTAACCAGCTTTGACAGCTTTGGCAGCGAGCAAGGAAAGTCATGTCCGATAGCCCAGGAGTAGTGGATTTTGCTATCGGGCTAGTGATTTTTGTTCTTAACTTGCCCGACAGGCCTTTGCTGTTTTGGGGGGAAATTCAAATTACGGATGGATTGTAATCAATCCTGCTAATCAAAAAGGGTTTTGGGGCTAGTTGTAATGACCTGTGGACTAGTGCAAGATAGCTACAGCTTGCCCGAATGGCAGGCTGTAAAACTGACTTTCCTTGCACCCTGTCTGGGTAGTGACGCGTTATCAGTATGGAATTTCTGTGCACGTTTCTCAGACGTCATTTGGCGGGGAAACCAGCGGTAGCGTCGCCAAATGTCGGCTGTTTTCTCAGGCTATTGAAAGAATGGACTACTTTGTTTAAGTCTTTCAGTGGTTGATATCAAATGAAACAAGAACAACGACGTTTACAGACATAAACTATCGCTATTATCCCTCAATGGGGGAGTATGGATTTTCTAAAGCAAAAAATTCAACACGATTGCGAGACACGTTGCAATATTTTGTCGTTCCCAAAGCTCAATATCAGCTCCACTTGAAAGAAGGCTTAAAACGGTTAGAAATTTCTGGAAACTTGGGACTATGTGGGATTTAAGGGGCGACTTGATACGGGAAGTTGTAAATAAGGGGCCGATTATTCTTTCAATAGCGACATTTTCAAGTTCTTTGTTTCATGTAATAATTACCGTGGAATATAAAGTTATCGCAGCGAGTGTACCACTAAAGGTGTACTGAACCATATTGTAAAAGGTAGGAGTAATAAAGGCTTCAAATATTTCGGCACCAGGAGGTAGACATGTGCTCCCAAGTTGTGATTAGCTGTAGTATCTGAATTCTAGTATCCGAGGACTGAGTCGCTTCAAATATGCCAAAGAAAGCCAAGAAATATGGGGCAGACATTTTACGGTCCATAAAAGCACCGACATGATGTTTTCTCGCTGTTAACAAGGCGGACGAACACGAACAAACATACCTGACCGGTTATTCCTGTCAATAAAGCTACTCTCCTCTTATCGGTCTTCTTATCCGTCATATTCACACAAAAGTAGAGAAATTATACAATAATTTTGCGCTCTTTTACTTCCAGCGTGTTTCTAAAGGTTTCTGAAGACACTGAAGCCAGAAATGCCGACAAGTTCATTCCCAGTTTCCCTGGGAACAAGTGATGTTTAGCGTGACACCGAGATAGCGTGATGCCACGTGTAAGAAACTCTTTAGCTACAGCTGGGCATGTGAATACCTTTTGGTACCCTGTATTTTCTAGTTGAGTCAAAAGTACAAATTCCTGCTGTGGCTTCGATGAAGCCGAAGAAGGTCTTCGTAGGAAACCAGCTATGGGAGTTTGGGGGCTACAAATTACGAACTCGCACTGTTTATCTGAGATTCTGTTTTGACTCCGGTTTCAGTTTCATTTGAATTTAGCCCGTATAATGCCCTATACGGGGAGGCTCAAGCCGAATGGGGTACCTTTCTTTTTTTTAATAGACTTCAAGTATATCAGAGGCTAGAGAATTCCTAGTTGAAATCAGTATGAAAGCCAGGAAATCTATCATTTATAAGAATTATTTTAAAAATGTCTCGAAAAGACGCGTACGAGTCTTATGGCTTGTTCAATTTACTTTATTAAACCTCACATGAATTACATGAAACAGCCTGCAGAAAAAAAAACGCCTGATCGCAGGTTATACATGAAAAGGACAAGAATACTTCCTTATATTTTAGCGATTCAGTACTCTTACTTACTAGGTGAGAAAAGGGGGTACGTACGGTTTGTTAGCACAAAAGGTCAAAAAGACGAGCCTTATGGCTTGTTCAATTTACTTAACTTTGTCTAAAAATGGTATGTAGTTAGGAGGTAATTATAAGGGGCTGGACCACGGAGCGCAACCTCTCCGTATAAAACTCTCGAGTAGCCCTCCCATGAATTTTAGCTGCGCGCGATGATGTGATCAGCCAGCCCGGGTCGACAGGGCCCGGGGGGGGCACTTTAGGAATTTCTGGGTGGGGATGGGATCCTGGAAAGCCTATACCAGAGCTAGTTCAACCTACCCCAGTGAATATTTAGCTGTTTCCCCAGTCTAGATAAAATCTTCAACCAATGATGTTTCCTGAAAAATCATACCCTATTCAGCCTCTGATTTATATACCCTATCCTAGGTAAACTCTTGAAAACCATACCCTTCACAGCGGGCCCATATATGGCAGTACCCCCCGGTCGACTCACAAGACCATAAACAGGCCCTTGCCATGTCTCATCTGTTTTTCTAATCCTTCTATGGTTCTGCTAATTAATTTTAAGCAGGTGTGCTGTATTCAAATGTTGACACAAGTAAATGAAAAAATGGTTCCTAACAACCAAACTCTTTAAAGTTAAATGTCAAAATCTTTCTCTAAAATTCAAATGTGGCTTTTAATTTTCAAGTTTCAGCGACAACAACGGCAACAATTGAAAAGATTTTATGGAAGCAGATATCAATTTTGTAAAGTGCAATTACTCTGGGAACTGATTCACACGTTTCCCAAACTTATAATGCGAAGAGAAAATTTGTTGAGAGGAAGTTACGTGAAGTTGATTCATTCCAGTTGACCCGCCTCCGCGATAGCGAGTTGGCTATTTTTTAAAAACTTACGTGGCACTTAGGTGCATTTTAAACCATGCAAAAAATAATACGGTTAGACAGACATAAAGAGAAAAACTTGTACGACTTACTTGACCAGTCACTCCCGTAAGTAGAGCTGTCTTTTTCTTCTCTGGTCTTGGAAGACCATTTGAGAGCGAGTTGTCTTTAATGAGTCTGTCCAGTTCTGAAGACATAATTTTTCTCCTTTTTAAATGCAGATCGCGCAGTTTATCGCGTTAATCCTGCCGTCGTATGATGAAATACTACTCTTGTCGGTTGATAGGTGATGAAAAGGATTCCAATATCAGGTTTTCCATTGTTACTACGGTCACGTGCACGTTGCTCAGTTCATGATTACTTCTGACATCTCATATATCAAAATGAATTCAGTCAGGAGCCCGATTCAGTTGTTTTAATTATTAAAAAGCAGGCACTCGCATACCGTTAACTTCCGGCAACGCCAGCGACTGGAATTTAAAGGGAATGAACCCTTCTATGTCCATTGTAAACAACTCTCTGAGCATGTCCTGGTTTGGAGATCGACCTGACGGTTCCATCGACGAATCCGAAACAATTGTTGAGCAGAGCTCCTTTCCTTGAGATGGAATCAGCATAGCTCTGTAGGGCACGAAGATTTAAGATATTTCTATTCCACTGTGTTATCAGGGGACAGTGGTTTTCGTAAATGTAGTCTGGTCTAAGGTGTGATTTGTTATAAGGCCTTAAAACAGATACCGGTCTCCCAAATCGAGAAATCATGTCACTGTCATAGGCGTACGGGCCGGGAGGGCGAGAGGGGCTGCAGCCCCCCCAAATTTTGGGCAACTCAGATTTTTTGGGCAGCGAGAGAAAATTTGGGCAAAGTCAGTTCTTAAGGACGTCTCCATGTTTATATAATTTAATTATTTGAAGACCTGAATATTAACCTAAAGTCGGTCGGCGTAATAATCCAGTTACATTACAGTGGTTGCCTAGTATGTGATGAGTAATTTACATATTTGCAGTTTTTTTATTTTTGGGCACTATACTGCACTGCACTAGCTGGAATGGACTATTTCCAGTCGTGAATTGCTTAAAATAGACTTTCGCATAACTTTCTAGAATCATCTCCACTCGAAGAACAGTGTATGGCAGATAGAATTAGCAATGGGTATGAAAATGAAGAAGTGGCTGACTACTGAATTCTCAGTTAGAATTAGTATAGCGAGAAGAATCTTAATTCATTTAAAAAATCTATATCGAGCCGTTTCATGAACTTAGTTCGCTAATTTGTTAAAGTAGACCGAAATGTTTACAAAACCGCTAAAAAGAGTGCCTCGATACATACTAATCAAATCCTTCATTCGATTCTAGGAATCGAGCAGCTATCTCCACGATCTTTCACACATGTTCTTAAAAAGATTAAAACTACTATGAGGTGAAAATGCATGTCAAAAGCGCTTCGTTTTGTACAGATAACGGCCAAACATCAAGATTTTCCTTTTCTTACCGTATTTCTAATAATAAAAACTTCATTCCAAAATATCTCGATAACGCTCTTAAGGTTTTGCTTAAACTTCACGAACATCGAGGCGATCGTATAGGAGAAAAATGCTCCTGTGAACGATTTTGTAAGGTTCCCCATGCCGAGAATCATTGCTGAAGTAAAATATATAGGTAATGGGGTCATTTCGTTGCTATGACAGCTCCGATGTCATTGCAACCCTGATGATGACAAATTTTTATCTTAATACAACTGAGGTCGCAATTTTTCCAAATGTTTGTTTATGGCGACGTAGTTTATGCTCAGACTTGGTATTGACCCTCAAACACTGTATCGAGCCACCTTCATATGCCAGGACGGCCTATGTTTTTGCAATATGGCCCTCATTTCTTTTCGACTCTTTCGCAAAAATTTGGGCAACTTGATAGGTTTTATTGGGCAAATGGTTTACCGCCCCCCCCCCCCCGGGCAAAAAATTTCCCGTACTCCTATGGACACTGTACCTACATAGGTAGCACACTCTTTTCAAAAACATACACAGTCCTTCCATACTGTCGAACTCAGTCCTTTGAAGCACTGCAATATATATTATTGCAGTGCTTCAGCAAGGCGAGGAAGGTCGGCTTTTTCAATGTGGAACTCTGCTTTACATTCGGCTGAATCGATGTTATCGAGATTGAACGGGTCATATTGCTGGTAATTAAAGTCGGGATTTTTGGACTGATAAGCGTCATAAAGAAGGACAAACTCTCCATCAGAAACGACGTTGTTAATATAGCTAAGTAAGAGCAATTCCCGAACGTTCTTAAATGAATTCATCTTCAAGCCTTCGAGTTTTGTTTTGCAAAGTGCAAGTGACGCCAAAGCTGAAGGTTTTTCTATTTCGGCGGGAAAAACGCAGATTCCACCCCAGTCTTAATCGGTCGTAGACTTCGCCGTCGTCTTGAATACGAGTTGCTAAAGGTCCCTAATGTTAGCTCAGGGGAGGGGTAGGTGGCTTGATCCAGCTCACCTAAGTGTAAAAAAAACACACATTCAGTTATAAGACCCCCCGGACATAAACCCTCCTCTAACATGTATTGAAATGAATTCTATTTTTCACGATGTTTTGAAGCTTAAAAAAGTGAGTAATGATCAGCACAGGGTTATGGACTCCTGTCAGCACTGCTATGTAGCTTGATTTGAAACGCTTCTTTTAGTCTGGTAATAAGCCCCACCGGATATAAGCTCCCCCTCCCGTTTATAAGCCCTCCTAAAGCCCTTTGGAAGTTGAATTAAATCCAGGGCTTGAAAGCAGAAGTTTAGCTACAGACCTTCAAATCCCCCCCCCCTCCCCCGAGTCCCGGGTGCCTCCTTCCTCCGGGTTTGAATAAATAACCAGTACCAGTACACCACCAATATTGTATCTTTTTCCTTCTCTTAAACCGGAAAACAACACAATACATCCAATCTGAAACCTTGTTCAGTGGTATAACAGTCATCAGTATCTCACTGAAGCGGCTCTGGCATTGGTCTACTATTCACCGGTTTAACCAATCAGTGAGCAGCTCCAGCCAGATACTGGATAGCTGGACTTACAGGCCTTCATCAGGGCTTAGAGGAGAGGACATTTTTAGCCTGAGATCATGCCCTCTCCCTATTATCCCTTTTTATATGTCTCTCACGGGAAGTTATTTTTTTCCCTCTCGAGCCAAAGAAGCAAAAAAAAAATAAAACATAAAAAATAACGCCTGATCTCAGGTTAGGACATTTTGAGCCGTGATACTCATGCTATGAAAATAAAATAATTATAAAGCATAAATGACTCTTTTTTTGCTCCAACATTCCACTAATTTGTGAAAGACTGGGGTAATTTGCCAAAGACGTAGTAGTAACATTTATTTACACAGGATTTAAATATCTTTAAAGGAGCTATGCTACGCTACAGTAAAAACCCTTGACTAAGAAACTGCATTTTGCCAAGTTAGCTTAAACAGGTATTTAGGTTCTTAAATAGGTTCTTATATTCTGAAGAGAAAGGATACGTGGTAGCTTAGAGTATTTAGTGGCAGTCAGCTCATTCCTTAGGTAAAACCTGTATATCATCACAATATATTGCAGTTGGAGTAATAAGACACCATTAAACATTTTAGAAAATAAGAACCTGTTCCAAATTTTAGGCTAAACAGGTTCTTGTATAGAAGGGGCCTAACTGGTACATGTAAATTTTAGCCTAACAGGTTCTTAAAAACCATGATCTTAGTCATGGGTTTTTACTGTATTTGCTACCTTTTCAAAAAATATCCAAAACATGTCTTTGTATCAATTGAAATAAATTCCACAAATGATGGTCCAGTTTTGTTATTTAAGATAGGCCTTGAAACTATTTTCTCTCACTATGGATGGCAAGGAAGGACAGGTCAGGACATGGATTATGCCGGCAAAAATCAACAAAAAAATTATTATGGCTAGTGCTCTCTGAAGAAAGTTGTTTGATATCTTCTTCATAACACTACAGGAGCATTTTCTACATGTCTCAAGGCACTAGGTAATAACTTAAGCAAGAATTGACCTAAAACAGCAATATATAGCCTCATGACATTACCCCTTTAAGATGAGCTGCCAGTTTCTCCAGAAGCTTGGCCAACTGTTGAAAATCATCATCTAATTAACACAGAAGCGCTTCTCAAAGAAAATAATTTTTAAAAAAGGATTTTTTAATCTGGCATATTTGTCTCTTACCACTTTGTTAGATGACAAGAATCATATGATCGAAAATTTTTTAAAAAAGGTTGGGTTAATAAGAGTGACACAATCATGGCTAAATTATAATGAAGGGTGTAAACTCAATACAGTTTTTTTTTTTTCGCTTTCTGAACTAAAATTCAGGGCCTAAAAAATCATCTCCTGGCATGTTGCTTACATTTGACAAATTTAACAACTTGAAATATCTTAGTTAGTTAGGGTTACAAAGAATAAGACTATAACACTGGTTGAGGGCATTAACTGTTGAAGTTTTGAAGGCCACTGATTAGCAGAAATACTTCCAACAGCAAGCCCAAGGTGCACTCTATGAATTATGTAAGGCCTGAAAGAGAAGAAAAATGTTGTTTAATATATATACACAAGAGGGGACAGAATATTATCGTCTCAATAATCATCGTAAGCAAGAGGCAGGAACAGTACTCAGCATTTTTAATTTTTAACACAGAGATTTCTGAAATCATTTGGGTGGACAATATTTTGCTGGTTTTCACTCTCATGCTATCAAAAATAAAACTTATATTGATACCATTCAATAGATTAAGTCCAGAATCTGAGAAGATAAATGTGTTAACAGCTTTGCCAAGGGACACCAATATGGCAGCTAGAAAGCGACATAAACACAGTTGATGCCAGAAATCCCTGTGATAAAGCTTCTGTCTGTTTCGTGACACAGCTCCTTTAAGTTTACAATATCCATGCAAGTGAAATTCCCACGAAACTCTACTGAAGTGTGAAAAGGATGCAGGCATGAAAACTTTAAAGTTTATGTGACAAATATGCCAAACCTTACTTTATATGTCTTATGTAAATAGCACCAATTAAGTTTACGATTTATATAATTTCCGTGCGGTCGAAATTCCCATGAAAATCTACTGAAGTGTGAAAAGGATGCTGGCTTTAATTACGAAGGTCACAAAATATATTTCAAAGTTTATGAAGCAGTAAATATGCAAAACCCTGCTTTAGCAAATTAAAATTACCATGAAAATCTACTGACGTGTGAAAAGGATGCTGGCTAAAATTATTATATTTATTTTTCAGATATTTGCGGCCATTTATTTTCCACTGTAATGTATTTCCGTTCATTGTCATTTTATACGCAGCAGTTGGCTGTTCACATTTCAAAATAAATATTATGACTGGTTGTGAAGGAGTCACCAGATTATATATTCAGCCAATCACATGTTAGCAATTACATAACTTAAACACTCAATTAAATCCGCTTTGTAAACATGCAGTTCTACAAGAATGCAATAAGTATATATTACTTATATTTTTCAACAAGAGGCAAAATAAAGCTATAAACTGCGAGTTAGATTTCCGGTAATACATTATAAAAATAATTCTTTAGCGTTAATCGGAAATGCAAAGGCTGAGTTTGGCCTCGCCTAAAATTCCCGCCGTACATCAACGGTCGAAGTCTCACGGCGTCCATTGCAACCGTAATGGCCATGTTTGTGGAATCGGATAGCAATTAACTTACTAGCTGGAATTATCAGACACAGCTGTGTACAATGTGCACAACCATGGGTGCGTGAATGTGTATTTCTTTGCCTCCAAAGTGGATATTTGTTTGAGATCAAGGGGATAAATTATTGTTTAACACGAACTGTAGCCACTGCAATTCCAGATAGCACAAACTAGCTGCAGGGGAAAAAAAAGAATGACAACTTACCGACTTTATGTTTAAAAAGGTACGTTCGTTGTATGTAATTACCTGTTTTTGGTTACTTAACCGGGTACTGAATGTTGGAGAAACAGTCAGGCAAGTTTGAACAAACACCACCAAAACAACCCAATACAGCCGCCATCTTAAGTTTCTGCGGTAGTGACGTCAGTACACAAACAATAGAAACAAGGGTTTGGATGAGGGCAAGTTCAGACAAGTGTAGCGTCGCTTTGGCCTCCGTGACAAAAATTTCTCTCGCAAGAATATTCTATTAAAATCAGCCAATCAGATACAATTGAAAGTAGCTCAAAACCAATCAGAGGTAATATATTTTTACATTCATATAAAGGCGCTTGGAATCGAAAAGTAAAGCCATTTTCACTTCGTTTCCTCTGCGATGGCAGTGTCTGGAAACGTTGTAACAACATTTTTGGAAAAAATTAACCTCGAAAAATATAGCGGAAGACTTGTTGGTCAAGGCTACCAAACTGTTCTTGATTTGTGTCTTTTAAACGAGGAGGACTTAAATTCTATAAGTATCACAGACAAAGAGGATAGGGAAAAAATTTTGCAAGCAGGTAGGAAATCAAACATCTAGCTGTATGACCTCTACACCACTAAATTTATGCATAGTATGTCGTATTGATTTTCACCCTAAAAATAATGTTTTATTTATTGCCTACAATAATATTGCCCTATGTAATTCCTAACCTACGATCCTCAGGCTACTCGATGAATTGTTTGTTAGTAAGTTAATGGAGTTGGACTGTCTGATTGCCCGGCTCCTATTAAAATTCCCGGCTTCTGACAGTGAACATGATGAATATATATATTTTTTATACCCATCAGCTTCTGAACTGGATATCGCAGAATGGCTTAATTATATGGAATTGGGAGCGTACACCAGCGAATTTAAAAGAGAGGGCATCCATACTGTTAAAGACCTAAGGGCCCATGAGATTTCAGATGACCTCCTAGATGAATTAGAAGTCATGATCCCGGGACATCGAAAAAGAATTAAAACTGCAGGTAAATGTTTACATGTAAATAGCATTTTGTCTAACCAGCTGGGATCGAAGTTGAAAACCTAACGGCTTATTTTAAATGTTACAAGATTCTTCAGCCGAAGCATTTGAAGTTTCAGCGTTGGCTAACATGTAAGCTTTAACAGCATTTTTTCCTCCCTCTGACTGCAATTCCTAGGCTAAGGGAATCAATTTGCCGATCAGGAAGAAAAGAAGCTAAAAGAAATTGAAATACAATCTAAACGTCTAAACAAAACACAAGGAATATTGCTCATCATCAAGAAACATTTAGATCGTCACTAACGGGGGTTCCCCTTTACATCAAAGAGATTAAAATACTTTAGCCATTGTGCGGCTTTGAAAGGCAAGTTTTGAAGCATAAACGTTTTTTCCTCCGAAAGATTGCGAAGAAACATGTCAATTGATGAAAACACGCGAGCAAAGTTAACTCTGATTGACTTTAATACCTGTCTGTGTTCTCGAACCGTTTTTATAAGCTATCCTCTTAAAAGTTATGTTTCATTTTAAGTAGGCCACTGCTAATTTCACCTCTTCGGTTGCATCAGGTATAACTAATTCATGGCTGTAAGCAGAGGGCAACTGGAATACACTTTATAATTTCAGATTTGCAGATAAAAACACGCTTTTAATGTAATTGGGGATCTCGGACCCTTAATGTCTTTCTTCCAAACAACCTGCATCCTCAGGTCGTATCCTATAAGGCTCCGCATCTTTATAATGAAGACGCAAGCAGGAATTACTGCTTTTTCAAAATAATTTCATGAAGAAAGTTTGTTCAAAATATTCTCTTCTAAAATATTAAATTTTTAACAGGTTTTGGTTTTCTCGCTATTCGCTGACCACGTGCTCGAGCTAGCTGAGCGCGCTTTGCTAACCCTCCCTGCGCACTGATTCATTTTGATTTTTCTAGTTGACTGTGTAAATCGCTAAAGGACTTGTTTTTCAATTCTGCAACACGATGATAAATTTATTATGAATTAGCCACAATTTATCGCCCTAGTATAAGTACACTCGTATATTTGTGGCGCCAGAGGAAGAGGAGTCGACAAAGGACGATCAGAAGAAGTATTTACAGTTAGTTTTGTATCAGTAAACCCAGGGAACATATAGGCTTTTAAAAAACATTTTCAATATGCGGTCGTCCTAAACCAACATGGATCCGAAGTTCAGTTGCTTAAAAACGCAGATGTCATATTTGGTGCCCCGTTTTGAGAATTTACTTTAGGGAACCCAAGCACCATTGACGGTGCCATGATCTGAGTTTGCTCATATACAATACATGTAATTTCTTTGGTACAGATTAACTCTCTCTGTTATTAGATCATTGTGAAGGGTACAGAATTCAGTTTGAGACGGGGCAGTTTTTAAGTTCTTACCTTTTCGCGTGACGGACCGTTTAGTAATTACACGGTATTAAACATTCGTTTTCACAAGTATTAAGCAACACCGAGATGCGATATGATCGTTCCTGCTCTCTGTCGGAACTTAAACGAAATCATTCAGTTTTGCTTTTGCTTTATCTGAGTTAGTCTAGCATACTTGGTTTAAAAAACGCAAAGAGACACATTATTCCGGAATGAATTTGTTGTTCGAACACAACTCTCGTTAGTAGGGCCTGGTTTCAAACTTTAAGTCTCTGGTATTTTATAGCTCTCAGGTATTTATCTTCAACAACTGTTGAATCAATTCTGCCTGATTTGTTGCTCATTTTCGTCCTTCTTTCGAGCAATGAAACATTATTAAAAGCCGTCTTACTCTTTTTTTAAATACTAAGGTGTTCAACAAACAACTCCGACACGGAAGGGTTAGCGTTCAGTTGCACTGTTCTGTATACTGACTGCCTATTAATCGATGCATGTTTATACCCTTCACGTTGTTTCAACTTTTGCCGTTTATGTTTAACCATCATAAGACCATATGAATTAAAGTAAATTTACTTTCAAGCATTGCTTTTTCATAAAATTAGTTTTATATGGTTAACTGAAGTTAGTCAAAGAAGAGGCAATGATCGTTTCTGCGTAATTCAAGCATAGCCGGTGAATGTTTATAATTATAAAGGTGCTTACTTAATTACAGTCTTTCAAACTCCTCTAGATAATATTTTGTATTTAAACTGCAATCATGTGTTTGCCGGTATGCTGAAGTTTAAAATGGTCTACCTCAACATTCTCAGGGAAGAATACGAAACATAAAATTATTTCTCATGGTTTTTATTATTATTTCCACTGGCAGTATCATTTCTGCAATCAAGCATTTCCGGCCCTGATGATGTGAGTCAAAGTGTTTCCGAGGTGGTAATAGGCTACTGGGGCCGGCCACCAGATATGGAAGGCAATAACTACGATTTCCTTTGCGTCCCTGGTTTTCTTAAGTCCAGCACTGGAGAGGGTATGTAGGGTGTACTGATTTTGGAATGTTCTTTGTTCCCATTGCTGAAGCACTCAACAGTCAGTTGAAAATATGAGTCATTTCATATATTTCCATTCAAGTCGGCCATATGTTAGCCTAATACAGGCTTTAACCAGGTCACACGTGTAAAACAAGACCCAGTCAATTGGTTAGTCAGTCAGTTGGCCAAATCAGTATAACTCAGCTTGTCTGTAACTCCAGACAAATAAGCAGACAGTCAATTATCTACTGGCCTGCTGTTCAAGTTCTGTACCATCCAGTTGGCCTAAAGCAAATTCAATCACTCATTGATCATTCAGTTTTTAAAGCCAGGCATCAAGCAAGATTTCAGTGAGTGTTACTTGTTCAGAGAGTCTGGCATAAGGCATGTTGGGCTCTCTTGTTACCAGGAAATCCTGACTGGCTTGTTACTAACTGTCAGTCAGTTGCATAGTCAACCAGTCAGCCAGCAGCAATCCAGTCAAACAATCTATCAGCCACAGTCACATAGTAAGTGAGTTAGCCAGCAAGTCAGTCAGTCAGTCAGTTGGTAATTTAGCCAGTCAATCAACAGGTCTGAAACAGGGGCATTATGGGCTCCTGCAGTCAGGCTGTTTGTCAGGCAGTCAATCAATTAGTCTTCCATTCCAGCCAGTAGCAAGTCTGCCAGTCAGACAGTCAGACAATCAGTGAGTCAGCCAGAAAGTCAGTCAATAAGTTGGTAATTTAGCCAGTCAGCCAACAGGAGCATGGGCTCCTGCAGTCAGAAAGTCAATCAGTTGCATAGTCAACCAGTCTTCCAGCCAGCAGGAAGCCATGCAGTCAATCAATCTATCAGCCAGTCAAACAAAGAGGCAATCAGTGAGTCAGCCAGAAAGTCAGTCTCAAAGTTGGTCATTTGGCCAGTCAGTGAACAGGGGCATCATGAGCTCCTGTAGTCAGGCTGTCAATCAATCAGTCAATCAGTTGCATAGTCAACCAGTCTTCCTGCCAGCAGCAAGCCAGTCAAACAGTTAGACAGTCAGACAATCAGTGAGACAGCCAGAAAGTCAATCAGTCAGTTCGGTCATCACCCCTCCTATTGTTTTCCTACCAGACAGGTTAAATTTAGAAGGTCAGACAGACCAGACCCAGGCCAAAAAGGCCAAAGGCAGGGCAAAAAGTCCAAATTCAAATAACCTGTCTAGTAGGAAAACAATAGGAGTAGTGAAAACAATAGAAATGTGTTGGTGGTGGTGGTGGTAATGGAGGGAGACAATAGAAATGAGTGAGTAAGCCAGAAAGTCGGTCAATCTGTTGGTAATTTAGTCAGTCAGCCAACAGGAGCATGGGATCCTGCAGTCAGAAAGTCAATCAGTTGCATAGTCAACCAGTCTTCCAGTCAGCATCAAGCCAACTAGTCAATCTATCAGCCAGTCAAACAGTCAGGCAATCAGTTAGTCAGCCAGACAGTCAGCCAATCAGTTGGTCATTAAGCCAGTCAGTCAACAGGAGCATCTTCAGCTCCTGCAGTCAGGCTGTCAATCAGCAGTCAATTAGTTGTATAGTCAACCAGTCTTCCAGCCAACAGTAAGCCAGTCAGTCAATCTATCAGTCAGACAATCAGTGAGTCAGCCAGAAAGCCAGTCACTAAGTTGATCTTTTAGCCAGTAAGTCAACAGGGGCATCATGGGCTCCTGCAGTCAGGCTGTCAATCAGTTGCATAGTCAACCAGTCTTCCAGCCAGCACCAAGCTAGTCAAACAGTCAAACAGTCAGGCAGTTAGTGAGTCAGCCAGAAAGTCAATCAATCAGTTGGTCATTTAGCCAGTCAGTCAACAGGAGAATCATGAGCTCCTGCAGTCAGGCTGTTAATCAGGCAGTCAACCAGTTGCATAGTCAACTAGTTTTCCAGCCACCAGCAAGTCAGCCAGTCAAACAGTCAGTGAGTCAGCCAGGAAGTCAGTCACTAGGTTGGTCATTTAGGCAGTCAGTCAACAGGAGCATCATGAGCTCCTGCAGTTGTATAGTCAACCAGTCTTACAGCCAGCAGCAAGCCAGTCAGTGAATCTATCACCCAGTCAAACAGTCAGTGAGGCAACCAGGAAGTCAGTCACTAAGTATGCTGCTCCAAGTCTGCTGGTTGACTTACCCATCCAGCAAATAGAGAGAATGGAATTGGGAGGCCAATGGTTAAAACTATACTCTCTGAAATCGTTTACCTTCATTTGCTGTGTGAGAATGTCTCAACTACAGCTCAACTGCATTATCAGGGATGTACATGTTTTATTAACTTAATTCAAAAGGGTACTTGTTTGTTAAAAAATGTAGAAAGATATGAGCTATAAGATACTTTGAGTTTGTGATAAAAACAAAACGCTCTTAAACCAGATCATAGAGACTAACTCATTTTAAAACGATGTTATACTTGACAATTGGCAGCGACGTTTTAAAGGCAACACAGCGTTACGACATTGTTTCGTCATAGTTTCGAATTGTTACAACATTTTTCTAACATTGTTGCTCTTAAAAGCGTCGTTGCAAATCACTTCGTTTAATATCACCTTTAGGTTTACAATAGATGAAACTAATCGGCCTGCTGTACTTTTCCGGTAATTGGAACATGAAAATTGTTTGTTTTTCAGACGCTCAGTCATCAGGACTCATTCAGTTTATAGTTGACAGTGGCAGTGAAGTTGGCGTGACTGTGACGTCACAGTTGATTAAAGATCTTCAACTGGAGTATCTCCATAACATAGAAAGTAGAGGCGTCCACGCTACGAGAGACAGGCCAGTTTATCGAGGGGTCCTAAAGCTTGGGTCAGAAGAATTTGAAGTTGAAGTAAGCTGATAACACCTTCCAGAGTATTATTTTGTTTATTAACCCTCTTAGGTCTTTTAGCCAAGAGATTTCTCCTAACAGTATTAATACACAATCAAGAGAAAAGGTTATGAGAATTGAGAAAGTGATCAACAAAGGGAAAATGCTTTGATCTTTTATCAAATTCTCCCAACTAATTCCTTAAGGAAATGTATGGAGATCAGTCAGGAGAATTGGTATGTGCATATTGGGTCTCAAAGGGTTAAAACTGTGAATGAGTTGATCAATATTTTCCATCTTTTTTTTTTTTTCTTTAACTAAATGACTGAAATTGGTTCCAGCTTTCCATAAAAGGCAGAAACTAATATTGATCTTGATTATTTTTAGGGTTTCTTCTATTGTTTCATCAATAGCACCTTTATAATAATTTCTAATCGGTTCCACGCTGATTTTCTATCAAAAGATGTTTCACATTTACGACAAGTTAAAGTTTTTTGCTATTAAAAGGGAACCTCTGATCTTCCTTAATTTGTCTCGATTGGGGCAGAACTTAACTGTAGCAGGGAAAACAGCGGAACTTGAGTTTCGCGACGGTACAACCTTTTACTGGTCATCTCGCAATGGAACCACTGAAACGTAGCTCTGCAAAAAGTTCCCTGTATTTTCAGGCTTAAGTTAACTCTATTCTGACTTTTGATTCCAATGTCTTCTTTTGGACAATTAATGTTTCGATGCATGGAGACTTTGCGCCTCAAAAAAACAAAAGACAAAATCAACGAAGTAACTAAAGAAAGTATCTTACTTTTTACCCGCCAAAATGGTAGCTCCTTTCCAAATGTGTGCGCTTCCGAAGTAAATATTTGACTATTAAAGAAAAGAGACAAAAGGTAAAATACTTTTCTCCCAGACTGTCAAGTATTTGCCTAAATGTTTTTTATCTCTTTTGCAGGTAATGCCGGACAGATTTTGTACGGTAGGTGCTGTCGTAATGAGAAAATTCAAGCATTTTATAAACGGACGTCTTCATCGCTGGCTGAAAGATGACCCACAGGCTTCTGATAACCCACCATCACAAGTTGAAGACTGCTAAAAAAATTTTGCAAGAGCTGTAGCTGTTTTGCTAGCCTGCGAGCAAGCTCTCCTGTTTGCGCAAGCGAAGTGAGCCTCGCGAGAACGCGGGAGCGTAGGGCCGGGGTTTCTCTTCCCCTCCCCTGCTCCCGGCTTCACCGCTCGCTCGCGCGTTCTCGCGAGACACGCTTCACTCGCCCAAATAGGAGAGCTTGCTCGCAGACTACTGTTTTGCCTTATCGTTTGGTTCCGCTGGCGAAACCGAAATGAAAGACTGCATCAGCAAAACTTTCATGTTCTTTGCAATTGACATTGTTTTCGAAAACGAATAAATGTATTGGAAAAAAGAAATTGTTTATGATATTTATTTTTGATAGGAATACGCGATGGCTCCAGTTTTCACTTTAAAATTTCTCAGCTTCCTAGCTTATAGGAAGTATATGATAGGAGGTGTATAATAAGTCAAAATGCCCAAAATATGAATGAATGGATGCGTTTATAAATTAATTAATAATAACATTATAATAGTTTGTATCAACCTCGTTCCCAGGGTGGGCGGGTAGGAGAGAACCCTGGGAACGAGGTTGAGTTTGTATATGAAATTTGGAGCCAAATCGACAACTTATTTTACATTTTTTTTATTTATGTTCAATAAATGGAGTTTATTTCAATATTGTTGGTGTCCTTTTTTGACGCTGTGGCTATATGGCCGGTAACCAGAACCGGTTTGCATATACTTTTGCGCGATTCGGTACAATGACACATGGACTGATTTCATTTAAAATTTCAGTGCAATAATCACGGGAGAAGGGGGACCGTTTGTATTGACGCCTGCCAGATAAATGAGGATCAGGAGGATCGTTGCGAACATTTTACCATTACCAGCCGCAGTTCAGGAAAATGAGTCCGCACTCATCCTTCGGGGATGATTTGAGGGTATATACGTCATGGCTGAATACCATATAGTCGTTCACCCCAGGATCACGTGGGGTGGACGAATATATGGCATTCAGCCATGAAGTATATATCCAAAGACCGGCCTGGGAAGACGACTGATATCGAACCAAAGTTGCCGCATTTAAGCTCATTTGGGGTCCGCACCAAGAATTTTGGCGAAGTCCTGGGGAATTTTTACAAAATGCAAGCCACCGAACAAAGGTTATTGTCATTCCCCACCGGATCTGCCTGCAGCCTGAATGAACTCAGTTTCAATGTTTTGCTAGCTTCCATTCTGGATCGTCACGCAATCCATCCCGTGATGAAGGAACGCGTGAGAGTAGACTACGAGCAGCCTCTCTTTTTTCTGTAGTCCGTCGAGAAAAACGCGAGACACGCAAATGGCCACGCGCGTGACTGATGGCGCGATTCGCGCGTCTCGCGGCTTCGCCGCTCCCGCGCACGTGCATTGCTCTCACTAAATCTGAAGAAAAAGAGAGACTACTCGCAGTCTACTAGCCTGCGTAGCAAGCGTTTCTAGTCGAGTTATCGCGCAAAAGTTATAGCGGGAGCAAAAAAAATGGAAGGGGGAGGGGGAGGGGAGAAGAGGGAACGCTTGCCCGCAAGCCCCACGATTCTGGAAAACGCCCCTTTATATTTCACGGTTCGGTTAATTTGTAAATTGACAGCTTGTCAAAATAGAAGTATGACAAACAGGTTACCCCTGGAATACAAGAATTGTAAAATCACTTTGTTCTCTAATAAAACACGTTCCAGGCGATTGGAAAAACTGTATTCCTTTTTTTTTTTGCTCTCGTCCCAACTTTCTCGACTAACTCGCGCGCAAACGCTTGCTATGCAACCTCGTCCCCAGGGCTTTTCCCTCAAAAAATGGGTGGGGCCGGCCCAGGGAACGAGGTTGGCTTGCTATGCAGGCTAGCAGTCTACGTGAGGAGTTTCTTCTTGGGAGTTGAACTGCTGGAAGTTGGGAGTTCTTCTGGATCCTTCGGGATTGATGGCCGAGCGAACATGCTACAGCTGCTGTCAAACCTTATTCTTCCACGCTGCAGTTCTTAGTTGTGTGCGTGACTGAAAAACTTCTTCTTATTGTTGAACTCGCGCTACTGTAGCTACTGGTGTCTTTTAAGGATATTTTTAAAAAGGTCTCTATCGGTTTTCACCCCGTTGGTTTTTGGTGTTGCGCACAGAGTGATCGACATTTTTTCATAATACAAAAATGTAAACCACTTTTCGTCGGATTATCATCTCTACACGCGTAAGATTCCATATGTTTCGGCGATCATGGTCGACATCGACGTGGTGTCACATTTTCCTCAGAACACAAAGAACCTGACCCTTTGAGTTAAAAGTGCGATTCAAGAGTCCAATTTTTGCAATGTTCAAAACCTCATCTTGTCAAGAATCGAAAAAGAACCAGAAAAGAAGAAGGCAAAAAATTGGCCGAGTGTCGTCTCATCCAGAATTCCTTGCGAGCCTCTCTATCACCTGACTGATTTCCCGCGCTTTTTGACACTTTAGCGAGGAAACAAGATGTCTGCTCCTTCGACACCGCGAGGAAGAAAGCGTTCTAGGACAAGTCCACCACGTATGTATTTCACAATGATATAGCTTGTTGAAAGCTTAATTATTCTAAGACTTTCAGTTGATATTTTCGCCAATGCAAGTTTCAATGCAAAAATATATCGATCTAATTTGCACAATTAGTTCTGTTCGATGATCGTAATCATAACTTCTGCAAAAGTTTCCCAACAATTTTCATTAACGCGGGAGGTTGAAGAAACGATTGTAAATAAGCTTAATATATTTTCGGTCGTAAATATTCGATTTATTGTTCATTACCTGTACACTTTTGCAAAAATATGGAAATTAAAATGGAATTGAAATTGTTCACTTGATCAAAGACATTGTCGGCCGGAAGATGCCCTTAAAGATTCAAACCATGAGCCAACTTTTATTTAAAATGTCCTGAGCTATAAATCCTTTATAAGCCAGATCTAAAACTTTTAATAAACTTATATCTTTTTAGCGTCTGATGCATCAAAGGCTAGCACTGCTATGTAGCTTGATTCTAAACGCTTCTTTTAGTCTGGTAATAAGCCCCACCGGATATAAGCCCCCTCTCCCATTTATAAGCCCTCCTAAAGCCCTTTGGAAGTTGAAAAAACCCAGGGCTTGAAAGCAGAAGTTAAGCCACAGACCTTCAAATCCCCCCTCCCCCTCCCCCGAGTCCCCGGTGCCTCCTTCTTCTGGGTTTGAATAAATAACCAGTACACCATCAATCATTAAGACGAAAAAAAATGCGTTAATTAATGTTGTATCTTTTTACTTCTCTTAGACCGGAAAACAATGCAATACATCCAATCTGACGCCTTGTTCAGTGATTATAATGGTCATCAGTATCTCACTGAAGCGACTCTGTCATTGGTCTACTATTCACTGGTTTAACCAATCAGTGAGCAGCTCCAGCCAGGTACTGGACATCTGGAGTTACAGGCCTTCCTCCGGGCTTAGAGGAGAGGACGTTTTAAGCCCTGATACTCATGCTACAGAAATAAAATTAACCATAAATGACTCTTCTTTTGTTCCCACTTTTATTACTAATTTGTGAAAGACTGGTGCAATTTGCCAAAGAAGTAGTAATAACATTTATTTACACAGGATTTAAAACTCTTTAAAGAAGCTATGCTATGCTACAGTAAAAACTCATGACTAAGAACCTGCATTTTGCCAAGTTAGCCTAAACAGGTATTTAGGTTCTTAAAGAGGTTCTTATTTTCTGAAGAGAAAGATACATGGTAGCTTAGAGTATTTAGTGGTAGTCAGCTCATTCCTTAGGTAAAACCTGTATATCATAACAATATATTGCAGTTGGAGTACTAAGGCACCATTAAACATTTTAGAAAATAAGAACCTGTTCCAAATTTTAGGCTAAACAGGTTCTTGTATAGAGGGGGCCTAACTGGTACATGTAAATTTTAGCCTAACAGGTTCTTAAAAACCATGATCTTAGTCGTGGGTTTTTACTGTATTTGCTACCTTTTCAAAAAATATCTAAAACATGTCTTTGTATCAATTGAAATAAATTCCACAAATGATGGTCCAGTTTTGTAATTTAAGATAGACCTTGAAACTGTTTTCTCTCACTATGGATGGCAAGGAAGGACAGGTCAGGACATGGATTAAGAAAATTGGGCCAATTTTTTTCAAGTTTCAATGCTACGCTGGCAAAAATCAACAAAAAATTATTATGGCTAGTGCTCTCTGAAGAAAGTTGTTTGATATATTCTTCATAACACTACAGGAGCATTTTCTACATGTATTAAGGCAGAAGAATTGACCTAAAACAGCAATAGCCTCATGACATTACCCCTTTAAGATGAGCTGATGCAGTGCTGCCAGTTTCTCCAGAAGCTTGGGCAACTGTTGAAAATCATCATCTAATTAACACAGAAGCGTTTCTCAAAGAAAATAATTTTTAAAAAAGGATTTTTTAAAAGGTTGGGTTAATGAGAGTGACATAATCATGGCTAAATTATAATAAAGGGTGTAAACTCAATACAGTTTTTTTTTTTTGCTTTCTGAACTAAAATTCAGCGCCTAAAAATTCATCTCCTGGCATGTTGCTTACATTTGACAAATTTAACAACTTGAAATATCTTGGTTAGAGAGGGTTACAAAGAATAAGACTAGAACACTGGTTGAGGGCATTAACTGTTGAAGTTTTGAAGGCCACTGATTAGCAGAAATACTTCCAACAGTAGGCCCAAGGTGCACTCTATGAATTACGGAAGGCCTGAAAGAGAAGAAAAATGTTGTTTTATATATATAATATATATACACAAGAGGGGACAGAATATTATCCTCTCAATAATCATTGTAAGCAAGAAGCAGGAACAGCAAGAAGCAGGAACAGGACTCAGCATTTTTAATTTTTAACACAGGGATTTCTGAAATCATTTGGGTGGACAATATTTTGCTGGTTTTCACTCTCATGCTATCAAAAATAAAACTTATATTGATACCATTCAATAGATTAAGTCCAGAATCTGAGAAGATAAATGTGTTAACAGCTGTGCCAAGGGACACCAATATGGCGGCTAGAAAGCGACATAAACACAATTGATGCCAGAAATCCCTGTGATAAAGCTTCTGTCTGTTTCGTGACACAGCTCCTTTAAGTTTACAATATCCATGCAAGTGAAATTCCCACGAAACTCTACTGAAGTGTGAAAAGGATGCAGGCATGAAAACTTTAAAGTTTATGTGACAAATATGCCAAACCTTACTTTATATGTCTTATGTAAATAGCACCAATTAAGTTTATAATTTATATAATACCCGAGCATGTGAAATTCCCTTGAAAATCTACTGAAGTGTGAAAAGGATGCTGGCTTTAATTACGAAGGTCACAAAATATATTTCAAAGTTTATGAAGCAGTAAATATGCAAAACCCTGCTTTAGCAAATTAAAATTACCATGAAAATCTACTGACGTGTGAGAAGGATGCTGGCTAAAATTATTATATTTATTTTTCAGATATTTGCGGCCATTTATTTTCCACTGTAATGCATTTTCCGCTCATTGTCATTTTATACGCAGTAGTTGGCTGTTCACATTTCAAAATAAATATTATGACTGGTTGTGACGAAGACACCAGATTATATATTCAGCCAATCACATAATAGCAATCACATAACTTAAACACTCAATTAAAATCCACTGTGTAAACATTTAGTTCTACAAGAATGCAATTACTTATATTTTTCAACAAGAGCTAAAATAAAGCTATAAACTGCAACTTAGATTTCCGGTAATACATTATAAAATATAATTCTTTAGCGTCAATCGGAAATGCAAAGGCTACATCAACGGTCGAAGTCTCACGGCGCCCATTGCAACCGCAATGGCAGTAATGGCCATGTTTGTGGAATCTGATAGCAATTAACTTAACTAGCTGGACTTATCAGACACAGCTGTGTACAATGTGTACAACCATGGGTGCGTGAATGTGTATTTCTTTGCTCTAAAGTGGATATTTGTTTGAGATCAAGGGGATAAATTATTGTTTAACACGAACTGTAGCTACTGCAATTCCAGATAGCACAAACTAGCTGCAGGGGAAAAAAGGATGACAACTTACCGACTTTATGTTTAAAAAGGTACGTCCGTTGTATGTAATTAACTGTTTTTGGTTACTTAACCGGGTACTGAATGTTGGAGAAATAGTCAGGCAAGTTTGAACAAACACCACCAAAACAATCCAATACAGCCGCCATCTTGAGTTTCTGCGGCTGTGACGTCAGTACACAAACAATAGAAACAAGGGTTTGGATGAGGGCAAGTTCAGACAAGTGTAGCGTCGCTTTGGCCTTCGTGACAAAAATTTCCCTCGCAAGAATATTCTATTAAAATCAGCCAATCAGAAACAATTGAAAGCAGTTCAAAACCAATCAGAGGTAATATATTTTTACATTCATATAAAGGCGCTTGAAATCGAAAAGTAAAGCCATTTTCACTTCGTTTCCTCTGCGATGGCAGTGTCTGGAAACGTTGTAACAACATTTTTGGAAAAAATTAAGCGGAAGACTTGTTGGTCAAGGCTACCAAACTGCTCTTGATTTGTGTCTTTTAAACGAGGAGGACTTAAATTCTATAAGTATCACAGACAAAGAGGATAGGGAAAAAATTTTGCAAGCAGGTAGGAAATCAAACATCTATCTGTATGACCTCTCCACCGCGAAATTTATGCATCGTATGTCGTATTGATTTTCACCCTAAAAATAATGTTTTATTTATTGCCTAGAATAATATTGCCCTGTGTAATTCCTAACCTACGATCCTCAGGCTACTCGACGTATTGTTTGTTAGTAAGTTTATTGAGTTGGACTATCTGATTGCCTATTAAAATTCCCGGCTTCTGACAGTGAACATGGTGAATATATATATATTTTTTATACCCATCAGCTTCTGAACTGGATATCGCACTATGGCTTCATCACATGGAATTGGAGGCGTACACCAGCGAATTTAAAAGAGAGGGCATCCATACTGTTAAAGACCTAAGGGCCCATGAGATTTCAGATGACCTCCTAGATGCATTAGAAGTCATGATCCCGGGACATCGAAAAAGAATTAAAACTGCAGGTAAATGTTTACATGTAAATAGCATTTTGTCTAACCAGCTGGGATCGAAGTTGAAAACCTAACGGCTTATTTTAAATGTTACAAGATTCTTCAGCCAAAGCATTTGAAGTTACAGCGTTGGCCAACATGTAAGCTTTAATAGCATTTTTTCCTCCCTCTGACTGCAATTCCTAGGCTAAGGGAATCAATTTGCCGATCAGGAAGAAAAGAAGCTAAAAGAAATTGAAATACAATCTAAATGTCTAAACAAAATACAAGAAATATTGCTCATCATCAAGAAACAATTAGATCGTCACTAACGGGGGTTCCCCTTTACATCAAAGAGATTAAAATACTTTGGCCATTGTGCCCCTTTGGAAGGCAAGTTTTGAAGCATAAAGGTTTTTTCCTCCGAAAGATTGCCAGTGGATTGCGAAGAAACATGTCAATTGATGAAAGCAGGCGAGCAAAGTTAAATCTGATAGACTTTAATACCTGTCTGTGTTCTCGAACCGTTTTTATAAGCTATCCTCTTAAAAGTTATGTTTCATTTTTAGTAGGCCACTGCTAATTTCACCTCTTCGGTTGCATCAGGTATAACTAATTCATGGTTGTAAGCAGAGGGCAACTGGAATACACTTTATAATTTCAGATTTGCAGATAAAAAACACGCTTTTAATGTAATTGGGGATCTCGGACCCTTAATGTCTTTCTTCCAAACAACCTGCATCCTCAGGTCGTATCCTATAAGGCTCTGCATCTTTAAAATGAAGACACAAACAGGAATTACTGCTTTTTCATCATAATTTCATGAAGAAAGTTTTTTTAAAATATTCTCTTCTAAAATATTAAATTTTTAACAGGTTTTGGTTTTCTCGCTATTCGCTGACCACGTGCTCGAGCTAACTGAGCGCGCTTTGCTAATCCTCCCTGCGCACTGATTAATTTTGATTTTTCTAGTTGACTGTGTAAATCGCTAAAGGACTTGTTTTTCAATTCTGCAACACGATGATAAATTTATTATGAATTAGCCACAATTTATCGCCCTAGTATAAGCATACTCGTATATTTGTGGCGCCAGAGGAAGAGGAGTCGACAAAGGACGATCACAAGAAGTATTTACAGTTAGTTTTGTATCAGTAAACCCAGGGAACGTATAGGCTTTTAAAAACCATTTTCATTATGTAGTCGTCCTAAACCAACATGGAAGTTCAGTTGCTTAAAAACGCAGTCGTGTCAGATTTGGTACCCCGTTTTGAGAATTTACTTTCGGGAACCCAAGCACCAATGACGGTGCCATGATCTGAGTTTGCTCATACAATACATGTAATTTCTTTGGTATAGATTAACTCTCTCTGTAATTAGACCATTGTGAAGGGTACAGTATTCAGTTTGAGAAGGGGCAGCTTTTAAGTTCTTACCTTTTCGCGTGACGGACTATTTAGTAATTACACAGTATTTAAACATACGTTTTTCGCGAGTATTAAGCTATATCGAGATGCGATATGATCGTGCCTGCTCTCTGTTGGAACTTGAATATAAATTTTAAACGCAAATCATTCAGTTTCACTTTTGCTTCATCTGAGTTAGTCTAGCATACTTGGTTTAAAAAAACGCAAAGAGAAACATGATTCCGGAATGAATTTGTTGTTCTCTAACTCTCGTTAGTAGGGCCTGGTTTAAAACTTTAAGTCTCTGGTATTTTATAGCTCTCAGGTATTCATCTTCAACAACTGTTGAATCAATTCTGCCTGATTTGTTGCTCATTTTCGTCCTTCTTTCGAGCAATGAAACATTATTAAAAGCCGTCTTACTCTTTTTTTTAAATACTAAGGTGTTCAACAAACAACTCCGACACGGAAGGGTTAGCGTTCAGTTGCACTGTTCTGTATACTGACTGCCTATTAATCGATGTATGTTTATACCCTTCACGTTGTTTCAACTTTTGCCGTTTATGTTTAACCATCATAAGGCCATATGAATTAAAGTAAATTTACTTTCAAGCATTGCTTTTTCATAAAATTAGCTTTATATGGTTAACTGAAGTTAGTCAAAGAAGCGGCAATGATCGTTTCTTCGTATTCAAGCATAGCCGGTGAATGTTTATAGTTATAAAGGTGCTTACTTAATTACAGTCTTTCAAACTCCTCTAGATAATATTTTGTATTTAAACTGCAATCATGTGTTTGTCCCGGTATGCTGAAGTTTAAAATGGTCTACCTCAACATTCTCAGGGAAGAATACGAAACATAAAATTATTTCTCATGGTTTTTGTTATTATTTCCACTGGCAGTATCATTTCTGCAATCAAGCATTTCTGCTCCTGATGATGTGAGTCAAAGTGTTTCCGCGGTGGTAATAGGCTACTGGGGCCAGCCAGAAGATATGCAAGGCAATAACTACGATTTCCTTTGTGTCCCTGGTTTTCTTAAGTCCAGCACTGGAGAGGGTATGTAGGGTGTACTGATTTTAGAATGTTCTTTGTTATTATTGCTAAGAAAAGGCCACTCTAGCAGAAAACGCAACAGTCAGTTCAAAATATGATTCATTTCCATTCAAGTCGGCCATATGTTAGCCTAATACAGGCTTTAACCAGATCACACGTGTAAAACAAGACCCAGTCAATTGGTTAGTCAGTCAGTTGGCCAAATCATTACAACTCAGCTTGTCAGTAACTCCAGACAAATAAGCAGACAGCCAGTTATCTACTGGCCTGCTCTTCAAGTTCTGTACCATCCAGTTGGCCTAAAGCAGAGTCAATCATTCATTGATCATTCAGTTTTTAAAGCCAGGCATCAAGCAAGATTTCAGTGAGTGTTACTTGTTCAGAGAGTCTGGCATAAGCCAAATTAGGCTCTCTTGTTACCAGGAAATCCTGACTGGCTTGTTACTAACTGTCAGTCAGTTGCATAGTCAACCAGTCAGCCAGCAGCAATCCAGTCAAACAATCTATCAGCCACAGTCACATAGTCAGTGGGTTAGCCAGCAAGTCAGTCAGTCAGTCAGTTGGTCATTTAGCCAGTCAATCAACAGGTCTGAAACAGGGGCATTATGGGCTCCTGCAGTCAGGCTGTCAATCAGGCAGTCAATCAATTAGTCTTCTATTCCAGCCAGTAGCAAGTCTGCCAGTCAGACAGCCAGACAATCAGTGAGTCAGCCAGAAAGTCAGTCAATAAGTTGGTAATTTAGCCAGTCAGCCAACAGGAGCATGGGCTCCTGCAGTCAGAAAGTCAATCAGTTGCATAGTCAACCAGTCTTCCAGCCAGCAGGAAGCCATGCAGTCAGTCAATCTATCAGCCAGTCAAACAAACAGGCAATCAGTGAGTCAGCCAGAAAGTCAGTCACAAAGTTGGTCATTTAGCCAGTCAGTGAATAAGGGCATCATGAGCTCCTGCAGACAGGCTGTCAATCCATCAGTCAATCAGTTGCATAGTCAGCCAGTCTTCAAGCCAGCACCAAGCCAGTCAAACAGTTAGACAGTCAGACAATCAGTGAGACAGCCAGAAAGTCAATCAGTCAGTTCGGTCATCACCCCCCCTATTGTTTTCCTACCAGACTGGTTAAATTTAGAAAGTCAGACAGGCCAGACCCAGGCCAAAAAGGCCAAAGGCAGGGCAAAAAGTCCAAACTCAAATAACCTGTCTAGTAGGAAAACAATAGGAGGACTGAAAATAATAGAAATGTGTTGGTGGTGGTGGTGGTAATGGAGGGAAACAATAGAAATGAGTGAGTAAGCCAGAAAGTCAGTCAATCAGTTGGTAATTTAGCCAGTAAACCAACAGGAGCATGGGATCCTGCAGTCAGAAAGTCAATCAGTTGCATAGTCAACTAGTCTTCCAGCCAGCATCAAGCCAATCAGTCAACCTATCAGCCAGTCAAACAGTCAGGCAATCAGTTAGTCAGCCAGACAGTCAGCCAATCAGTTGGTCATTAAGCCAGTCAGTCAACAGGAGCATCTTGAGCTCTTGCAGTCAGGCTGTCAATAAGCAGTCAATTAGTTGTTTAGTCAACCAGTTTTTCAGCCACCAGTAAGCCAGTCAGTCAATCTATCAGTCAGACAATCAGTGAGTCAGCAAGAAAGTCAGTCACTAAGTTGATCTTTTAGCCAGTAAGTCAACAGGGGCATCATGGGCTCCTGCAGTCAGGCTGTCAATCAGTTGCATAGCCAACCAGTCTTCCAGCCAGCACCAAGCCAGTCAAACAGTCAAGCAGCCAGTCAACAGGAGAATCATGAGCTCCTGCAGTCAGGCTGTTAATCAGGCAGTCAATCAGTTGCATAGTCAACCAGTTTTCCAGCCACCAGCAAGTCAGCCAGTCAAACAGTCAGTGAGTCAGCCAGGAAGTCAGTCATTAAGTTGGTCATTTAGGCAGTCAGTCAACAGGAGTATCATGAGCTCCTGCAGTTGTATAGTCAACCAGTCTTACAGCCAGCAGCGAGCCAGTCAGTCAATCTATCAGCTAGTCAAACAGTCAGTGAGTCAACCAGGAAGTCAGCCACTAAGTTGGTCATTTAGCAAGTCAGTAAACAATGGCCATTATGGACTTCTGCAGTCAGGCAGTCAATCTGTTACATAGTCCATCATTCCTCCAGCCAGCAAACCAGCCAGTCAGTCAGCCCATTAGCCATTTAGACAGTCAGTCAGTCAGTCATGTCAGTTGACCATTGAGCCAGCCAGTCAGTCAGTCAAGTTTGTCTTTTAGCAATCAATCAACAGGAGTTAGGCTGCTACAGTTTAGTCAGTCGGTCAGTCAGACATGCTGTTAAGATAGTTAGTCAGTAACGACTTATGTTCAATGTCAGTATTGATAACTGACACTTAATGAATAAGTAGTCACTCACAGACTTAGAATCTGAGTTGCTCCAAGTCTGCTGGTTGACTTACCCATTCAGCAAATAGAGAGAATGGAATTAGGAGGTCAATGATTAAAACTATACTCTCTGAAATCGTTTACCTTCATTTGCTGCGTGAGAATGTCTCAACTTCATTATCAGGGATGCCCAGGTTTTATTAACTTAATTCAAAGGGGTACTTATTTGGTAAAAAATATAGAAAGATACGAGCTACTTGGAGTTTGTGATAAAAACAAAACACTCTTAAACCAGATCCTAGAGACTAACTCGTTTTAAGGCGATGTTATACTTGACAATTCTCCGCGACTTTTTAAAGGCAACACAGCGTTACGACATTGTTGCGTAATTGTTTCGAATTGTTGACAAATTTCCAACATTGTTGCAACGTTGTTGCAAATCACTTCGTTTAATATCACCTTTAGGTTTACAATAGATGAAACTAGTCGGCCTGCTGTAGTTTGCCGGTAATTGGAACATGAAAATTGTTTGTTTTTCAGACGCTCAGTCATCAGGACTCATTCAGTTTATAGTTGACAGTGGCAGTGAAGTTGGCGTGACTGTGACGTCAGAGGTAGTTAAAGATCTTCAACTGGAGTATCTCCATAGCGTAGAAAGTAGAGGCGTCCACGCTACGAGAGACAGGCCAGTTTATCGAGGGGTCCTAAAGCTTGGGTCAGAGGAATTTGATGTTGAAGTAAGCTGATAACACCTTCCATGGTATTATTTTGTTTATTAACCCTCTTAGGTCTTTTAGCCAAGAGATTTCTCCTAACAGTCTTAATACACAATCAAGAGAAAAGGTTTTGAGAATTGAGAAGTGATCAACAAAGGGAAAATGCTTTGATCTTTTATCAAATTCTCCCAAATAATTCCTTAAGGAAATGTATGGAGATCAGTCAGGAGAATTGGTATGTGGATATTGGGTCTTAAAGGGTTAAAACTGTGAATGAGTTGATCAATATTTTCCATCTTTTTTTTTTTCTTTAACTAAATAACTGAAATTTGTTCCAGCTTTCCATAAAAGGCAGAAACTAATGTTGATCTTGATTATTTTTAGGGTTTCGCCTATTGTTTCATCAATAGCACCTTTACAACAATTTCTAATCGGTTCCACGGTGATTTTTTATCAGAAGATGTTTCACATTTAAGACAAGTTAAAGCCTTTCGTAATTAAAAGGGAACCTCTGATCTTCCTTAATTTGTCTCGATTGGGGCAGAACTTAATTGTAGCAGGGAAAACAGCGGATTTTGAGTTTCGCGGCGGTACAACCTTTTACTGGTCATCTCGTAATGGAACCACTGAAACGTAGCTCTGCAAAGAGTTCCCTATATTTTCAGGCTTAAGTTAACTCTATTCTGACTTTTGATTCCATTGTCTTCTTTTGGACAAAATTTTTCGATGCATTGGGACTTTGCGCCTCAAAAAAACAAAAGACAAAGCCAACGAAGCAACTAAAGAAAGGATCTTACTTTTTACCCGCCAAAATGGCAGGTCCTTTCCAAATGTGTGCGCTTCCGAAGTAAATATTTTGCTATTAAAGAAAAGAGACAAAAGGCAAAATACTTTTCTTCCAGACTGTCAAGTATTTGTCTAAATGTTTTTTATCTCTTTCGCAGGTAATGCCGGACAGATTTTGTACGGTAGGTGCTGTCGTTATGAGAAAATTCAAGCATTTTATAAATGGACATTTTCATCGCTGGCTGAAAGATGACCCACAGGCTCCTGATAACCCACCATCACAAGTTGAAGACTGCTAAAAAAATTTTGCAAGAGCTGTAGCTGTTAATTTTGCTAGCCTGCGAGCAAGCTCTCCTATTTGCGCAAGCGAAGTGAGCCTCGCGAGAACGCGCGAGTTAGGGGCCGGGGTTCCTCTTCCCCTCGCGGCTTCGTCGCTTGCTCGCGCGTTCTCGCGAGACTCGCTTCACTCGCCCAAATAGGAGAGCTTGCTCGCAAGCTACTGTTTTGCTTTATCGTTTGGTTCCGCTGGCGAAACCGGAATGAAAGACTGCGTCAGTAAAACTTTCATGTTCTTTGCAATTGACATCGTTTTAAAAAACGGATAAATGTATTGGGAAAAAGAAATTGTTTATGATATTTATTTTTGATAGGAATACGCGATGGCTCCAGTTTTGACTTTAAAATTTCTCAGCTTCCAAGGAAGTATATGGGAAGTGTATAATACGTCAAAATGCCCAAAATATGAATGAATGAATGCGTTGATAAATTAATTAGTAATAACATTTTAATAGTTTGTAAATGAAATTTGAAGCCAAATCTATAACTTATTTTACATTTTTTTTATTTATGTTCATTAAATGGAGTTTATTTCAATATTGTTGGTGTCTTTTTTTTTGACGCTGTGGCTATATCGCCGGTAACCGGTCAAGGTGTTAAAAACACTAAATGACTGGCAGTCCCATATTCTCGGTAAATTTCACAAAATCGAAAGATTCTAGCTTATCTAAACTATCATATGTCGATTAAGACAAGTCAAGCGATCCTGACATGCCTTATAGATCTCAAGTCTCAGGGGCGGATCTAGGGGGAGGGTGCAGGGGGTGCACACCCCCCTGAAATGACCTGCTGTTTTCTAATACAACTGGTATTCTGCAAAAAAAAATGTGGTTTATTGGTGTTGAAGTAGAGCAAGAGACGAGTGCACCCCCTCCTAAAAAAAATCCTGGATCTGCCCCTGAGTCTAGTGTTTGGTTTACGCTAGGCTCAGAAGATGAAACTGTGTTTTGTGACACTTAGAACTTTTTTCAGCTCGACTGCCGGTTAAGGTTTTCAGAAAGGGTTAGGTCGAGTTGTGGCAAGCCTAGGGGCGCGATCCATTCAACCAAACTCAATGGATCGGTTCAGTCCAACCGGAAAAGTTTCGAAAAAACGGGTCCACCTTTTGAGGTGGTCCTCTTTTCCCGGTCGGACCGGTTGGAATTTTGGTTGAATGGATCACGCCCTAGATCTCAGGGTATATGGGTCATGGTTGAATACCATATAGTCATTCACCCCAGGATCACGTGGGGTGGACGAATATATGGCATTCAGCCATGAGGTATATATCCAAAGACCGGCCTGGGAAGACGACTGATATCGAACCAAAGTTGCCGCATTTAAGCTTATTTGGGGTCAGCACCAAGAAGTTTGGCGAAGTCTTGGGGAATTTTTACTAAATGCAAGCCACCGAACAAACTTTATTGTCATTCCCTTCCGGATCAGCTGCCTGCAGCCTGAATGAACTCAGTTTCAATGTGTTTGCTAGCTTCCACTCTGGATCGTCACGCAATCCATCCCGTGATGAAGGAACGCGTGAGGAGCTGGACTGCTGGAAGTTGGGGGTTCTTCTGGATCCTTCGGGATTGATGGCCGAGGAAACATACTACAGCTGCTGTCAAGCCTTATTCTTCCACGCTGCAGTTCTTAATTAGTTGTGTGCGTGAAAAAAAAAAACGTCTTCTCCTTCGACTGTTAAGAGACTGCTCCCAGTTGATCTTTCTTCTAGGAAAGTGGCAACCTTATTGTTAACTTGCGCTACTGTAGCTTCAAAAAGGTCTCTATTTGTTTTCACCCCGCTGGTATTTGGTGTTGCGTACAATGTGATCGATTTTTTTTTTGATTTATCATCTCTACACGTTTTTTTTTCGGCTCCTCACGCGTAAGATTCCACATTTTCCTCAGAAGACAAAGAACCTGACCCTTTGAGTTAAAAGTGTGATTCAACAGTCAAATTTTTGCAATGTTTAAAACCTCATCTTGTCAAGAATCGAAAAAGAAACAGAAAAGAGGAAAAGAAAAAATTGGCCGAGTGTCGTCTCATCCAGAATTCATTGCGAGCCTCTATATCACCTGACTCATTTCCCGCGCTTTTTGACACGTGAGTCTGCTTTCAGCGAGGAAACAAGATGTCTGCTCCTTCGACACCGCGAGGAAGAAAGCGTTCTAGAGCAAGTCCACCACGTATGTATTTCACAATGATATAGCTTGCTGAAAGCTTAATGATTCTATTATAAGATTTTTGGTTTATATTTTCGCCAATGCAAGTTTCAATGCAAAAATATACCGATCTAATTTGCACACTTAGTTCGGTTCGATGATCGTAATCATAAATTCTGCGAAATTTTCCCAACACTTTTTGCACGCGGGTATCGTTCAAATAGTTCTATACTAATCATCCGAGAGCGAGTTGGCTTGCAAACCGTTGAATCTAAGGTTTATAACAAGGGAGGTGGAAGAAACGACTGTAAATAAGCTTAATACATTTTCGGTCGTAAATATTCGACTTATTGTTCACTACCTGTACACTTTTGCAAAAACATAGAAAATTAAAGTGGAATTGAAATTGTACACTTGATCAAAGACATTGTCGGCTGGAAGATGCCTTCTAAGATTCAAACTATGAGCCAACTTGTATTTAAAATGACCTGAGCTATAAATCCTTTATAAGCCAGATCTAAAACTTTTAATATATTTATATCTCTTTAGCTTCTGATGCATCAAATGCTAGTACTCGTAGTACTCGTAGCAGCCGTAGGGGCTCACGTGCTACATCTCCAACAGCCCCTCCAGTGGCATCCCCTCCTTCTCAGCGCCGTTGTGTAGAAGAGCCATCCTCTCCGCTACCCTTAGCTCCTACATCTCCATCGGAAGGACAACATGACCAGGATCGCTCACAGTTCTCATCACCTCAAACCAGAGGAGGGCTGGAAACTAGTGAAATTGACTTGAGCTCACCTTTGAATTATGCTACGCCAAGCTCTAGGGCTGCTGGGACACCTCGTGGCAGCATGTATCCTTTTTCTTTTGCCACTGGAGAGTAAAATGCTAAATGTGTAGCATTTGTCGTGATAGCTAAATTCTGGTCGGTCTAAGTGAAATTTACAGTTTTCTGGGAAAGGATTTGTCATGATTTCAATTGCCAGGTATATGCGATTAGAAGGTTGGGATTTGAACTGCTAGGAAGTTTTTTTGGCTCTGTTTTCCCTTTGTTTCCCATGACAGTAACCAGGGGAAATTCCCAGCCCTCTCCCCTTAGTGGCAGCCCTGTGAACAGCCTGAGGTGTATTTGAGAATAATGTCTTAGGTTAGTTTATAGATCTAGTTTCCAGAAAAGATATTGTTATCTGTAGTTGAGGGCTTAAAAACTGTTGAGGCTGTCAAAACTTCTGCTATGATGTGTCTTAGGAAAAGTACTACTTCCCTTAACAAAGCATAGTGCCGGCACTCCCATTAGGCATCGCAGTGACATCCGCAGCGATCGGCGCATGCGTCAAGTAAATCTTGGAGACAATCAGCCGGTTAGTGTTGAACTTGTTGTTCATCAGTTGATGAAATAGATAAAGAGTTCTTTTTAACAGCAATCTGAGCTGCCTCAAAGCAGAACTGAAGTCTATCGCTACGATCTTTGTTCCAATGAACAGGGGAGTTACTGTTATTGAAGAGTGTAATCCATGTAATCGCCGCATCACTGTATGTTTTTTTTAACTATCTCAGTGACTGCTACAATCATTGCCATCATAGGGAAAGGTTTCAATAAAAATATCAAAGCATGCAATCTCCTTTTAGTGTCCAGACACAGCACATAATTCCAAAATGCATGGTGCATATTTTCTTCTCCTTTCAGGCTTCTGATACCACAGACCAACCTACTGGACCAACAAGTGATGCAGCTGCTGCAGCTCCTGCACTGGTCATCTGGGGAACGGATGTGGTTGTGAGTGAGACAAAAGAGAAGTTTAGAAAGTTTATCTGTGAGTTTGTCGATGAAGAAGCAGAGGACATGGGTGAAGGCTTTGATCCACTTCTGCCAGTTTACATGCAGCGCCTTGATGAGGCAAGTAGCAAAGTGCATGATGAGCTGAACTGGCCAGTCATGTCAAATTATCACTAAAAGACAAGGCTGTTCTCTAAGTAAAATTGCTGGGAGCCCAGTGCTCAGGGTGCCCAGTTTATGATTTCTATGAAAAAAGCTATGATTTTCTAGTCACCCAGAAGCAAAAGTTAGGTGCCATGGGCCACTGCCAGAGCACAGCCTTGATAGAGCTGTGACGCTTAACAATTTTGTGTCTAATTTTTGTCATGCATATTTTTCACACTTTTGTCAACCTTTTCTTGACTCTTGAAGTAACTTTACTGATTGTTTCCTTGGTTTTCATTACTTCTATACAATAATGCAGTGTTATCATAATTTAGGGGAACCCATAAGATTTTGGTCACTCTTTTAGGTTCAAAGGGTAGGTTCTGACTTTAAAGGTAAACCCTGTCACAGCTAGCCATAATGCATCAACTATTCATGTATGAAAGGTACTTTTTAAAAAAAGAATGTTTTAAATTCAAGCTGAACCTTGCAGTTGAAGTCACTGTTTATAATGAACTCTTGGCACATTGATTTACAGTGTAGAAGTCACTTAAGTTCAACCTCAAAGAAAGACAACACTAACTGAACTCCTTCACTTTCAGATTCATGTATTGGAGACACCTTTCTTGAACATTGACTGTGGCCACTTGAAGACATTTGATGCCGACTTGTACAGACAGCTTGTGTGTTATCCACAAGAAGTGATTCCTACGTTTGATATGGCTGTTAATGAAGTATTCTTTGAAAAGTACCCAGGTGCTCAGCTCCAACATCAAATCCAGGTGCTGTAAGGAACGTATTTCACCTATGAACAACACTCTGATGTTTTTGGTCATTTTTGAAAGTGCTTCAAAGTTACTGAATTTTGTATGTGACATTTGATTATTAAACAAACACTGGTCTAAACATTTTTTGACTAGTTGGCATTTATTTTTCAAGATATGTTGTTAAGATGTGGTTGTTAAAGGTCCTTTTTGCAAAATTAAAGCAGAAACAAAATGAAACCAATTATAAATTCCTTTTTTAGAGGTAAAACTTAGTTGGTTGGTTGTGCTGAAAAGGTTCCTTAAACATTCAATTGTATTTTTTTTTGATTTGGGAAAACAAGTTTTGTGGATTATTTCATTTTATTAATTGAAAATGAATCTTGGGTCATTTTAAACCAGTATAAAGAGTGTAATGTTAACTTGTGTTTTAATTTTGCCTGGTGGTGTTTTTTAGGTCAGAACTTTCAATGTAGACAAAACAAAGAACATGAGATCTCTAAACCCAGAAGGCAAGTTCGTTTTTTCTTTTTACAGAAGTTATTGATAAAAAATTGCTATTTATTGGAGTAGTTTTACTAAATTGAGCAGCACTTAGACTATATTTTGATTGTCAGGAATGTAGCTGTATGGTAGCCACATGGAGTTGATCATACTCAAACTTGGAAAATCACAAATTTCACAAATGTTGATTGTGTAGTGACCAATCACAATAGGACAATCTGCATGATGATGTCCTTTTACTATATCTACCAGACTCCTTGTTTTATTGTGCAAACTAGGGCTATTGTTTTTTAAACTTCACTTGAATTGACCAATTTAAATAAGAAAGCAAGAACAAAATGAATTCTGGTTGTTGTAGTTAAAAGTTGTCTCCTTGAAGATAGCCTTTTAAGTTCAGGATACATGAGAAAGCCTCAAAACTACAAACTAATTACCGTTGCTGTGTTAGGGTTAGTTTCTCAAACCTTATTGGCTTTTTCCTTACAACAAAATAACATTCTCTTTAATGTTTCTGGTGTTCACGGTTTTGTGTGTTTCACTGTAATTTTATTACTCATTATGTTCAATTTAATTTTTAGACATTGATACTCTTATTACAATCAGCGGAATGGTGATCCGAACATCTCAAGTCATACCAGAGATGAGGGAAGGTTAGGATTATAATGCTGTGAGCTTTCTAATTCATAATTGGAGCCTTGTGAAAACGTGTTTGGTTAAGTAATTTCTTGATGTTATTAGGCAGTTCTTTAAAACGTCCTATATCCCTAGATCTCTTTACACAAATTGTCCATATTGACAGAAGTAAGGCCATTCTCTTGGTCATTTGTCTGATGTTTTCCATCCAGCTAATCATGTGAGTTGTCCTAGAGATCTAGTGGCCCATTTTTCTAATGGTGTGCATGATTATGTTTTTCTTTCAATATTATTTTGTTTTCCATTATTAATAGTTGCAACATGACACCACACTGAAAAGCTGCCTCTTTTCCTGTTTCATTAAAAGTGATAAAATTTCTGTTTTTTTTTTTGGTTTTAGCATTCTTCCAATGCTATGTCTGCCATGCTTCAGTGACTGTAGAAATCGATCGTGGTCGCATTTCTGAGCCTGCCCTGTGCCGTAACTGCAACACAAATCACAGTATGGTGTTGATTCACAACAGATCGCAGTACACAGACAAACAAATCACCAAGCTGCAGGAATCTCCAGGTTGCCTATCATTGTTAGCATTTTCATATGAATTTTATGTCCAGTTTGCCTTGATGGCTGGAGAACATTTCTTTGAATCTAATTTTGTATTTTCTTGTTTTCTTTAGATGATATGCCTCCTGGTCAGACTCCACACACAATCATGCTTTTTTCACACAATGATTTGGTGGATGCAGTGCAACCTGGAGACAGGTACGTACTCTTCTTAATAATTTTGCTTGAAAGTAGACTACATACCGTGTGACACGAAATTTTTGTGGGCTCTAATTTTGGCAATTTTTCCAGCAATCCGTAAAAATAAGTTCCTGCAGATAAAAATTACCACAAACATTTTTCCTGCGAAAATTTACTCCAGAGTAAATATCGTCTAACTTAAATTCGCTACTGGGAACACATTACTAAGAAATCATGTCTGTTCAATTACAACTTGTCTCTATCATTCAGAAACAAAATGGTATACACTGAATACTGGTTTTACATAGGATGCTCACACTGTAGTATTGTTTGAAAATTTGTATTTCCATTGCACATACTCAATAAAAACAAATATCTTCAATGTGTTGGGGCCAGGACTTTCTGAAAATCGCAAAAATTAACTCCCAGTAAGGAAAACCAGTCTGTGCTAATTACAGAAATTAGTTCCTGCAAAACACCCAAAATCGCTAATCCGCAAAAATAAACTCCTGCAAAAATTCCTAGCCACATGGTACTCGGTCAATTACTGTTCCAATTTTTGTTGATTCTTCATTGAAGCTGTTTCCCTCTTTTTAGAGTGACGGTGACAGGAATTTATAGAGCCACACCCATGCGTGTAAACCCACGACAGCGGAATGTGAAGGCTGTGTACAAGACATACATTGATGTTATTCATTTCAAGAAGACAGACAAGAAAAGGCTTTATTCCAAAGATCCTGATGGGTATGAAATGGAGATAGAGTGGAACCCCATTTAAATGATCACCATTGAGTTATAAAATCAGGGTCAAAATAACGAGGTGGTCTTGTCTTCCAGGTCATAAAAATGATATAATGACTCGGTGTTTTTTGTGTTTGGATCAAAAGAATATGGTTTCAATAACAAGGTGGTTTTATAAATGGGGTGGCCACAAGCCAGCATTCCACTGTAGCTGATAATCCTGCTACTTCAATACTAATTCCATACCCATTCCATTACTCAAGAAAATTTCCCTCAAGACAATAAAAAATTGATTGCATGTATAGGATGGTGAGGAGTTTGAGTTACAAACTGAACTGTCTTTGACCATACTTAATGTTATCTTTCATTTTATTTCAGTGTTGTGACATTTACTCAGGAAAGAGTTGAGCAACTGCAGCAGCTGGCAAAACAACCTGATATTTATGAAAGACTTGCCAAAGCTCTGGGTAAGTAAAACAAGGATGAAATCTGTCTACAATCAAAGTTTTCAAGAAAATACATTTATTTCACAGAAACAAGATAAAACTTTTTCTCTCAATGTTTCTCAAACATTTTGCTTTGCTTTGAATTTTTATGAATCAGTCATGAATTTTAGCCATGCAGTGACTGTCATCTTGCACTTTTTGTAGCCCCAAGCATTTATGAAAATGAAGATATTAAAAAAGGAATCCTTTGTCAGCTATTTGGAGGAGCAAACAAGGACTTTTCTGACACTGGGAGAGGAAAGTTTAGGTCAGTAGTTAATAAGATGTGTACACAAATTATTTCTCTGTCTCCTGATGTTGAAAAAAAACTTTGTGAAAGTTGCTTGTTTTGTTTCTGATGTCAGTCCATGTTCTCATTTTAGGTCAGAAATAAACATTCTTCTTTGTGGTGATCCTGGCACAAGCAAATCACAGTTACTCCAGGTATTCAGGGGTGTAGTCTAGGAATGCCTCTTGCCTGTGTTGCCTTACTTTTGCTCTTGGGTGTTAGAAAATTGTAATGTTTTTGCAAAAATCATTCTTGGCCACCTGGATTGGACTGGGATGACATCCTAAAATTCACCCCAGTCACCCTAGTCATTTAATCCACCCTAAATCATGAGTTGGCCACCTGGATTCCAATCATCCTTGGGATGACAGCCTAATCATCCCAGTTGTTCCCGTCATCCCAGTCACCCTATTCATCCCAATAAGTCAAGTCATTCCAGTCATCCCAGTCATTCCAGTCACCCTAGTCATTCCAGTCATCTCAGTCATCCCAGTCACCCTTGTCTTTCCAGTCATTCCAGTCACCCTAGGCATCCCATTCATCACACTTATCCCTGTCTTCCCAGGCATTTCAGTCATTCCAGTCATCGGAGTGGAACAATCTGGTATGAAATGATCTGACTGTGGAAGGAGGTGACCTTGAACCTCTGACTGACTGACTTAAGATTTCATTAAGGCTCATTGATTTAGGCTATCTTCAGTTTTTCGTAAAGCACATCCTTGGAATTGCAGTGATAATTTAGCTTTATTTCTAACAAATGCCTCTTAGTATTTGCTTGTGGACTTAAATTTAAGAGCTTCAGATGATAAACAGTCTGTTCCAACAAAGCATCTGTTTGATTGTTGTTGTTTTTTTTAGTATGTGCATAACCTTGTACCACGTGGACAGTACACCTCTGGCAAAGGTTCCTCTGCCGTGGGTCTGACTGCTTATGTCACCAGAGACCCAGAGACTAGACAACTGGTGTTGCAGACGTGAGTCCTTTGTTTCCAAACACCCTTAAATTATACTTATTCAATCATAGTGGTGACAAATGGTAGCCAGAAATTTATGGGTCTCTTTATAGAGCTTCTCTGGAGAGTGTGTTTCTCACCGTCTCCAAATCTTAATTATTTTCCCTGCATTTCTTTAAAGAAATGCCCTGGTTTGTTGGCAAGTCTCTGATTCTACCATTTGCTGTCCCTAATTATTACAATTTTATTGTTCAGACCTTGAATAACTCCCAGACATCTTTACCTGGTTTCTGAATGTTTTTTCTTCTTTCCCAACAGTGGTGCACTTGTTTTGAGTGACAATGGTATCTGCTGCATTGATGAGTTTGACAAGATGAATGACAGCACCAGAGCAGTTCTTCATGAGGTCATGGTAAGTATTTTCATAATGGCAATCAGCTGTATTTTATGTGAAGCAACAGAAAGCACAGTAAACCCCGTTAATACGGTCACTGAGGGGGCCACAGAAAGTGTCTATAATAACAAGGTGTCCGTAAAATACACATTATAGAAGAACAACATTCTACAGAAATAAAAAAGGTTATTAGAAAATTAGTGTGAAAAATTCCCAGACTAATTGAATTCAAAGTATCTTTTTATTTTCCATATGATCCTGTTTAACTGAAGATTTGTTATTTTTTTACTTTCTTCAAAGGAACAACAAACATTGTCAATAGCCAAGGCTGGCATCATCTGCCAGTTGAATGCAAGAACATCAATCCTGGCAGCTGCAAATCCTGTGAAATCACAGTGGGATCCTAAAATGACAACTGTAGAAAACATCCAGTTACCCCATACCCTGCTTTCTAGGTAAGTGTGGTGAATTAAAATTCATTTTATGATACATTAAAACCTTCATGTGTGACCACCTTTCATAATCGACTACCTGCCATAAGCGACCATCTATCCAAAGCACTAAAATTTTTCCAGTCAAAGCCCTTTTGTTGTACCCTCTGGTAAGCGACCACAACCACAGTGTTGGTTGATGGTTCCATAATTTTCCATTGTTTTTCGCCTGTTGTAGGCGACTACTTCACCCAAAGTCTGATCTCTATTTTCGCAGTGTGTACTATGCTACTAAGAGTGTGCGAAGAGCTTTAAGTGGCAACATTGATCTATACATATCATAACTTGGGATTTACATATAATAAATTCTTTACCCAAAAGTAGTTTTCTCAGGTACGTCTTCTTAAAAGACATTCGTGTAGTTTAAATCTCACAAGTGACTATCTCCTGCAGTTGAACACTAAATCTTGGCTTTTCGGGTTGTTGCTTTCGCAAGGTTCAATTGTGTATCGTGCGCGGTTAAACTTCTTACTGAGTGACTTATGTTGCATGTTTCTCTTTCCAGCCTTGACCTACAATGGTGCATAATGAACTGTGAAATCCAATCCTGTATATACAGTAACTATATTCTAATGTTGTGTTCTGATGTTTATTCTCTCAGATTTGATCTGATCTTTTTGATGCTTGATCCTCAAGATGAATTTTATGATCGCCGACTAGCCACTCATTTGGTGTCCCTGTACCATCAGACACAAGAGGAGGAAGAAGAGGAATTTCTGGTGAGCAAAACAAGATTTTTTTCTACTTCTCTGAGGTTGTGTTTTGCAGCATCTGGGGTACCGTAAAATTCCGAAAATAAGCCCTGGGGCATATATTCTTCAAAGGCCCTTTTTGAGGGGCTTAAACTTGGAGGGGCTTATATTCGGAGGGGCTTTTCTACCGAAGAAAGTTTGCATTTTGAATCGATTGGGCTAGCCTTATAGTTGGAAGTAAATTTACCATTTTTGCTTTGTTTTACTTTGTATTTGAGGGCAATTTTCCAAAAAGCCCCCTAGGGGGCTTATATTTGGAGGGGCGATTTAATGGTGGGTTTTTTGCGTTACCAGTTTGGGGGGCTTATATTTGGAGAGGCTTATTTTCGGAATTTTACGGTATTTCATGTTGGAACTAAACATGTGTCATTGCATAACACAGAAAGGTTCCAGTAACACAGCACCAAACTTTCATTTTCCTGCTTCCATTCACTAAACCATGATTAATATTTTTATTTCAGGACATGAATATTTTGAAAGACTACATTGCTTATGCACGGTCGTATGTGAATCCAAAGCTGAGCGAAGAAGCAGCTCAATATCTCATCCAAGCTTATGTTGGTAAGATACACAGCCTTGCAGTGTCCCATGAAGACTTTGGAACTGTTTTCATGCATGTTCTTTTCTTGTGAATAATGATGGGAAACTGCTACCAAATATATGCAAAGTGCACATTACAAACTTTGTACCAGCCACTGTGGTTAATTTCAGCTGCCTGTTGGCAATGGACCACTGTAGCATCAGCTTTTAAATCACTTTGTGGAGGCCAATTTACTATATCAACTCTGGTGATAAAAAACTTTTTTTGTTTCACTCCCCAGTGAACAATGAGTTAGAGTATTTGTAAGGAACTGAACCATTTATTCCTCTCCAAACACTCCCACTTATTTTATAGATGCCCCATAGTTAGTAAAGACAGCTTATTAAGAGTCATGTAGAACAGGCTCTTTCCTAGTATCCGTTGCAGCCGTTTTTTGGATGTCACGCAACGGAGCGTTGCATGACATCCAAAAAACGGCTGCAAGGGAGACTAGCTCTTTCCCTTCTTTATCCATGTTTTATGTGTAACTGACTTCACTGTGCAGTCGAGCCACTACTAATGGCCAGGGGCCGGTTTCTCGAAAGTCCCGTTAACTTTACGGGCCCGAAATCAAATATTCAAATCGAAATATAAAGAATAAGAGCGCGGGTCCTGGCTAGCAAACTACTCCATTTTGTTTCATTAACTGACAGTTTTATCGTGTTAGATGCAAAACTATTGAAACCTCGGTCTTTAATGTAAACGGAGACAGCTTACCGGGCCCGTTAATTATCGGGACTTTTGAGAAACGGGCCCCAGCTCTCAACAACGGCCACCTCTCTACAACGGCCAATTCTTTTGACAGACAGTCCATTCATTCACTCTTGTTTCAACCTCTCTGCAACCGTTGCCTCTCTACAACGGCCACTTTCTTCTGTCCCCAAGGTGGCCATTGTAGAGAGGTTGAACTGTATAAGTTTTGAAACCCTGAATGTCAACAATTCTCCTGGAATTTAACAGGGCCATGTCACAAGGATATCGCTGTTTAGGTCAATTCTGGGCTGAAGTCATTACTTAGTGCCTTGACCCATACACAAAATGTTCCTGTAGAGTTATAAAGAAAATATGAAACAAATTTCATCAAGGAGCACTAACCATAATAATTTCTTCCGTGATTTTTACTGGCATAGCATAAAAACTTGACAAAGTTGACCTAGCCTTTCAAGTTTCAAATCCATGTCCATCCTTGTCATCCATAGCAATACATGACAGGAAACAGTTTCATTGCCTAAATATGGTCTTAAATAACTAAAGTGTACCATTATTTTGAAGGGATTTTGAAATTCAATTTGTGACATATTTCCTTTAACTGTAACTGTTGTTGGAAAACAGTAGCTAGAAAATTTCCAATACTGTTTATTTCCTTTGACAGAAATGCGTCAGGTTGGCAGCAGCCGTGGTGCAGTCACTGCTTATCCTCGTCAGCTTGAGTCTCTGATCCGCCTGGCGGAAGCTCATGCCAGGATGAGGCTGTCATCAAAAGTTGAAAATGTGGATGTGGAGGAAGCTAGAAGGTAAAGGCTGCAAAGAAAGTCAGCCATTCGGGCAAGCTGTGTTAGCACGCTCATTCTCAAGTTCAAAACAAATTTTTGATGAGCAGGATAACAGTTCTTCTGTAATTTGAATTTTCCGAAAAACTTCCCTTACCCGTCAGGCAAGTTAAGAACCGAATTGAGTCAATTATCTAGCCCAATAACAAAATCCACTAACCTCACGGTATCGGACACGCCTTTCTTTGCACACTGATCTGTATAATTTCAAGTCCCAGGAAAAAAGGATTTTAAGTCCAAGCATTAGTGAAGGTCTGTCTCCATACCCATCTCATAGTCCCTGCAGGTTTTAAATAAAAGGTTCTGAAACGTCTAATAAAACCTATACAAATTGCCTCTCTATGCTGACGTGTTGGATGGTTCTCATAGAGACTGCTCTAACTTACAAGACCAGGGTAACAACTTGAGTAGAGCACTAAAGTTTACATATTCACTTTGAAACTCTGAAAACTGTAAATATAAAAATATTATTGGAGTAAGTTGTGTTGCAAGGAAGAGCTACCGAATGGGGCATAAGAAAACTAAACCGCAAGTGACGGTGGTTGTTAGTTTCAATTAGTTTCTGGTTTGTGACTTTCTAGCATGTTCTTTGATCTTTCCTCTTCACGGTTTTCTGAATTTGACATTAATTTAGCGAAGGCCAATTTCAAGCTGTCAACGAAATACGTTCATTGAAAAGTAAGGAAAAAAGGAAATGTAAATGTTGATGCATAACACGTTTTTGTGTTAGCTCCGTTTCTTCCGTTAACTCCTGAATAATGATTCGGTTCTATTCTTGCCTGCAGACTTCACAGAGAAGCTCTGAAACAATCAGCCACAGACCCCAAAACAGGACTGATAGACATCAATATCCTAACAACTGGCTTGAGCGTGTCAGACAGAAAACGTCGGCATGAAATTGCCAAGGCTCTGAAGGAACTGTTACTGAGCAAAGGCAAAACACCCAGCGTCAAGTACCAACAAACTTATGAAGAACTTCGAGAAGGTTCTGATCTGGTAAGTGAAACTTCTCAGCTGCATTCAAAGTTTGAGTTTAAAAAATCTCTTACTCAGACTTTCACGCTCACATTTCGATTCAAACACTGGTTACCCTGCGAAATGACATCTTATTGGTTGAAGCAAATTTCCCACGCGGCACGGACCAATCAGAAGCACTTCCTAGATGTGGTAAGTGACAGGCCATCGGTATGGAGTTTCTACAGCCGTCGTCATTTCGCGGGCAACCAGTGGTAGCGTCATGAGATGTCGGCTGTTTTCCCAGGCTAGCTTCGAACATCTCTGTGGACTGTTTACTTTCCAAAAAAAACCTGCTCACCACGTGACCACGATGAACACCAGGGGCTCACACTGATCGCAGCATTTTTCCAAGGAAAAGTGTTCAAACTAATCCTCTGACAACTTGGTGTGGTAACAGTAGTCACCTCCATCTAAATAAAGGCCACAGCATTGTTGTTGAGTCTACTTACACACAGCTCAGTGAAGCACTGCCATTATTTATTTGGCAAGAATTTAAAAAATTGCTGTGCAATTATTAGTAATTCAGTGCAAAACGTATAGAAACTTCATCGTTTGGTTCGTAAACAGATACATCTATTAATCATTCCCTAATCCTTTTCAATTTATTTCAGCCCATTTCCCGCGAACAGTTTGAAGATGCTCTCAAGATACTGCGAGATGAAGACTTCTTGATTGTGACTGGAAGGACATCCATTCGTCTGATGTAACCATGCCCTGAAGATTTACTTCGTTGAGAATAATGCAATTGTAAAAAGTTTATGCGCATCATGTATCTTGACCAGCCCTGTAAAAGCTTCCCAACCGCGTTTCGCTTAGGTCTTGCATTTGGTTAAACGTGCACCCCCTTGGTCTTTTCAAAGATTGGGGCTTCACTTTTGGAGTTACACTAGCAAAGGAAAACCAAGCGTTTTCTGCTGTGTATGTTGTATATTGCGGTTAGTCCTTGGGATAAGTTTACGTAACCTTACTGAACTACTAAATTGCACGGGTGCTTGAGATTGTTAATTAGTTGTCTGTTGTCAGTTTGCTTTAACCAGGGAAAAGTTGTGGAAATTTTGCCAAGACCTCACTTCTTCCCTTGAAAAATAAAGCCCATTTTTATAACAAACGAGGCATTGTGTTTCTTTAAGTGGAATGAAAGTTGGGTGGGCACAATAAGGGCGAGAGTCTAAGTAAGTACGCTTGTAAAAGAAAATTGAGAAAACAGCCAACACTCCCACGAAATGACGTCTGAGGAACGAGCGTAGACTTTCCATACTGATGACATGTTATTACCCGGATCTGGGTAGTACTTCTGATTGGTCGTACCGCGAGGGAAATCGAAGCTCTACCCACAACTGGGTGACATGTCATCAGCATGGAATTTCGCGGCGAAACTACAATTTTCGGCTGTGACGCGTGCAAGCCCTTTCTCCCCCGTCACTTCACAAGCACCACAACAGCTACTACTCCTGTCTCCAGTTTGTCTTTAAGGCTTGCCCCAGCGTTCAAACCTATGTGTAGTCGTGTCTTTATTGACCAAGATAGTCTCTTTCCCGTTTTCACGGCTTCTGTATCCTCACCATCCATACGCGAACCGGCTTATATGCCTTTCTTTGCATAGAGACAGAGAATGGCCGCGAAGGATAGTCTGCTGCGTTGCTGCGTCCTTCCACCATCGATTGACACGCAGTCCTAAATATCGTAGAGGTTGTCTCTGCATGCTGGCCCGGTCTGGCCCGTTTCATTTGCTTTGACCGATACCTTCCCCACCCCCCACTCCCAGCCTTTGAGTGACTTTCCCAAGAACAAGGGAAGAAATACTTCCCCCGCGGGTCTGCTACACAGCATAAGAACACAAACAAAAAACGGCTGTGAGGTGGACTAGAGAAGAACATGCGAGATGCATGGACGGAAACGGATTTTGTTTAAGCAGAACATAACATCTTTAATATACCAGAAACTCATGGGTTTCTGTTTATACTTAATAGACCTTGTCAGTCTTGTCACGGTTTTCGACGCCATCTTGACGAGTGTAGGCAAAAGTGTGAGAAATTACGGTGTTTGTATGAGAATCTAATGTCGAATAATTTCCGTAAAACGACTGTTCTGTAAAAAAAAGAAGATTTACAAAACACTTATTTCTCACGTGTTTACCTAACTCGTCAAGATGGCGTCGAAACCGTGACAAGGTGTATTTGACATTCCTCGAATAAAAACTTTGAAAGCACTCTGGGTTGGAATCTTTATTTTCTTTATCTTTCAGCCTTGCTTCTTTCGGAAATCTGGTAACGAAGACAAAGAAACCTTTTTCTTGTTAACCGTAACTTTGCATATTTTTTTCGTTCACTTCTCTTCCGTTTCAACTTTCACTTCGTTTAGTTTTCTTTTCCCCTAAGGACCTTTAGAATGGGTTGTTAAATTTGTCACTCCGCTTTCGAGTGTTCCTTCGATAGCTCAGTTGGTAGAGCGGAGGACTGTAGAGATTATGAAGACATCCTTAGGTCGCTGGTTCGAATCCGGCTCGAAGGAATTTTTTTTTCCGTTTACCTTCTTCCTCGGTAAGGAAAAATATATTTTTTTCTTTCATCGGCCATAAATTTCTAGATCGTTTGCTCCATAACGCTATTTCTATAATTGTTATCCGAATCATTTGAATCATCCATCGCGCATATAGTTTTCTAACTGAAACGGGTTTCGTTCGATTCTCGTTCATTGCTCTTTATAATCGTGGACGCTCCTTTGCGTTTTTGTAGAAAAGTAAAGGCTACTATTTTTAAAATTCCTTTTCCTTCTTCAATGTTTTAATTCTTGTTAAAAATGTCTTTTCCCCGTTTAGCCATGTAGCCTATAGATTATCTCGGGATATCGATATCTCGCGGAGCCTCGCGAGCTCTCTTCTTTCGCGCGTGACTATTGTCCATATGTATCGCGGGCGTACATGTCGCGAAAACTGCAAGAACATGGCGCATTTGGAGGAAGTTCTGCAAAAACTGCTTATTCCCGACAATACAGTGATACAACAAGTAATACAGACATTCCTCATTTAATTCATCTTTCACTGAATTTGTTGTTAACTTGCTGCATGTAAGTGGTAATGTGTCATTCATTCCTATTTTTAGGCAACTGCTCAACTCCGCGAGGCCTTCAAAAACCCTGCAGTTGTTCCGGATCTCGTCACGGTGCTAGGATCGTCTCAGAATCCTCAGGTAAAGTTTGCTTCATTTGCCCAAAATCTTCCTCATTTGAGCGACTTGACGTGTTGTGAACTATACGTGATTTATCCTGATTTCATGGTGGTTATGTGACCTAATCTGCTAATTAATGATGCTCGCACATATGACCAATATTACATGTCATTATTTTTACGGCAAAAACAATAATATTGTGAAGCTATAAGGTCAAGAGTAATCAAGATGATCGATTTTGTAGTTCTTACTTGAGATCTTTGAAGCTGAAAGTCTTATCTCCAGGCTGTGTCCTTCCTCTAAAACAAATCCAGTCATAACTCGCCGTAAATCACCACGTGGAGGAAATGCAGAGGCCGGAAATACAGGGGAAATCGCAGCTATTTATATTTCATTTAAATTGAACTAAATGAACTAAATGACAGGTTTATAATGTCACTTGAGACCACACTGGTTCTCATTAATCATGTACTAAAAATGTTTATCTTTAGTACCACCCCAGGCCCTTTAAAAAAATTTGTGGACTTGGGACTTGTTGCTTTTTGATGGCAATACCTTGTTTCTGAGGAAAGTTGCCATAAAATAAATACACCTTATTTGATGGTTTAGCAAATAATACGTGCGTATATTTTGCGAGTTGCGTAGTATTTTTCCGAGCCCCGCAGGGGCGAGGAAAAATACGAGCAATGAGCAAAATGTCCGCTCGTATTATATGCTAAACCATCGAATAAGAGGTTTATTATTATTCTACTATTTTTTGGTAAGAGTATTCAGAGACATCCTGATTCTGTCTGTGAGAATGACGTTAACAATTAGCGAAATGTTCGCGCGTATCATATGTCAAACCATTGAATGAGAGGTTAATTATTTACTGCAAAGGCAAAATGGTATTTTGGCTTCTATTTTCTAAGAGGGGGGCGTAAGGGGGGTACGAATACCGCAATACCGCACGTGGTAGCGCGAGAATACCGCAATACCGCATCAAAATTTAGCCAAATACCGAAACCGCAGTTACAAATGGGAAAAAGTTGACGTTGTCAATACTACAAACCGTCCTTTCAAATAGAAATAATACTTTTATGTCAGTTTTCCAAATCAAGGTGCGTCGATGTCAAGCGTACGATAAACATAAGATCATCGCTTTTCGTTTAGCTTTGTTTATTACATGTATACGTTTCGTAAATGATACAACAGGAGTTTTCTAGTATCACTTTATATATTACTGGACTTGGATCATAAACGGACGTTAGGCGCGCTAAATAATAAGTCGAAATAAGGCGGGCGCGGGCGAGGAGATTGGGGCGGGGCTGCTTGCCGCTCACGGTGGTGCTACCGACAAAACCATGTAAAACTGCCATGCCGGGGTGGGGGGGGGGGGTACTTGGGTTAATATTTGGTTGGTATGTGCCGCTGGCCTCTCAGAGCCCCTACCCCATTACAGTCTATTCTGTGGCCAATTATAGACCCCATCTTAGTCATTTGAACAAATATTTAATTTTCGCGATCCCAACTTCGTCACTTTCTATTTTTATGAATTGACCTTGTTTTAGATTGAATGAAGAACACTTTACTTTTCATCTACAATACAAACATTCTGGTACCTTTGCTAACCGTAAATATGAGGAACTGTCTTACCCCAAAAAAGCAGAAAATGTGCGACCCCATTCTAAAAAAACTCTCTGAAAATGCGACCCAATTATAGTCAATCCAGTCGTGAAAATGTGACCCCATCCAGCGGCACATCGCTATTAGCCTCTTGTGAGGAAGTACCACCCCCCCCACCACCACCACCACCATCCCCGAGATGCTATGCTACGTAGGGTAAGCAGGGTAGGGTAGTTCCTGCATGCACAACGAGAAGGACAAGTAGTAATTTTTAGACCACGCCATCTTTATAGATTATCTTTCTACACTACGCAATTTATAAGGATCTCACTGACCTCACTATTCCCTGGAATATCTGACTGATCACTTAGTTGACCCCGCTGGATCGCTCTCTATTGTTTGGCGACTGGCACAAAAGTGGTGGTAAGATTGGGTTAAAAGAGGTTAACCAAGCTGACTATTCCTACAAGGTCCATGAAGTCGTAAATAATGCGACATGTTTACGTATTATTGGATGAAAAAGTTAATGTCGTTAATCATATCAAGTATTCACTGAAATTAGAAGCCATACGATTTGTCTGCACTGTTTGCCCAATACAATCCCCGACTGTGCACTCAGGTCACGCAGGCTAGCCAGGGAGACCTTTTAGGATTTGTATCCTCTTGTCGTGAAAAAGAAGCAGATCACCGCGACACAAAGATTTTTTCACCGACTACCGCGGCGTAAAATTTAAACTTACCGCAAACCGCTTGGACTCTGAAAACCGCAATACCGTACTTTGAAATAAAAATTACCGCAACACCGCACCAAAAATAACCCAATACCGCAATACCGCAAACCCTTACGCCCCCCTCTTCTAATGAGAGTATCCAAAACATCCTGATTCTGTCAGCCACAGTTGCTCCTTTTGCATCTGCCGGTATTCGCCCTGTTGTAAACCGGTTAAACCAGGACACTACGGTGTATTACTGCCTTGTATTTTGCTTGTTCTCTTGACCTTATATGGTAAAATGACATAATAGTGGAATAATAATGCCATTTAATAAACTCATGTGCAACCACCTCGCACAGATGAGTGTCTTGCCCAAAATCATATTGCCCAGTCAAAGCAATAGGACTTGTAGTTAGAACTCCTTGAAAGCAGCCACCTGCAGTTCTTAGCATGTGGGTTGGTCACGTCTGGGAGGTTTGACTTTACCTGTCTGGCTACTTCCATGTTATTGAACTCATGATCTTGCTGTGCTTTGTCATGAGATTGTTGTGACATAGCCAGGAATGTTAAAGTCTTTCCAGAGTGATATTTCTTTTTTACAGGTGGCTTACTGTCCAGAAAAAAGTGCTTAACAGGTCAATTTTATTATTGACCTGTTACAGTGTTACTTTCTGTACTTTTTTACAGGTAAGACAGTATGCTGCAGTTTTGTTAAGGAGAAGAGTTGTTAAGCAATGGACAAAACTCACACCTGAGGTTCATACCATGTGAGTAATCACTCACTTTGAGAAATTACAGTAATGATGCACTGGTATAAGACTGTGGTTTCATTTAAAGTCATCTACAGTATAACATATCTGCACCTGGCAAGACTGAATTAAATGGTTCATATAATAGAAATAATGTTTGAGATATTTTTTTAGTTGCTACTTTCATTGTTTCCACAAAAAGATTTTGCAGGCTGGTCATAAGCCAAAAATTTGTTCATCATCAGTGGTGCAGTCAAACACACAGATAATCAGCATTTAACTGAACATACTTTGTTGTTTACAATCTATCGGAGATCCTTTTGCTTTAAGGACGGCAAGTTGCAGTGGCAGGTCTAGACTTTCAGGTTTTTGAGGGACCTGCTCATCTAGACCCTGAGGTAAAGAGGGGGCCTGCACTCAAAAAAAAACATTTCTCTTTACCCTGTGACCCTCATTTCAGCCTGAAAATGAGGTGCTGATCTGAAATCCCAGGGCCCATCCTCTACTTCCACCACCAAGTTATCTGGCAGATTACGTGACCATGAGATTGTATGATCTCAACTGTCAGTTGAGTTTAATCACTGATGAAGACAAAATAAATCATGCCAAATAGAAGGTTGAGTATTTAAGATAAAGTACATTGAAAATACTGGAAAACTTAATAATTCTTTTATATTGCTTTTTTTTTGTCCCAGGTTAAGGGAGTCTCTTTTGCAAGTGTTACTTCAAGAACCTGAGTAAGTCACATTTTATTTTTATTATTCTGTTGACCATTATTAATCTTTTTATGCTGTTGGCCAATTTGTTCTTGTATTTTTCTTTATGATTTTCTAGGCCAGTTGTCAGGAACTCTGCAGCACAAGTAGTAAGTGTCTGTCGTCTAAGGTTGTAGAAAGTGTACAGAATTGTTTTTCTTTGTTTGTTTTTAGTTATTTTCTCGATCTCTATAAGAGGTCTCTGGACATAAGTAGCAAGCTGACTCTCTTGTGGTCAGATGTACTAGTACCACCCCCCTTATAGAATCTCATTAGTAATTTTTGAGCTCTTAACATAAGTCAAAGTTCTCCAGATGAAGACACTTTCTGGTTTTTGGGAGTGTTTGTCTGTGGAGTTTTAATGAACTTAATTTTTTATTTTGCATCTGTTTATAAACATACCAGGAATTTCCACCAGTTACTAAGAATGATTATTAATATGCCATGATATGGATGTTGTTGAGAAAAATTAAAATCATCAGTGAAATAAAAAGTTTATATAAATGTGTTGTTAGTTAAATTTGTTCTTGATGGTATGTTGACAATAATTTACATTATTATCATTTGGTAGGTAAGTGTGATGGCAAAGCATGATCTACCAGCAAATCAATGGCCAGAACTTTTTGGTTTTCTTCGACAATACATCAAATCACAAGAGCCACTTCAGAGAGAGGTTAGCTGCATGTCTGTAATCAACATTGTTCTTTCTTCTAACTTGAAAATTTACAAATTACAATAATTATTATGATATTATAAACTTGCTGACTTTTTACTCAACAATGCTTTGCGAAGCATAGTGTTGACAATTGAGCTGAACACATCCCATGACGTTGTGGTCTTGTGTTAGAATACCTTAAGATAATACGATTGTCGATCTTTTCCAAATGCTTTTGTTTGTTCATTCTTTTTAGATGGGTATGTTTCTTCTGAGTTCCATTACTGAATCAGCTAATGAGCAGTTAAGACCTCACTTCCCTTCACTCTTCCAACTTTTCTCCAGTACACTAGAGGATCAAGACAGTAAATTGGTTCCATTTTACACTATAAGGTGAAAGTTTGTTTCTTGTTCAAATTTTTGCGTATATTAAGCAGCCAGAAATTATCTCAATCATGCACTTCAGTGTTAAATCAATGTAGCTTATGACCAGGGGTAATATTGTTAGTAGCATCATCATCATCATCATCATCAGCACTATTGTTATTATTATTGTGCACACCGATTTTTTTCATAATTTTTTCTCAGTGTACTCTATTATTGACAACCATTCTTAATTAATCATTTTCTCTGTACAACAGAGCCTTGACATGTCTCATCGAATGTGTTGGAACTGAAGAAATTGTAAGTTTTTGTTTCCACAATAATATTATATAAATGTTTAATGAGTTTTCAGTGAGAGTGTGATTAATAAAGTGTGCAACAGTTAGTAAATGCTAGCATTTATGACATCTCTCTGACAGCTGCAAGTGCCTTGGCATTAAAGCCAAGCAGTCTTGATTTGAAAACTTGTCATTTAAAATGTGTACAATAATGCACTTTAAGCTTGTTCTAAGGAATGAGGAGTCCTGCTATTCATTGTTGGCTAAATAATGTGATAGATATTTCTGTGTCTAGTGTAAACCCTCCGAGGCCCAAAAGTGACAATATACAATATTAATATCAATTTTCTCCCAACATTTTCAATATGCAATCAAGAGAAAATGTTATGAGAATTGATAAAGTGATTGCCAATGGGATTTGAAACTGCTTTGATCTTTTATCAAATTCTCCCAAGTAATTCTTTAAGGAAATATATGGAGATCAGTCAGGAGAATTTGTGTGTGGATATTGGGGGCTTAAAGGGTTAAGGAGACAGGGAGAGGGAGCCTTTGCTGGGAAACTGTTGAAAATTTTTAGGCTGTCATAAGAGTATTTATTTTATAGTCTTTTAAGTGTTTAAAAACTCCATTAGATCCTATTAATTTTTACTTGCTATTTCACAGCTCACCAGCTCTTTCATAGTTCTGTGTTCCTTGGATTTCCTTGGATACAGAAAGTTGTTATTGGTCATGTTAAGATTATGCTCCCTTAATTTTGTTTGGTTTTTACTTTTTAGCCTTTAGTTAGACCACTTATACCAAAAGTTGTGGGATTCATTAACCAAATTATAGCCATAGATGAGGTAGGTTGTACTTCTTGTTATTCATTTAAGCCCAACTGTAACTGTATCTATAATTTCTCTATATAATTTGTAATCGTAATAGAAGTGAGTGGAGTACAATTCAGGAAGTAATCAGGTAAGCAATCAAATCAACAAAGTGCATAGCACAAGGCCAATTTTGGAATTACCAGCCTGATAATGCCTTGATTATACGTCACAAAATCATATTACCAATCATTAATATTATGCCAGTTTAGTGTATACAGGGTGCAAAGAAAGTCAGTTTTATGGCTTGCCATTCAGGCAAGTTCCTGCTAGTATTGCCCAAGAGTCTTTTTAACCAGCCCAGAAATGTTTTTCATAAGCAGTGTTGATTACAGTTCTTCTGTAATTTGAATTTCTGAAAAAACTTCACTTGCCCTTCGGGCAAGTTAAGAACAGAATTCACTAGCCTGATTGCAAAATCCACTATCCCCGGGCTATCGGACACAACTTTCGTTGCATGTTGGTATGATATAATTTAAGTACAAATTAAATGTAAGCAGTTCATCAGAAACCTATCTCAAATAAAAGTCATCTTTATTTCTTTGAATATGTTATTGGTTGGCAATAAATTTCATTGGCTAGTGACATTTGCAGCTTTGGTTTCATTGGCTATTTAACTGTGGGAATTTCTGGGATTTGAGACCTTTTTTACGCTAAATAAATTGTCATTATGACTGGATTAAGCAACTCTTTCTTCCCTAATATAATAATATTGATACCTTTTTCCTTGTTGTCTTATTCAGGATAAAGCATGTGATGCAATGGAAATATTTGATGAACTGGTGGAGTCTGAAGTCAGTATTGTGACTCCTCATGTGAAAGCTCTGATTGAGTTCTGTCTTCAGGTGTGTGACCTCTTGAATGTTTTATTTACAGTGTGTCAAATTCATGGCACTGATCAGTTTTTGCAAGGGGGTAAATGAAAATAGCTCATGTCTGGGTGCAATACTCTGCCTAAATTAAATGACTTGGAATTCCGGCATATTTCACTGGCTTCAATATCCTTCTCATTGTCAATCCCTTGTGAAAAATTTCTTTTTGGTTCTATTTTTGTCTCTTATCTAAATTCTATTCTCCCTTGTTTTGGGGTATGGCGATGCATCTATGAAAACAACTTTGAAACGATAGAAAATGGAATTTAAACCATGGATCAATGAATAATTGAACCGCAACAGTTATATTTTAACTTCCTTGATATGCAAAATTTTTTGCAGATTGCTAGTAATTCATCTTTAGGAGACAATTTAAGAATAAAAGCTCTCCACTTTGTGAGCTGGCTTGCAAGAATAAAACCTAAGGTGGGTTAATTAGATTTTTCCTGTTTTCTTTTTTCATGATATGTTTTAAAGTCCTTGAAAGTTAGAACTGTTGGTTATAATTTTTCCATGCTAGGTAAGTTTTAAGATAGGTTTAAGTTTGGATGCAGATTTAAATCATTGTGGGAGAAGGTACTGTTGTGTTACAATTGCGACAGAAGACATGGCCATAAAACAGCTTGATGAAAAACAGCTGAAAGGGCAAATGACACAAAGATGGGTAAGGATCAAAACTGTGCCACTGACATAAACAAGTGCAAATACAATAGTACATGTATTTTCATACTATGGTTTCTTCCCCAATATGAGAATCAAAAGATTTTGAAATTGAGAATAGAGACATTATGGTATTAGTAGACAATTTTATTGTTTTAGTGAAAAATTAGGTTATCCTTTGGCAAAATAATTTTGCTCATTACAGGCACTGGTAAAGAACAAACTTCTCTTGCCAACCTTATCAGTTATCTTCCCACTTATGGCATCGCCACCAAATGAAGATGGTGATTTTGATGAGGAAGAAGAAGATGATGAAGTGGAGGATGGAACAGAAGCCAGCCGACCTTGTGCTGTGGCTTCACAGGTAAAGTAGGCTATGGTGAATGCACCACTATACATTAAATTTCCTTTCTGTTATTCTTTACCAAGCTTTTTCTCTCAACTACTAATCTGGGAGAGTGAGGATGAAGCAGTTGTTTTGCGTTTGGGCTGGTACAGGAGTTTCACTGCAAGCTAGTTACTAGTATGGTACTTGTCTTCTGAGCAGGAGGTCGTGAGTTCAAAGCCCAGCTGGACCAACACTCAGGGTCTTTAAATAACTGAGAAGAAAGTGCTGCTTTGTAATGACATCTGCAAATGGTTAGACTGTCTAGTCTTCTTGGATAAGAACGAAAAACCGTTGGTCCCATTTCACATCACTTTCACTTACTGGTTCTTGTGGGACATACATGTAAAAGAACCCACACCACTGTTTCAAAAAGAGTAGGAGACGTAGACCCCAGCGGTGTGGCCAACCTTTCCTGGGCTGGGAGGAGAGATCTTAATATAGGCATAACGTCATGATCCTCCTTCAGGTGTCCCAATGGCTACGTGATGTATGGTCTACTGTCACCCAATGCTGACTTCCACACCCTTCCCATTCAGCCATCACCAACAAACTGTTGCAAAAATTATTGTAATCCCTAGGCCTGTAAGCTGGTGCTTGCCTTCCACCTTTATGACAATGCTGTCAGCTCCATTCTTTATCCTAACATTTATTAATGTGAATGAAATCTGTAATGAAATCTGCAACCAACCGCCACCTGGTTAGCTCAGTTGGGAGAGCGCCGGTCTACTGAGCGGGAGGTCGCGGGTTCAAACCCCGGCCGGACCAACACTCAGGGTCTTTAAATAACTGAGGAGAAAGTGCTGCCTTTGTAATAATATCTGCAAACGGCTAGACTCTCTAGTCTTCTCGGATAAGGACGATAAACCGTAGGCCCCGTCTCACAAGCCCTTGCACATGTATTAAATCTGTGGGACGTTAAAGAACCCACACACTCTTCGTAAAGAGTAGGGCACGTAGTGCCCGGTGTAGTGGCCTATCTCACTTTCACACTCATGTATGGGGGCATCATTACTCATTCCTTCACTACTTGTAAACTGCACCTTAAGCAGTCTGGCAAAGTCCCCCAAACAGTGTTGTAAATTATCCCTGAAAAGCCCTGAGGGGAGTGGATAATAAGATATTTACAATTTACAATTTACAATTTAAATAATTTAATCATTTCTGTTGTTGTTTCCTGACCCAAAGCTATAAAAATGTGGCTGTTTGCTGAACTATGATTGCTTTTTTGTCAGGTTCTGGATATTCTTGCCCTTCATTTTCCTCCCGAGTCTGTTATTCCGCCGCTGGTGAGTAAATAAGTTATGTTTATTATGTTTTGTCAGGCCAACAAATTGCAGTGTAACAGAATGAAGATATCCAGGCGTGGATGTAGGATAAATACTGGCCGATTTCGTAAACAAGCGCTGGAGGTGCAAGAAGTGTTCCCCTCTGAAAATGTTTTGGATTTTAACTCCGTGAAGTCCCCTTTCCTGGGTTTCTGATTCATTCAGGCAGGAAATTGGCCAGTTCCATTCTCCGTGGATGAAGCCTTGCAAATCAGTGGATTATTTCATCAAGATCAATTTATTTATTTATTTAATTATGAAAAATTTGACTGATTTCCATAAAATGGTGGAAAGCGGTATAGATCCGTGACTGATATCACTGAAGAGGCTGAATATTATGAATTTGATTCTTAGACTCAAAAGTTAGAGCTAGTACATTGTGTCTCCTTAGCTGACTCTTGAAGTAAAGGGTTAAGTTTTGCTAATCATATAGATGCAGTTTGTCACGCCAGCTCTTAACAGTGAGGACCCATATCATAGGAAAGCAGCACTAATAGCTCTGGCAGTACTGGCTGAAGGATGTGCAGACTACATTAGAAACAGGTTGGTGTTTTGCTGTAGATTCATTCTATTTACTTGTCATTCTAGTGTTTTGTAGCCAGTTAACTTAACCAAGGAATTGTTGTTCACCTGTTTGAAAAAGTGTCAGCTTGATTTATCACTTGTAAATAAGGAATGAAAAGAAACTTTTTCAGTCCTTTGTTTCTATATATTTAGCTTGGTTATTTTCCAGAATAAAGTTATTGTTCTTTGAATTAATTAGTATCACCGACAATTTCAGGTATTTTGAATTGTTACTGTTATTTCTCTGGTAAAGCATAAGAACCGTGTTAATTCTGTGTTAATCATTTGGAGTCCTGCAAATACCCCATCAATACTACTCTTAATCTAGTGGCAATGCAGTTAAATTAAAATAACCTGTTGGATTTCAGATACCTGCAAGCTGCCTTACAGACCATTTGCAGAGGTGTGGTTAAAAACAGAAATAAATTTAAGTTCCTAATATAAACAGTAAACAGCATGATAAAAGTTCATTATGTGTACACTAGCCATTTCATTCATTTGTTGCTATTCTAAGAAACTGAGTCTTCCCTCATTGATAAAGCTTTTTTCACTGCCATTTTGTTGTATTGAAGGTCTTTCAGATGAAAATCATTTAGTGCAAAATGCTGCTCTGTTTGCTTTGGGTCAATACTCAGAGTATTTACAGGTGAGGTGATTTGTTCCTTGTCAGTTCCCGTACATCTAAAAGATCTAATAAATGTGCCGGGGTCAAATGCTAACAGCTTTTTCCATTCCCATTCAACGGTTATAAGATTCAGAGTTTTTCGTGTCTGATTAGTTTTTCTTTTTTCCTTAAAGCACTCTTGCGAATGACAACATACCATCACTAAAAAAAGTGTTCACGACTGTCTTGGTTATACACTGCAAATTTAAAAATCTACCCATTTGCTGTTGTGTCCCTTGTTTAAGTATATGTAGCCGGGTTCTTTTCAACCATTTACCCACTGTTTGTATTCTGTAACTTTATTTTCAGTAAGTAAGTTTATTTATCGCCGATGACGTGGGGGAGTGGTAGCCCAGTCTCCCAAGCTGGGCCTCACGTATAAAACGCTCGACCGAAGGAAACAATCATTAAAACAACTACAGTTAGTAATTATGTAAAATACAATTGAATAATGGATAATTAAGATAAATTAGGTATAAAATCCTATAAAATATCTACTATATAAATTCAATTAAAAATGGACCTGATTTAAAAAGCTATGGGGTAAAGATAAAAAGTATAAAATGTAATTAACACTAGATAATTTACAATAAACAAAGCTACAAAATACAGCTATTATATGACATCCTTTACATTTTTGATTTTTGATAGATAGGCAGGCACCGTAAGTGACTGAGTTCCCAAAGTTTAAAATAGATCTTAATGCATAATGATTGGTACATTCAAGTTTGTAGTTCAATGTTGGCAAAATCCCCAGCAGCAGTGGAGGACAGTATTCAAAGTTCGGTAGCGTATAGGCTTTGTATAAGGTGATCATGACATTTGAAGGAACCAGTCGCTTTATTCTACGCAATACTGCAAGTTAAGCATAGGCTTTTTTAGCATCATGTCCGTATGAGGCTTGTAAGACAGATCCTTGTCCAAAGTGACGCCAAGTATTTTAAGAGTAGGCTCAATGCCAATGATCTGATCCTCCACTGATGAGCGGTATGTTAACTGGGATTTGCCCAGAGTCGTTGCTTGAGTCTTAGCTTCATTGACTTGTAAAGAGATTAACGGAGAGCCACTGGGTCAGTTTGATAACATCATTATTCAAAGTAGATACGAGAACAACGGCAGACTAGTCATCTGCATAGAGGCGAAATTACAACATATATGAAGGAAAAGTGTCGACTTTTTATGATTAAGTTCATGAATACACTGTTTTTTCTCTTTGAACGTTTTGTTGTCTTATAGCCCGATATGTAAAGTATATATTTTTAATATCTTGTCATTGTAATTTTTCTAGATATTTTTCCTGTAACATCAGATATGTAATTTTTCTGCTTTTTTGAGCGATCTTGTGAATTCTTCAGATGGTGGATAAAGATACAGTGCAGATATCCTGCCTCTTCTGTTTGAGCGACTTGTGAATTCTTCAGATGGTGGAAAGACTTCAGTTAGCATAACAAGAACTTATTATGCTCTTGAAACATTCTGTGAAAATTTAGGTAATCTGTCGGATATAAATAGAATAAATACACTGTGAATCAAAAAAGATCTTTTGTAGCCCCAAAAATGGGGCCGTTTCGGTGGGTACCCTTAAATCAGGGCCAATACAGTCCCAATTACCAGAATAGGCCCCAGTGTGGGCATGAATAGGTATTTGATGGGGCTGTGTTTAAATACCTCTAGGAGATGCTGAATCAGACTTTGGCTTGCCGGGGGCTAAATTGGCACTTTGTGGCGAAAACAGATCTTTTTATTTTACATTGTATATATTTATATAACTAGAAGTAATCACTGATTAAAGATCCGCTTTCGCCACTTACGCAAACGAAATCGAGTCGAAAGGAGTCCAGTTTCCCGGCCGAGATGCCCCTGATAAAATCAGTAAGGGCGGCCAATCAGCAGTCAGGCCTGCAACACCTCGAAAATTTTGCCTTTGTGCCACAGGAACACCAAGAATAGGATGCGTTCTGACGAACGCTATTATCTTCTTCCCTTAAGAGACTTTTCATAGAGGTAATGAAACAGAGTCTGGACCTCTGGATTGCAGGTCCAACGCTCTAATAGCTGGGATGTGTTGTGTTGCTTGGTCTACAGAGAACATTGCCCTGCGTTGAAGACTCTCTATTTTTGTTATGATCGTTTTTATACCTTTTTGCAGGAAAACGATGTGTTGTGTAGCTTGGTTTACAGAGAACATTCATCCACTTCATTTATAAACAACTTATACCGTCATCGTTTTTATACCTTTTTGCAGGAGAAGGAATTCTTCCTTATCTTCCTACATTAATGGAAAAACTGCTTCTTGCTTTATCGCCAAGCACAGTAAGTAGTAACTTTGCCTCGTAGAACGTCAAGCCACTTATTTGCATGCTGTTCAATCATGATATCAAACGCGCGTATTTTTTTACGGCTCACTTTTCAAGTCTTTCTTTTTTCTGTAAGAGCCTGTTAACGAGCTCAGCCGGGGTATGAATTTCATCACGTAACTCCTGACGAGTTTCTGATCCAGGTTAAATAGGTATAGGGAATTATTTCTCGCTAAGGCACAGCATAGCAGTCAAAGAGCTGAACACGAGACTCACTTGATCCACGCAGCGGGCTTATTACTTTCTTGTAATGTTCCATGTTGCGTCGTCTTTAATTTTCTTTCTTTGTTGTAATGTTCCGTGTTCGGTCGTTTTTATTTTTTGTAGAGCGCACAAATGAAGGAGTTAGCAGTCAGTGCAATAGGTGCCACAGGTAATTTTGGCTGCTCAGACGACATTTGCTCTTTTCTTTCCGAGTTTTCACATTATACGCCCTCCCTCTCCACTGCGCAAAATCTTTTTTTTTTTTGACATAAAGATGACAAGATTATCTTGATCTACACACAGAAATTCCTTCCCTACTGGAAGAACATTAGCCCTTTATCTTGGTGATTGGTTGGATTTGTTTCCTTTTTTCTCTTTTTGTTAGGCACAGTAGTTCTTCTGCTTGGTATGTGTTTGAATTTGTGTTTAAAACTACTCTCTTTTTCTTAACAGCAAGCGCTGCTAAAGAGGCAATGCTTCCTTATTTCCCTCAAATAGTTGATTATTTAAAGGTAACTCAAGATATTTTTTTCACGGTTTGCTCTAAAGTTAATTTAGTATAGAGCTTTTTCACATGACGTCACTTTCCCCTATAACGGTGTCCCAAACCAGTTCTGTGGGAGGTTTCTTTAGGAAACATTTTCATTTGTCTCAGTAAAACCTCTGTGACTCTCATTACGCACGGCTTAGCCTGATTGGTCAATTTTACAGGCAGTATTCTACGGTCGACGCTGTAAGGTGCGGATTCTTGGTCGTATTTTCCTGTTAATCTATGGTGAAAATCTGGTCCCTAACTTACAGTAGGGACTTCGAATTCGATTATGAACTGGGAACTCTTTTAAAAACTTCTTGTATTCATCAAAATGGAGTCGCCTTTATTAAACTAGTACCAACTGTCGTTCAAGTAGATACTGCATTTGTTCTATAAATTCTGACATTCTCTCAACAGGAATATCTAACCAACACTGGATCAGTTGAGAGGAACGTTTTACGTGTGCAAGCTATTGGTAAGTGGCAATGGTCCTACCGAACTTTAGAGTTGGTAGTAAAGCCCTGGGTCGAGCTGCTCAAATAGGTGCTATTGTAACTCATATACTCTGTTTGCGGCTAACCTCAGGACAACCGCTAACCGGGCTTCCAACAAATTGCCCCTGGTTGTTGCCATTTTCATCGGTTAACTTTGCAGCTAATTGTCCTCCACGTCCAAGGCCCTAATTGTTGAAACGGCGGGTAGTGCATTGTACTGTTGTAATTACTCTCACGTACCCTCCTTTATTGGCTACTTTGAGGTAACATGACGTCGATCAAAAGACCGTTTCCCGCCAAAAGTTTGTGACCCGGCAATGAGGCGAAATCTATGACGTCACGGGGTAACATTGTTTTGTTATATCGACGGACGACGAATCTACCAATGTCGTCACTGGTTCCTCTGTATGGTGGATAGCACTTTACCTCCAATTTACGGAAGTGGCAGTTTATGTGTTCCCTATGTACTTAGTACTTGCAGTTGTTTGTTCGAAAGCTGTAACGTGACAACAAGGTTCGTAAGCCGCGTGCCACCTTCTCGCTAATCCATGTACCGTATATATATAAAAACAGGAAGGCGTTGATTGTTCTTTTTATTTGTTTGTGCGCAGATACATTGGGTGTCCTAGCAAGAACGATTGGCTCAGACAACTTCATATCACTAGCAGATGAATGTATTCAGCTTGGCCTGGTAGGTTCCATACCTAATAACCTTACTGTTAAACGCCAATATGACGCTCCACCTACATGTTTGTCCGCCGGCCGCCGTACAGCTGGCTAAAATCACTACTCTGTGAAGTTGACAACAAGAGTGGATTCCAATGTGCAGTTTCATAGGATTCCAGAATCATGAAGTTGTGTGTTTCTATAGACCCGTTTCTATGTGCCCTTTAGTACAAAAATTAACATTTCCAGGGAGACGTTCCAATCTTTTGTTCGCACCCCCACCCCCCTTAAAGATGGCTGGAATCCAAACCCATAAATTTTTGTCGGCGCCATTTGAAAAATGAAATGCGAACGGTTTATTTTTTGTGAAGTATAAATGAAATAATTCATTTTTGAACTGCGGTTGTCGGCGCCTTAGAAGAAAAAATCCCAACCCCTGGGGTGCGGAAGAAAAGTGGAACGTTCTAGGATCGTGAAACAAGGACGTTCTGCCTCTCTCTCCTATTATTAATTGATTGATTCACTGATTCGTCCCTTTCGTTCATTCATTCACTCGCTCGTTCTTTCATTCATTGATTTATTCATTTGTTCGTGTTTTATTTATTTTTCTCTCTAGACACTTCTAGAGCAGGACAGGGATCCTGATCTCAGGAGATGCACGTAAACATTGTCTTTTTTTGTTAAACTTACGTATTGAATATGAAAAAAAAAAAATCCCGAAAGAATGACAAAGTGGACGATCTTGTTTTTGTTTTTTGTTTTTTGTTTTAAATTTGACCAGGCTCTGAAGATCTCATTCTTTTCGGTGTACTGTTCAAGCTGCCATCTTCGTCGTGTTTGCTAACTCCAGCCCAGAGGAACCGTGGCGTGTAGTTGTGGTACATGTTATTATCAAAACTTCTTTTCCGTTTATATCTTACACAGATATGGCTTGTTTGCATCAGTATCTACAATATTGAAGACCAACATGGGAAGATATTTAAAAGACATCATTAAATACATGATTGATTCACTACAATCTACAGAGGGAATTGTGGTAGGTCACCTCAATCATTGACTCTGGTGTTAAATGATTTGAAACCTCGTATGTTTTACCAGCTAACTGCCAGAATGGGGAGTGGGACCAAAGGGCGCAGTTTCGGCTTATCGTTGTTGTTAAAAAAGATTTCCTGTGTTGTACCTATATTGCGTAAACTAGAGACAGGCTCAGGCTCTAAAAAAAGTCGTTATTTCATCGAGCAGGACTATCGCGCTTGACTGTAGAGTTGCAGGTCGCGGGCTCAGTCTCCTGCAGGCCGGAATAATACTCATGGTCTCAAAGTAACTAGAAAATGAAATTAAGGTACTGCCTTTGTCTTTGAGACGGTCTCGTCTTCACTGGGAGACGTAAAAATGGTTTTCTCTATTAGTACTTTTCTGCTAAAATCATTAGCACTCCAACAAAGTGCGTTTTTATTTGTCTTTTCTCAAAATGTTGGATACCAAATGAGAACAAATTACTGTGGCATAAAAGACAAGAAGCAAAAAGCTACTAACTCAGAAATTAAGAAGTCACGTTTAATGAACGCGGGAAAACCTCTTGTTTCTCTGATGACAGACTCACTATGCAAGTGAGGACGACCCTAGTTTTCTACTTGAGGACGAAGACTTAGAAGACGATGATGAAGATGATGATGAAGTCACCGGGTATGTTTTAAATAGACCTTTTTATGTTTTGTTTTCCCAAACAGACCACCTGATGTTCTAAAGATGTGGTTAAACGGGCAGCAACAACGTGCAAATTGTTCAGGTTGTTGTAAGTTGCGTGAATGCTGACTTCTGATTGAATAAAATTACGCAGGTGTCACGCAATACACAGGAGTTACAGCGTCACTTGCTGCAAAGCAAGATTGCCTTGGACCGGTAAAACGCGTAACATGTACAGATTTTGTTGCTAAAATGAGAACCTCTCTCTACTTTCTGCAACAAGTTTTCGCAGCCTGCGACAACCTGAATTGTTGGTTTGAACCTGGCCAGTAAAACGCGCAACATCGCTGTTCAACTCGTTTTGCTGCAATGTTGCAAAACAAGTTGCACGTTTTTGTTACCCGTTTTAGTTACCGAACCTTAAAAACCGTTACAAATGTAATTTAAAAGTGCATGTGAGTGGCGCAGGGAAGGGGAGAGGAGGAATTTACGCGCGCGAGAACGCGAAGAGCGCGTTATCGTCACGTCTCTCGCGCACGGTTTTCTCCTCCCTTTCGAACACCTGCTTAATATTGGGATTCTTAGCTGATCCCCAGTGTTCATGTGTCTTGTTTTATTGTAGGTATAGCGTAGAAAATGCTTATTTGGAAGAAAAAGAAGACACTTGTAACGCTTTAGGAGAAGTAGCAGAGAACTCAGGGTAAGGGGATTGATTTTCGAAACTCTCCTTTTCAAATATATTTTGTGATTCAAATTTATCCTTATTTTAATTTTTATTTTCCTTTGTTTTAAACTCATTATCATACATTACCATACCCCAAAGCAAAGGAAAATAAAATTTGAACCAAGGATAAAATTGAACCACAACATATACACTAATAGCACTAAGAACAGACGGTCACTTTCCGGGGGGGGGGACTCCCCTATGAACGGAGCGGGGATGCTCTTCTTCTCGATTAGGGGTGTAAATTTCGGATTTTGGTCCCGCTGAGTGTGTTTTGGGCAAAACGCCATTATATTTAGTCGTTAAGGTCTCTTTTAGGTTTGCACGCGAAGAAATATTTAAAATGGTCTATTTTAGGGGTCAAAAAGGCTGGGCCACGCCCAGATTGGTATACTTTAGGGGTTCAATTCAATATTTCCGACAAGCGTCCCCGCCCCTTTCATTTGGGAGTCCCCCCCAAGCTTACTTTCACCAGACAGAGCGCTGACCATCTTACTGTTATTTATTCCTTGCTACAGGAAGGAGTTTCTACCTTATTTAGATGAATCATTTAAAGAAGTCTTAAAGCTTGTACAGGTAGGAAGAGAGACTAAAAGGAGCTGTGTCCTAACGAAATTTATCCAAATTCAAACAGTGGGAACTATCACCAAACTACAAACATAAAAATAACCACTCAAAAAATGGAAAAAAAAAGGTATAAATAACTTAACAAATTGAAAAGGAGGACTGGCGGATGGACAAACTTGAAGAAGATTGAAACGGTTTGCAATTGTGATTTTTGAAAGCTTGTTAGCCTAACATTTTTCAAAGTTCATTTTAGTTGTTTTTACGTTTGATTTAACGCACGAGAGACATTTTTGTTTGACTCGAAGCTGTGATTGTGTCATTTCCAAGTAATTTTTCAAGTTCCATCGTGAATAAGGACGTGTAATTGGTATCATTAACAAAATGAATTAGTCAGCCGTGACACTAGCCTCCCACGCAAATGTTCTGAGGGGTTGGTCACTTAGTGGGGCGGGAACGCGTGACGAACCCCTAAGAACGTCCATGGGGAGGCTACCGTGACACAGCCCATTTAAGAATTTCCTGTTGTTAATATTATATACTACTTATTATAAACCGAGAGTGAGGTCAGTACAGGGAAATCTAGGACCGAGGCCTTGATGTATTAGCGAGGTCAATACATCAAGGCCGAGGTCTGAGATTTTCCTGCAATGACCGAACGGACGAGGTTAATAACTTACTTATTATATGGCCTTTTCATTATGGTTTGTAAAATTGTTAGTAAACCTTATTGGACCTGTCAGTTTCCTCATACAGGTGTACGGAAAGGAGCAGTCATGGCTTTAGGCCAGTTCTGTAGCGTATTCCATAACCTACTGCAAGAAGCTGGTGCAGAAGACAAAACAGCCTGTATGTTCATAGTAGTCTTTTTGTATAAGGCAAGCAGGGCGAGTTAGCTGATTCTAAGGCGAGGGGGCCATCGTTGCGCTTAATTCGAGCTACTATCTAAGAGCCTGGCAGAGGCGTTGCGTTTAATTCGAGCTACTATCTAAGAGCCAGGCAGAGGTTACGATTACTTCCGATCAAATTTACTTAGCTTGTGTGTTATTTAAGGAAACAATTTAAAGGCACATGGAAACAGAGACAGGGGGCCATAGCAATTTCGCTTAGGTTGCAACGTTGCTCAAAAGCTATAACAAAAAGGGGGGTTCCGTAGACAGCTAGTTTCCCCCCCCTACCCACCCACCCACCCACCCACCCAAATTGCTAGCCCGAATACCAAATCTTTTGTCTCCCCCTTCATCACCAGCTGTACAAGAACATGCTTACATAAAAGAGTGGAGTCTGCATAGAATTGTTTTGCTACACAAACATGGCCTCCGCGAAGTCATGAGAAAACGATCTGTTGTCTCTTAGGAGACCAGAAATGTCAGGACTTGAGGAAAACATTTTCAAGTGCATATAGGATCGATGTTGCTCGTCAGCTATAATTTTTTAACCTTTCCGTGGAGTTCGTTACAAGATGATACTAATCCGTATTATGTTTCTTTGCAGTGCAGCGTATGCTTAGTACGGCCATACCAACGTTTATCACTGTTATAACAAAGGACAAGGACAGATCAGTCGCCATGGCAACACTGCAGTCCCTTAATGAAGTTTTAAAGTCGGTCAAGAGTTTGATCATCGATGAACAGGGACACCCAGATGCTATTGCAAATGCTGCTAGAACAGTGCTAACGCAAAAGGTCTGTTGGTGGCATTCTAAGTGCGTTAGGCTACTGTCAAAGTTAGTTACTAATCTTCACTAGAATCCATTCATTGGAAAGACTCACACAACCGGGTAGTGCTTAGTTAAGGGAATGGTATACCTCCTAGCCTGTTCACAGACCCTCAGTTTTTCTCTTTAGAGACGCTCAAGCGGGCTAAAGTATATAAAACCTCGGGTCGGGATCTATTGATCGCAAGCGCAGCAGGGTAGGGGTGGGGAAAGAAGAAAAAAAAAATCTTTTTCAATTTTTTGTTCTCGTGCTCCGCGCTCGCCGATTGTCGGAAAAACGTCTGGGTACAGGCGATACCCCCCTCCCCCCGCCCCTCCCTTATTGGTGACTGAGCTAGTGCTTCAACTTTGCGTGGTGTTTATAGTGCTTCTAAGTAAGATACCGATAATAAATAAGTTAACAATCCGAACTGAGAGAAGGCGAGCCTGTCAGTTACATACAGGCGTGATTTAGCGATCAGCTCGCTTGCTTTTTGGTCAAGCTCTCTCGCGCTGATAGCCCACCACGTTCGATATATTAAAATACTAACACGACTCCGAGGCTTTCTGGTCATTTCTCCATATTTGGTTTGGTTTTCTTTGTGCTCAAGTCTCTTCTGGCAATTGCGAAACAATGAAGTCTTGAAAAATTTGACCCTAAACGTGATGTTACACGAGACGATTCGCAACGACCAATTTTTAGCGCAACACAGCGTTGCAACATTGTTGCGACATTGTTTCGAATGGTTAGAACATTGTTCCAACATTGCAACGCTGTGTTGCTCTAAAAATCGTCGTTGCGAATCGTCCAGGCCTCAGAGCCAATATCGAACGTGGGCTGTTGAAAAGGAAGGATTGTAATCTATAATGAATTAGGAAAGATGCGTTTATTTTTAGCCACATTACAGCTTGAAGTTAGCAAATAAAAGGCCTCTGACGTTTCGTTTTAGACTGCCTGTCAGCAAGGCGAAGACGATGACATTGATGATTCTGACCAACAGGCCGAGTTTGATGCTATGTTGATCGAATACGCAGGAGATATTCTTCCTTCGCTGGCTACTGCCGTAGGCGGCCCCACCTTCGCTCCATACTTTGCGGGCTTCTTACCTCTGTTACTTAAGAAAACGGTACGTAAAGTGTCTCACAGTTTACGCAAAGGTTCTTATGGGTAATCACGCAATTCTTTCAGGGAAGAATTGTAGGACGACACAAAAGAACGTCTGTGTAGAAGGCAGTGTCACGCGTAACAGGGAATATCTTTTGGGGAAGGGTGGCGCCGTTAAGCTCATGGCTGAGCAAGAGGGGAGGTACCCTGCTCCTAATCACGATCTTTACATTTAGAAAGGCTTAGTGAAAGTCATGTACGAGTTACAGCCAATAGTATTGAGGCAATTTTAATTATTATTATTATTATTATTATTTATTTGTTTCAACATTCTTGAGGTTTTTCTCATACATTAGGTAAAACATTTAATATACTACAAGTAGTTCCTCGTTTCTCTCACGCATACTTTTATGAGGGCGAGCGAAATACGCTAGACCGCGTTAAAATCGCTACCCATGAAAAGTGAGGCGCGAAAGTAAAACAGACCTTCCTCGCGGGAGATCGCCGGTGGCAATTTCACCCGCTTTTCTGTCTTCGCTCGCTCTACTTTCTCTGTGAAAAATGAGGGACTATTCGTAGTTTAAAGACCCAATACTGTGTCTTGCAACCCAATAATGAAAACTTACGTTTTTCATGAACTTTAAAACACTACTCTTCACTGTTCACATTGACAAAAGGTAAACTTAACAAATGGCGAGGAGATGTTCGTTTACTACGTGCGCTCAAAAATTAAACTCTATTTCCGTTTCCGTTCCTACATGTAAAGAATCTTTGCTAATCTATTTTTCATTCTCTTCCTTTTTTAGAGGAAATCTTGTCCGGTTTCTGATAAATCATTTGCCATTGGAACTATTTCAGAGGTAAAGCTCATTTTGATAGTTTATTTAACGAGTGTACAATCCTTATCATCTAGAATTCGTTTCTTTTCCTATTTGTCTTTGTTACTATTATCAAAATGTTTAAATAAACCGAAAGGAAGATCGTACATAAGCTACATAGGTACAGGGAAACCGAGCTTAAGTTGTTTGCTTTTTTGCAGTAACACAGCAGAGCGTTAAATCGCTTTCCGTTCCATATTCAGCTGCCACCAGCTTCCACCCTACCCATCCGTACTAACTGAAAATCGTCTCTTTACTCTTCTTCTAACTCTTCTTAGGAGAATTTGTTTGAAATCAAACCTTTATCCTCTGGTCATCAGTCTCATCCTGCTTGTGTCTGGTTTAACTCTTCCACTTCCTGACCAAGTAATTATGAGATGATTTGTAGCTCTAACTTTTGGGTCTATGGATGAAATCCTATGGTGTTACCATTCAAATGAAACCTCTTCAGCTGTACTTTCACATGGTACTATTTATTTAATATGTAGCTCTAACTTTTGAGTCTGTGGATGAATTCCTATGGTGTGACCATTCAAATGAAAGCTCTTTAGCAGAACAATTGCGTGATGCTATTTAATATTTGGATTGTTCAAGAGGAAATTTGGAATTTGTTGTGAATTTTTACTTTGGCCACTGCTTGGAGTAAAGAGGTTAAGCAGTGATATTTTTAAAAGAAATAAGATGCTGTTTCCTCTAAAGGCTCAAAAGGATAAGTGTTGTTTTGCAGTGGCACAGCGCGTCCTACCCTCGATAAGTTTGCTTTTAGCCGACTTCCCCTTAAATAACCAAAGAGCACACTAAAATAAATGTAACCAAAGCGATCGTAAAATATTTTCCCTTAATACGTTCCGCCTACAGATACTCCTCGCCATGGGACACGCCATAGCCCCTTTTGTCCAGCCTCTGTTCCCAGTTTTCATGACGTCACTAAAGGACGAAGACGATGAAGTTAGGAGTAACACCATCTATGGACTGGGTCTCCTGGCATTCTATGGTGGAGATATCATGTTACCGTATCCTTTCAACCGTAGTGCAATTTTACCGGGATTGTTTTTGGTTTTCACAACCTAGAGTGGCCTATAGATCCTTTTCTCTCACATAGCTAGCATCTATGCAAATTTATTGGAGCAAAGAAAGCGTTTGCGTATGAAATAGGTTTAATTCCCACAGGATTGGTTTGGTACACTAACATGGCAGCTGTTTTATTGTTTTGGAACACCAATATGGCCGCCGTGACGTCATGTGAAAACGCTTTATGTTAAAAATCAAAAATAATCTTTGAATTCCTTAGACTACAAGGAAACCACTACCCCACCCCCTATGATCTTTTATAGAAGAATTGAGACGTGCTGAAAGCAACTAGCATTATTTGCAACGAGACAAACGAAACTTCTGCACGAACGCGTTTACAAGGGAGCGGTTCTGGCCGGTTGCAATCATTTTTTCTACTTTCTCGTCACTCTATCATTTATAGCATTTTGGAGTTCTGCATCACGTGATAAATTGGTCATTGCGAGAAATTTGGTGGTTTGGAAATTCGACTGAGTGTTTTCCCGTTCAGTTAACTCTTTAAGTTTCTATGATAGAGACGACTACGATCACGAGATCTGACTATACTAAAAACAAAAAAAAGTCCTTCCTCGATCACAAAATGATAAAATTTAATATTTGATCACTTTTTACCGTTACTATAACATTTTCGCTAAAACCCTTAGTAGAATGACAACGGCTATCACGTTTTCCCGCCAAAATGACGCTGGTTCACGCGCGCGCACCACTTAGTATTGAGAAATCTCGTTCTTGTAGTCGTCCTCGTCTTAGAATTAAAGGTCTCTAATAAAAAGACCTGTGTTTCCTTGACTATTCTGACTGCAGTCATTATCAGAACGTTTTAGAATCGCTCTTCGTTATCCTGTCTCAGAACCAACCTCCTCGAGTTGTGGATAACATCTGTGGTGCTGTCTGTAGGATGATCATGGCAAATAGGAATTCTATTCCCCTGGAAAAGGTTTGAAAAGACCGTTAGTACTGTGATGTCATATGCATAAAGGGTCTGGGAGGGTCAGGGGTGGTGGGCCTCTGCCTGATGTAGTAGACTCGCGGAGACTGGGTCTAGAAACTAGCCAAAAATAATCTCGTAAACGCCTCCGCGAAATCATAAGGGTAGTAAGCATAACTTAAAACAAATCTGCAGGCAAGCACATTCTCGAAGGCTGAAGAGTGTCTACAAAGAGTACTGAACAAGCTGGAATGGAATTGCTAACTCTGGCTAGTAAGTACGGTTTATCAAAAATATGCTATGTTCAGAAAAAGAATATTGTAGCAGTAGCGAACGTGTTTTGCCAGTCTTAAATGTCGCATTGCCAATTACACTATTTTCATACTTACATGGTAACAACTTTGCCTGTTTTACAAAATGCAAATTTGCTTTAAAATTGGCTGCACTGTTCGACTGAATTTTCTTTCAAATCTCTTCACGTTTTTCCATTCATATCATTCAGGTGGTTATCCATTCTTTCAGGTTTTCCCGGGAATTCTCCAATGCCTACCGTTGAAGGAAGACTTCGACGAAAACCATCCTGTTTACTCGTGCATCATAGAGTTGTTTAGCGATCAACACACGCTTATCCGGCAGTTCCTGCCACAACTTCTAGCGGTGTTTTCTCAAGTTCTTCCCTCGGGAACTTTGCAGGAAGGTAAGTTCCCCCGGGAGAGTGAGGGTTAGGAATTACTCGTGCATCATAGTTGTTTAGCGATGAACACACGCTGATCAGGCGCTGCCTTCCACAACTTCAGCGGTGTTTTCTCAAGTTTTTCCCGCGGGGACTTTGCAGCAAGGTAAGCTATCGGGGGAGGGGGATACTCCCTATAATGGCCTATACGGGGTGGCTCCGCCCGAACGGGGTACCCTTATCAGGCTTCAGGTATATAAAAGAGTAGGAAATTCACTTGTTGAAGTGTATGAAATCTGTCATTTCGGTCTGTAAAAAGTCTCAAGGGCCAACAGATGGGCTCCTAATGGCTGTTAAAAAGTTGAGAAAAGGTTCTGGTTTTGTGATTTATTCATATTTAAAAGACAGTGCATTTACAGCAGTTAAAAGGCGTGGAAAGTTCTAAAATAGGTACGTAAAGGGGTACCATTTGTCAACGGAAGGTATATGAAAGGGGTACGTTTTCTTTCAAAATGGGAGCCTCCTTGTATAACACTTTGCTTAGTACCCAACGTGGCTAAGTTAGCTCTGAGATAATTCATTTATCACATGATAGTCATAATGGGTAATAAGAGGCTATATGAAAAACGTTTGGACAGTAATCTAGGTTAAGGAGGTTTCTTACAAAAGAAGAGCTCCAAATGGTAGACTCCTTGGCAAACTTTCAAAGCTCATTTGACGCGCCAAAATCAATGTTTCGTAGGAATGGTCCGCAATGCGGAATAGAGCCTATTTTCCGGTCGTCTTTTTGTTAAAGATGAAGGACAAAGGAAAGTTTAGTGAAACCCTTGTACTCTTAAAATTACACACATCTTTAAAATTTGAGTAATAATTTGGAAAATGAATAGTTATTGTTGTAGTTATGGAATTGAGTTTCACAAAGAGACTCAATGCTCGAACCACAAACCAACTAAATTAATAATTATCAATGAAAAAGTCCTATTTTAATGATCACAACAAAGAGTTTCGTCCACAGCAGAGTGAAATGTTCGAGCTAGTTGCCAAATAAATAGCATCTTCTTGAAGTTCTGAGGGCGTTTCACCTGAGGGTTTTATTTACAGACTCAAGAGTTAGATATGCACTAGATTTTTCTATAATGTGTATAATTTACCAAGGAAGTGAAGTAGTTTGCATTTTCGGTAAGATTGACCTGATAGTTCGTTACATTTTCAGGCATCCGTGCTGGACTCATCAGTATGGTACAATCAATTCAGCATCAATCACCACAAAGATTTCAGAACATTCTGGCAGAAATGCCTCCAGAGCATGCTCAGGTGCTTGTAACCGCGGTCTCTCTGCAGGCACCTGGTTGACAACATCTTAGTTTAGCGGACAACGCTGATTGTTGTGCATAAAAGTTGTGTCTGAAAAGACCAACGTCTCTCCAAGGATCACGCTTATTTTTCCAGTTCCAAGCTTTGATGTAAAGTTTTGGTTCGGTTTCATCTTGCCGAAGCCGTTTACGTCGAGATGGTGGGGATCAGATTTGGTATGACTTATACCATATGATATGACCAATCTACTCAATCGTATCTCGAAAACTTGAATACTGCTGGGGAATTTTTCGTCACAATTTAAATCACAGAGGAAACAAACTGGGTATCAATTGATTTTTAGTTCGGCGGCCATCAATTACACATTCGCACAAAATGAAAAATGCGAGGAAAGGGAAACTAGTGGTTTATTTTTCATCGGCATGGTGCCTGCCCTTCCTACTCATGATTCAACTCAACTGGGACATGCATTCACTACGTACTTCAAAAGGCAGCTGTGACTAAAATAACCATTCCTCGAAATGTATGTTATTTAACTTGATGTTACCATCATATTTCGCGACGCGCGTTGTATAACTCACATGAAATTCTAAATAAATACGTCTTCTTGTATAACTTACCCTTCGATCGTTCACCCTCGAACAGCACACTAATAAAAATGGAGCAGTAACCAGGAGTACTAAGAGAGTAAAATGTATCACAAAAAGCGTCATCTGGTAGAGTTTTAAAGACAGCGAACTTAAAGCTTCCAGTGTGAAGCCATTATAAATTAATATACATAACGCAGGATTGGAAAAATATGTGCTGAAGGGTTGTGTGAAAAAATAAAATCTTTGAAAATGTACGAAATATGTACCAAATGCCGTAAAGGATATCGTATTGTTTAGATTGGGGCTCGGTGTCTTTTACTAGGGAAAAAAGGCTGCATTCCAAACGAAATAACATGTCAAAAAAGATTCTAATTTTTTAGCCCTGAAATAACCATTTCATTGACTTCGATTATGCCAGTATAATTGACAAATGAAACTTAAAGAGTTCTATAAACTAAGAGTCATGGCACATAACGAACACCACTCAAGAGTAGAAAAATACTCTACGCCGATACATAAACGAAACTTTATACTTTAAAATTGGTTGCATATATTTTGCCTTTTGCATTTTATACTTTTTTACATCGGCTTCAGAATGGAAGCCGAAAGCCTTTGCAGTAGATACGAACGATTACCGTTTTTTCCGGTCTCATTTTTTAAAATTTAAGCGTTAAATCTAGAGGACGAGAAACGGAAATATATATATTTTTACAGTGCTGCACGGCATTTGCATTTTTATCTATCTTAGGTTCTACCTTGAGGGAATTGCTTCTTTTCCACTTTACAACCCCGTTTCGTGCCGTATTGGTAAATCTGACAATTTTATATGTAACTTTCTTTAACTAGATCGTTGCTGTTTTGTTTTTGTGTTTTTTCCCTCCGTCTTTTTCTTCTGTACAGTTGGATGGCATTCGTGTAAAGAAAAAAGACCCGACGCTAATTTCCCTGGATCAAGTGGTTCTAATTTAAGAACATGGACAAGAGCTACCTTACTGGAGTTAGCCAATCAGTTCGCGGGAAAAAGCTGAGTGGAAAACGCTTGCATATTCAAGTTTAATAGGTCATTGATTCAGTAAGGACCACAGAAACATCATGAAAGTGTTTTTATCAGAAGTTATTTCGATGGTCGGACACTGTTGTCTTTTAAGGGATGAAACCAATCATCACATGGGAAAAATTCAAGTAGAAAGCGCTTGCTTATTTCAGCTTATTATAGTGGCTGACAGAGTAATTAAGAAATGTATATACCGTAAAATTCGAAAATGAGCCCCGGGGCTTATATTTTTCAAAGGCCTTTTTTGAGGGGCTTATTTTTGGAGAGGCTTATATACGGAAGGAAAATTGCGTTTCAAAATCGGCTAGACTTACATTTGGAGGGAAATTTGCCTCTCAAAATTGATTGGGCCAGCTTATAGTTGGAATGAAATTTAAGTCAGCAACTTGCAGAAAGGTTTTACTGAAACTCGCCTTGAGAACATAGACGTTACTAAAACACATCCATGCAAGTACTTTGTCTATATGGACCGAGGAAATCCAAGCCGACAGTAAAGAATGAACTACGCAAACAGCAATATAAAACTGTAACACTTTCTGACTGCAATCATTTGGCACACGTAAAAGTTCTTTGGCAAATACAAACATTTATGTTACCAGGGCCGTACCTAGGATTTTTTGTCTGCGGGGGCAAACTCGGTTTTCGTGAGATTTCGGACCAATATAGCTACAAGAAACAGCCCAGCAAAATCAGACACTATGTTAGAAAAAAAACATTTAGTTTTCCTGGCGGGGGCAACTGCCCCCTTCGCCCCCCCGCTATGTACGGCCCTGGTTACTGTACCGTTTTTGCTTTTTTACTTTGTATTTGAGGGCAATTTCCAAGTACAAGCCCCCGGGGACTTATTTTCGGAGGGGCGATTTAACGGAGGGATTTTTGCTTTTGCGTTACGAGTTTGGGGGGCTTATACATGGAGGGGCTTATTTTCGGAATGTTACGGTATTTGGGAGGTCTTCGTTTTTTCTGTATTACACATCATCGATAACGGCGCAAAATTATGCAAGAAGTTGACGAAAACTAGCAATTGATTGATTAAATGACAGCGCTGCTGTAAGTGTCATTTAATTGTGGTTCAGCGATAAAAAGTACCAAAGCATTTTGATTCTTAACTGTAAACATGTATGTCCCGAACTCAACTACAGCTTCCAATTCAATCTTCAATGTTTCAAATGCCTTGGACGAACCTTCGCGACTTAGCGCGCAAGAACAGATGTGTTTGATCATCAACATCATCTTGAACATCATAACTTGTCCGTTCACTGTTCTTCTCAACGCTGCAGTGATAATTGCAGTGAAAACAAGACCAACACTTCAGAGCTATGCCAATATTCTACTGGCTTGTTTAGCTGCAACCGATGCAGTGAGTGGTGTTCTGGCACAACCATCGTTTATTCTGTACATGATGTTGTTGTTACTTGGAGTGGGTGGTAAAAGCGCTGAAGACGCAGCTCAAAGTTTCCATTATTCTTCCATACGCGCTGTGCTTGTCTGTTCATCGCTTCATCTGATATTGGTGACTTACGAGAGGGTAATTGCGATTAAATTTACCATGTACTACCCTGTCTTTGTAACAAGACAGACACTCAAGATAGCAGTGGGCACCTTTTGGTTCCTTTCAATTTCTTCTGAGGTACTAAAACACGCCATAGACAATCCTTTATGTTCAAACGTTATAGCGGTCGTGGCGTTAATTTCTTGTGTTGTTTTTGTCTCAATTTCTTATTTTTTATTGTACCAAGAAACCCGCCGACATCAAAGAAAAATGAAAACTGAGCAAATACCACAAGGAGAAGTAAAACGATTTGCCAAAGAGAACAAAGCACTCAAGACAACTGTTTTCGTAGTAGGAGCTGTTCTGATGTGTTTTTTCCCTATGTTCATACTCATTTCATTAGTAATTTTGTGGTCGGGTCCCGCGGTAATTGCATCAAGTTGGTTTTTTGTCTTGACACCATTTGTGCGTACATTAAGCATGTTCAACTCCTTCCTCAATCCACTAATTTACTGTTTGCGACAAAGAGAAATGAGAAAATTCGTATTAAGATTTCCTAAATCAATACAAGTGGTACAACCCGCTGATATTGGAGAGATTTAATAAAATAACGTCGATAGCGAACGGCAAAGGTCACACTGGATTTGACGATTTTTCAAAATTAGAAAAAGAGTACGAGATAAAATCAGTGCAAAGTATAGTCAAACCTGTGGTAAAAGTTAAGAGGTCACACTTGAGAAATGGCTTATTGACCACTTATTTTAAAATACATGATAACAGTTTGACAAACCTAAGAGTTACTCAAGAAAATCGGAGGATGATGAAAGAGGCAAATACCTCAGTATCCCACGGCAAATCGACCTGACTTCTTGTGACAAAAGAAAAGAAGTAAAAAACCACAGTAACGGCAAATCTTGTCACTGAAGGTGACCCTTTAAAAGAGTTGAAGATAATGAATAACTTGTTGGGACGTCGGAAAAAGTGACGACTTAATAGAGGTGACCCCTTAATACGGGCCAGTTTTACAGTAATTAAGGAAAATGATTTCAGGGACTTTGATAAGTTTAGTGCAGGGTTGATTGTAAATTTTATGTTGCCTAGTCCCTAGGCCTCATTATTCCGCGCGGCCAAAGCGTTTCGGGTCACGTGGTCCAAGAAGTACCCTCCCGTTCGTCTCGGATACGTCACCGAAGTGAATTGACCGAGAGGGACTGAAAAAACGCCGTACAGGGACTAGGAAAAATCTTATTGACGACTACTCATTGACCCCGCTTACGTGGAGAAAAACTGTTCGCTGTAGAAGGTCACCCTCCCAGCCGTGTCACAAAAAAGTTGACCCCTTTGTCCGAGCCAAAAGCGCTCGCCCGTGCTCTTATTTCACTTTCTTGCCTTGATCAGGCTGGGCGAGCCAACAATAACAACATAAGCTTTATTTGCATGACTGTAATTATGAAGTTACAGTATTGCAAAAGCTTTAACATAAAGTTACAATTTATAACAATGATAATGCAATGCAATGATTACTACAGTCAATCAAGTGTCATCAGCATGATTTGATAACAGATTAGTACGTAAATCATTACGTAATGAGACAAAGTGTTTATATGGAGAAAAGTGTGAATTGTCCGGCAAGGAGGGTGACCCTCCAATCACAAAAGGCTAACCCGGCTTGACGGGTTATTCTTCTTGCCCAGCCAACTTTTTGTTTCTAATGGAAACGGTTCGCCACGTTTTGTAAGGAAAAATGTATCAAAAAATAGCTCACCCAGGGAAGCTCGGGTAGGCCGATGACTTTTCAACCCGGGACAAGTTTTCTCCATACAAACGGGACCTGAGTCGTTAAGAAACAAACTCAATCTGATCGTTTCGTTCTCTCACATTGAATAACTTCACTATATAAACCCGGCGCGTGGGTTGAAATGCACTTGGGTAATCGAATGATAGCCGGTTCTGAAGGGCTTTTGCGAAGTTTCTGAATTTTGTATCCAAGAACAAACCAGGCAGTATGTTAAACTGGCACATATAAGCCAACCGTATCAAGGGATGTTCTTGGTCTTTAAAAAATGCCAAAGAACTAACGCGAATGCTTGCATGTAATATCCTTACCTTCGGATACAAGGCTTCGAAACAAAAAGGATAACAAATTATTGCTAAATGCTGTGAAAAATTTTGACTGGAAAAAGATGACGTAACAAAAAGGCAAGAATCTTTTTGCACCAAAAATCGAACCTAAGAAAAATTAAAATCCATCGACTTTAATCTGTCTAAATTTCCTATTTAAACTTTTTGAAGCCCACTTACGAGATTTAAATATCTCCAGAAGAAAGGCAGATATAATATATCTGATATTTAAAGTAATAAATGCTTACAACACAACATTTACGTTAAAAATCTATCTTAGGTTCTCCCAGATTGCGTGTGCTGTTTTTTCTTATTATTTTTCTTGTGCAAAAATTGCACCACATTAGTGCAAAGAAAAAAGATCGCTAGAAAGAATACATCAAGTGCTTCTAAGTTACGAACATGAACAAGTTAACCAATCAGTTCGCGGGAGAAAGCTTAGCGGAAACACTTGCGTTCTTAAGTTTTTTAAACAGTAATGGATCATTGACTAAGGGCCACTGAAACAATATAAAAAGTGTATTTATCAAAAGTTACTTCGATAGTCGGACACTGTTGTCTTCTGTAACGGATGAAATCAATCTTTTGGCATGGGTAATATTAAAGTACAAAGTGCTTGCTCTTTATTTCAGCTTATTAAGCGGCTGATTGAGTAATTGAGAAATGCATATATTTGGCAAGGTCGTCTTTTTTTCTGTAATATACATTACATTAACGACGCACAATAGCAGAAGTTGACCCAAAAGAGAGCAATTGATTGAGTACATGACAACGCAGCTGCAAGTGTTATTTAATTGTGGTTCAGTCAGTGACGAAAAGTACAGAAGCATTTTGATTCTTAACCGTAAACATGTATGACCCGAACTCAACTACAGCTTCCAATTCAATCTTCAATGTTTCGAATGCCTTGGACGTACCTCCGCGACTTAGCGCGCAAGAACAGATGTGTTTGATCATCAACATCATCTTGAACATCATAACTTGTCCGTTCACTGTTCTTCTCAACGCTTTAGTGATAATTGCAGTGAAAACAAGACCAACACTTCAGAGCTATGCCAATATTCTACTGGCTTGTTTAGCTGCAACCGATGCAGTGAGTGGTGTTCTGGCACAACCATCGTTTATTCTCTACTTAACAATTAGTTCATGCGTCAGCGTGCGTATGTCGAGATATTGAGCACGCGGGAAGTTTGGAGAGCACGAAAGAGGCGTAAGAGTTGCACGAGGCGCAGCCGAGTGCAACTCTAGCCTCTTGAGTGCTCTCCAAACTTCCCGCGTGCTCAATATCTCGACATACGCACGCTGACGCATGAACTAATTGTTAATTAGTATATACTAAAACAGTGGATAGTGTTTTTCGCGCGCTCTGATTGGCTACTCAATCAGTGAATATCCTGCACTGTTCACTGATTCAACTCCAGTTCCTCCGAGCGAGCGACGCCAAACTCGTTGCGAGCAAAATGCCTTCCCGGTTTGCTGCCGTAGACAAACAAAGAAATTTCGAAACTAATCAAGCAAGCTGTTTCCGAAATACACGAAGAAGGTGACGAAGTTCGGATTGGAAGTTTTAACAGGTAAAGCTTTGTCTTTTTGACCTAGAATTTATCCATAAAACCGGTGGAAAAGTTTTTTGTTTACAAATGCAAATTAAGTTTAAGTCTTGCGTTACTTTATTTAGTTGAGTTGTTCATAAATATAAAGCTTAAAACTAAATTTAATAATCTTTTTTGATAGAATGATTTTAAATACAAAAAGAATTCACAACTCCTTTTGAAGAAATTTCCCCGCAAGAGCTAAACAAATGCCTTCAAAAGTTTTAATTGTCCGCAAGAAAAAGCCACGGCAGCGGTCGCCCGGTCATTACGCGCCAAAATTGAAATCGTTGGCAACAGTATTTGAGTTAAAAATTATGATTTTCCTGCAGAAAAAAGATCGCTAATAACTGTATATCAACTGACACTAATTGAGGAACGTGAAGTAGTGTTACCTACTTGAGTTAACCAATCTTATCGTGGGAAAAAGCTGAGTGGAAAACGCTTGCATATTGAAATTTCTTAAACAGTGTAAGGCCATTGACTAAAGACCACTGAACCTTTTTGAAGATGCTTTTACCCGTTAATTTACTTCGTGGCTGAAAACTGTTGTCTTCTTAATTATTAAAACCAATCATACTTATTTAGCGGTCGACTAAGTATGTTGGAAATGTGTATATTTGGCAGGTCATCGAGTAAATGCAGACAATGTAAAGAAACCCGCTGGGGAAAGTGTGCATGGACGCACTATCCCTCCACTATATATACTCGTCGGTTTTAGCGACAAAAAGTACATAAGCATTTTCATTCTTACAAGTCAACATGTATGTCGAAAACTCTATTTCAGGCTCCAATTCAACCTTTATGTTTTCAAACAACACCTTGGACGAACCGGCTTCGCGTCTTAGCACACAAGCTCAGATAAGTTTGATCATCAACATCATCATCAACATCATAACTTGTCCGTTCACTGTTCTTCTCAACGCATTAGTGATAATTGCAGTGAAAACAAGATCAACACTTCAGAGCTATGCCAATATTCTACTGGCCTGTTTAGCTGATACCGATGCAGTGAGTGGTGTTCTGGCACAACCATCGTTTATTCTGTACATGATGTTGTTGTTATTTGGAACGGCTGCGGATCAAAGCACAAAACTTGAGGTTCATTTATCCCACAATTCTGCTCTGCGCGTTGTGCTTGTCTGTTCATCGCTTCATCTGATACTGGTGACTTACGAGAGGGTCATTGCGATAAAATTTACCATGTACTACCCTATCTTTGTCACAGCCCAGAAACTCAAAGTAGCAGTGATTGCTTTTTGGATTTTTTCAATTTCTTCCGAGCTAGTAAAGCACGCAACAGAGGATCCTTTATTTTCAAACGTTACAACGGCCCTGGCTTTAATTTTCTGTGTTGTTTTTGTTTCAATTTCTTACTTGTTGTTGTACAAAGAAACCCTTAGACTCAGAAGGAAAATGAAAACTGAGCAAATACCACAAGAAGAAGTGGAACGAATTGCCAAGGAAAACAAAGCACTCAAGACAACTGTGCTCGTGGTCGGAACTGTTCTGTTATGTTTTATCCCCTTGTTGATGCATATTCTATTAGTACTTTTGTGGTCGGGTAACGTGGTATATCAAGCAAGTTTGTACAATGTCTTGACACCATTTTCTCGTACATTCAGCATGTTCAACTCCTTCCTCAATCCACTAATTTACTGTTTGCGACAAAGAGAAATTAGAAAATTTGTCTTAAGATTTCCTAAAGCAATACAAGTGGTGCAACCCGTTGAAAACTAGCACGATCGTATAACAGTGAGAATTTGATCTGATCAGAAGTAGGTCAAAATTTTTGACTGGTACGTTTCCTCTTTTACCACACCTGAACCGTGCAAGTTTTTGCACAGACCTGGGGCATAGTTACGCGCCTTTGATAAAAAAAAGCCAGTCCAGTGCTTAGACTGGCGAAACTTTGTACGGACTCGTTTAAACAGTACTGCAACAGAATTTGAACGGTTCCGTGTAAACGGAACAAAAAGCACAAGATGCAATTATTTCTTACCTTTTTAAACTACTGCCAGACGTAAGATTTGTCATCATGAGAAGGATTATTTCCAGTGTAGTGATCAATATAATCGCTTTCCTTCTCAGAGCGAAAGTTTTTTTGTTACGTATATGTTCAAGTTTGGCTTCGTCCGTTGAGCGCCAAACAAAATGAATATTTGACGTCATAATAAGAGATTTATGACGTGGCTCGCGCTCGCGCCACGCGCACTGCACAACATTCGACCTCGTTCCCAGGGTTCTCTCCCTGGGAACGAGGCTCCTGAACATTCTCCCAGTTGTCATGTTCAATCTCAAACATCGTACCCGAGAAAGGGCGTATCACTGAATAGTTGGCTAACGCAACGATATTTTTTTATTTACTTCAATGCACCAGTTTCTAAAACTTTACTTTTACACACTCGTGCGCATCAGCAGAAAAATCTTCGACAAATGAGTTCGATCAGTCCGCATGTCCCCCCTTTTTAGAAACAATGACTCTTCTACTAATCATTTCCAAGTCAGTGATAGTGGCTATATGTATCAAACTCTGAACAAAGGCGTAATAACCTTAGCTTCGATTTCCGATGTAAGCATTGAATCTAGATAAGTGAATATAAAGGAGTGCATGGACACTAGAAACGTAGGCTCAATTACCAGCCGCTGATCGGGAAATGAGCCCGCACTCCTGAACCCAATCGAACGAAATAATATACGACGATCTGATTTTTTTTTTTAAAAAAAAGGTGTTCAGGGCTACATTTTCATTTGTTGTCTATCTCAGGTTCTCCTTTAACTAGATTGCTGTTGCTTTTTTCTTCGTGCAACAGCAAAAGATCGCTAACAAGTGTAGATCAGCTGTCGCTAATTGAAGAACGTGAACATGTGTTACCCACTTGAGTTAACCAATCTTGTCGTGGGAAAAAGCTAAGGAGAAAACGCTTGTATATTGAAGTTTCTTAAACAGTGTAAGGCCATTCACTAAGAACCTCTCAAACATAATGGTAATTCTTTCACCCGAAAATGTTCTTCGAGGAAGGAAAACTGTTGTCTTCTTAATTAAATAACCAATCATGTTCAGATCCTTACATGGGTAATATACGTGTATTTAGCTATTGACTAAGTAAGTAAGAAACGGATATATTGGGCAAAATAGAAATGCTTGACCAAAAACGATCAGTTGATCGACCAAATGCAGACAAAGTTAAGAAACCTGGGAAAGTGTTGACGTTTTCGGTTTCAGCGACGAAAAGAACATAAGCATTTTTCTTCTCAACAGTAAACATGAATGTCACGAACTCTACTTCAGGCTTCAATTCAACCTTCATGTTTTCAAACAACACCTTGGACGAACCGGCTTCGCGTCTTAGCACACAAGCACAGCTAAGTTTGATCATCAACATCATCATCAACATCGTAACTTGTCCGTTCACTGTTCTTCTCAACGCTGTAGTGATAGTTGCAGTGAAAACAAGATCAACACTTCAGAGCTATGCCAATATTCTACTGGCTTGTTTAGCTGCGACCGATGCAGTGAGTGGTGTTCTGGCACAACCATCGTTTATTCTGTACATGATGTTGTTGTTACTCGGAGTGGGTGGTAAAAGCGCCGAAGACGCGGTTCATTTATTCCATAATTCTGTCTTACGCGCTGTGCTTGTCTGTTCATCGCTTCATCTGATATTGGTGACTTACGAGAGGGTAATTGCGATTAAATTTACCATGTACTACCCTGTCTGTGTCACAGAACAGAAACTCAAGATAGCAGTGACTGCTTTTTGGCTGCTTTCAATTTCTTCTGAGGTACTAAAACACGCAATAGAGGACTCTTTATATTCAAACGTTATAGCGGCCGTGGCTTTAATTTCCTGTGTTCTTTTTATCTCAATTTCTTACTCCTTGTTGCATCAAGAAACCCGCAGACACCAAAGGAAAATGAAAACTGAGCAAATACCACAAGAAGAAGTGGAACGGTTTGCCAAAGAGAACAAAGCACTCAAGACGACTGTGTTCGTAGTAGGAGCTGTTCTGTTATGTTTTATCCCCGTGTTTATACTACTTTTGTTAGTATTTTTGTGGTCGGGAAACGTTGTTGTACAAGCAAATTTGTTTCATGTGTTGACACCATTTGTTCGTACATTCAGTATGTTCAACTCTTTCCTCAATCCACTAATTTACTGTTTGCGACAAAGAGAAATGAGAAAATTTGTATTGAGATTTCCTAAAACAGTGCAAGTGGTGCAACCCGCTAACAACTAGCACGTAAAACTGAGAACCTAGTAAAAGCGAGTCTTAAACGGCAAAAACTTCAGGCTAATCCGCCGGCGTGTTGTTTTCACATTGACGTTCTTCACTACCAATGCAGCGTGAGTTGAAAATGATAAGCCATAAATTTAAAAGCACCCGGCGCAATCGTATGATAGCCGATTTATTTAGGGCGTTTCCGAGAATAAATCGGGCAGTCATAGAACTAGCACAAATGTGCCAACCTCACGGGATGTTCCTTATAAAAAGCAAAAGAACACATCCGACTGCACGCTATGACACCCAGCCGCAGCATGCTGCTCGTAGTTAGACGAGAGGAAGTATACACTAACATAATAGTCGAGCGCTGTAACTGTTAAACTGCAGATCAAATTATGAAATCAAGGAAACCAAGAGAGTGGAGTCATGATGACAGACTATTTCACAAAGCAGTGTGAAGAATTTAATTTCGATTCGACAAATATGATGTAACTTTTTTTTAATGAACATCAAAGTTACACGCAGAAGGCGACCATGTCACCAAACCGCTGTCGCCTGGAATTTTTCCCGCCATTTCCAATGTTTGCCAGTGGGCCTTGTTCACGGGCAGTCGCAGCTTTACTTTTTATTTCTTTTCTTAGTCATTCATAAAAATAGCATGTTTACGTCCGATGCTAGAACGTTGGGAGAATTTCCACGAAAAACTTCTTGTCTCTTGCTGGCAAATACAAAAGAAAGAATTTCGTAATGGCAGATCAAACAAAAAAGAAATTTTCCAAAAAACTGCCAGCGAGTTTAACAGTCTCCAAGGACGTGATGGTGACCGGCGAACAGTGCGAGAGACAGATTGCAAACGAGGCTTTATGGCTGGAAAGCCTTTCCATTTGACCCGGAATGTTTGTGGAATTTCCAACCGGAATTTTTGCCTAAATGGAAAGCGCCCCTGTTGTCCTATTGATTGTTTTATCTAAACTGATACCCCACAAAGCCCCCAAAACAGTTAAGGCTGATTTCACTAGCGACCGAGTCGGAGTCGTAAGCGGAGTCGTAGTGAGAGCGCCTATGACCTAGTAAAAATCACAAATCGGAGTCGTGAGCGGAGTCATAAGCGCCACGGAATCGGAGTCAGAAGAATGAGAACGTTTAAATTTGCTTCCAACTCCGCTTACGACTCCGTCGCTTACGTTCCGATTATTATCTAGTGAAAACCAGATTGTCGGAGTCGGAAGCAGAAGCGGAAGGATAAACCAATCACGATTGGTTTAGTTCTTCCGCTTTTGCTTGCGACACCGACGACCCAGTTTTCACCTGATCGTAAAGTTCTACGCTTCTGATTACGACTCCGACTCCGTGGCTCGTGAAAACCAGCGTTTAAGCGTAATTATTTCTTACCTTTGTCAATACAACTCCTGCCACATGTAAGATTTCTTAAGAGAGCGAAACATTTCCAGCGAGTAATCAATACAACCGCTTTCTTTCTCAAAGCAAACCGTTTCTTTTTTGTCACGGAGGATACGGTCAACACTTTCGTTGAGCGACAAAAAATTAATGTTTGACGTCATAATACGGCTTAAATGACGCGATTCGCGCCACGCGCGCTATAGAACATTGTTCCCAGTACGTCATTGTCCTTGTTTTCATGTTGCAGGTCAAACACCGGATACGAGAAAGAGCGTCATCATCATCATCATCATCATCATAATCACCATCAAATTCATCAAATAAAAAGCATTTTAATACTTTAAATTTAAAAATTTAAAAGTCTATTTGCATTCTCGTCTTTTGCTAGTGATTTCATCCCAGCACTGCTGAATATAAGAGAATAGATTTTCTATTTTACAGATTTAAAATTGAGAATTTAGACGGTAATGTGGTCTTTTTTAAGAGTCTTAACAACAACTTCAAGATCCTCCAATATAACATCAATGTCTTTTTTGGAGGTGTATCGTCCGACACTCAGCCGCAGAGCATTCATGGCAACATCATGGGGAATGCCGATCGCTGTTAGGATGGGAGATGGCCGTGAAACAGCATCAGAGTGACAAGCAGCGCCAACACTGGCTTGCAGCTTTTTGACAGCTGCTAAGATCTTCCGACCTTCCAGACCTCTTTCCAGAAAGGACACATTACACGTGTTGGGAATGCGTTCGCTTGTATCGAATTTTCCGTTGAATTGAATGCTGTCTTCAAACGTCTCTTTCAGCCTAGACTCAAGATAATCCCTCACCTTTGAAAAATTAAGAAGAAAAAAGAAAAGATTATCCTTCTAAGCAGTCACAACATTTGGGTTGTCGTGCGCTCAAACAAAACATCTTATTTATCAACCATTCTAGCAACCTACGTTTTCAAAACAAATTAATAAATCGACAACAATTTTCCATGGCCTGTACTTTTATCGACCATAGACATGACGTCAAAATGTTCAAAAACTCTTATCGAACATAGCTCTCAACCAATCAGCGTGCGAGAAATCGCTTAGTTATGGTCAAATACAATCTTAACATCTTTCATTTTCATGAGGCTTTGAGGTTTTGAAGTTTGGTGGTAACATTTTAATGGAAACAATTTTGTGATAGTCAATCATTCACGCCCAGAATCCCTCAGTCTTTGCTCATGCTTTTACTTTTACAGAAAATTTCACCACCCCTTGACCAATACCCACCAAGCTGAGCCTAAACATTATATCACTATATCTTCGTTTGCTGAAAGTCATGCGTGGTTATTAGTTTCTAACTTACGTAGCAGGGCAGCAGGCGCGTAGGAGTAAGATGTGAGCAAGAAAGAATGGGGCACGTGATGGAGAAATGCAACCTCTCTCCCAGTGTGTCCCCCTTGTGCGCCCCATTCTTTCTTGCCCCCATAATAATAATAATAATAATAATAATAATAATAATGATAATAATAATAATAAAACGTTTTTCATTGAGGGTAGAACTTAACATCTCTCGATAATCTACACATGGCCCTCAGAAAAATAAATTAAAAAACACAAAAATCAATAAAAAACTATGATTCACAGGTGAGAATTTAAAGATAAACTAAATAAGGAATTGCTAATGATTGTCCATTACAATTTACAAACTTCAATTCGCTTAAGTTTGTTTTCGAAAGACATCAAAGTAGAGCAGTCTATTAACTCCTCAGGAAGTCTGTTCCACAAGCTTGCAGCACTGAACACATAAGTAAGCAGCTCCTGACATATACGAGTGCTGTCCATTGTTTGTTTAATTCTCGGCAACTTCAAAGTGCCTGCTTTGCAGGCTAATTAGCATCTTACAAAAAGTGAGAAAAACCTATGAAGAATCCATCGTAAACAACTGATTAACACTACCATCGATCAAGCAGCTGGTGTCTCTGTGCTGGATCAGATAAGACATCTCACATTAATTTCGCCATCCTTATTCAGCCTGATGAGGTCAGCATTGCTGGCCTCTTCAACGTCAGGATAGAAAATGCTTTACTGAGTTGCTGTGAAGCATAACATTCACGTACCATTTTCATGTTTCCATGGTATTGATCCAAATTGTCAACCACCAACTGTGAGGCTTCTCCTAACCCAGCTATCATGCCTGTGTTTTCTGTTCCTGGTCTGAAATTTCTCTCTTGGCCTCCTCCATAAAATATTGGGTAAAGAGGTGTGACAGTCTCTGGATCATGCACAAACAGTGCCCCTAGAGATACACGAAATATAACATTGGTGTGAAATTTGGAACAAAAAGTGATGACCCGAAGTCCAGGACTTAAGCCAACCACACCCTGCCACACTCTGACAAAACAATGGAACCCACAGTCAACATCTGTGACAGAAAAATTCAATCAAATGTATATCAAAAATAGGAAATGCAGAGTGCCAGGTCTTTCTCCATGGGTGTTTGAGTGGGGAAGGGAGGCTACTTCCCTATAAAAGTAGCAGGGGTGATTGTTACCCCTATAAGTAAGTAAAATTTATGGTTTGGTACTGCTTAGGGTGCGATAATCTAAAAATCTAATCCAGAAGTTTCAACAATTTCCCATATAGGTGTCATTTTCAATCATACCAATTCGAGGTCCATAAAACTTGTGTCCAACAATTGTTAGGTAATCCACCCCTAGCTCCTCTACATCAACTTTAATTTTGCCTATGGCTTGAGCAGCATCTGTATGAACAAGAATCTTGGGGAGTTTTTGAGTCAGACGACTCTTGTTTTGGCTCCTGATGGTCTTTGAAATGTCCTCAATTGGCTACAACAACAAGCAAACAAAAGAACAAAATTCTCAAGTTATGATGAATAGCAAAGCTTTCCTTATTAGCAAACCGGTTATCAGGGTTTGCAACAGGTTGAAATCTTTAGCAGAAGAACATTGCATCAAATCTCTCCTGATATTTCTTAAGACTGTTACTGCTTTATCAAAAACAATCTGATTTTAAACAATATCTTCTTGATAGAGTGGAACCTCAATATAGCAAAGGGCCAATATGTTTTCTATATTAAAAGAGGTTTCATTATCCCCAGTTCCATATACTTTTCGATTACTGGGATGAAGAATGCCATTCGTTAGACTGAGGACTTTGTTGTAAGGAGGTTTGTTATATGGAAGTTCCCCTGCAGTATCATACAAAGCATGTGGACCCTTTGTATCTCCTATGTATCTCCTAAGGGCTGGCTGCAATACTTTTGTTGACACATGGACAAACCATCTTCAGCCTGAAAAGCTTTCAAGCTAGGAGAAGTGAATGGACCACCCAGCTAGCATATGTATTTTTATCCACCCTCCTCCCCAAAATAGAAAACTGTAAGATGATCACTTTAGGAATGTCACTCAGAAAAAAAATTTAGTAAGCCACAACAAGGGATGTAGCTAAGGAAAAGTTAAGCAGGCTTTGTTATTATTTAAGCCGGCTTTTTTACTCAACTGTTCCTTCAAAATTACCCAATGTCTTTGTTTTCCAGAGCAATTTTAGCCAGTGGTAAGATTCTTTTCAGCCAACGAAATTAGCTGACAGTCGGCTCTTAGCTACATCCCTGCACAGGATTTAAGAGCTAATTTCACGTAAATCACCTGGATCACTCCTGTTTCATTGTTGGCCATCATAACTGTAACTAAACACGTACTGGGTCTCACTTCCTGCAGTATCTCCTCTGCTGTAACAGCACCAGAGTCTGGTGAAGCAGGAACAAAAGTCACGTCAATCTTGCCTTGTTCTTTAAGTTTCAGGAGTGGAAGTTGGATTGAATCATGTTCCAGATTGGATGTAATGACATGTGGCTTGCAGTCTTGCTGATCATTAAAGCCATGGAAATATTCCAAAGCAGAGTGAATAACCATGTTATTTCCCTCAGTACCACCTGACAGGAATATGATGTCACCGCTTGACGCACCAATCATGGAAGCTATTGAGGTTCGGGCTTCTTTGATCACGTGACTTGCTTTCTTTCCCGCAGCATAGGAACTGCTGGGATTTCCCCAGGCATCTCGTAAAGCATCGTGGATGGCTGATAGCACCGATGGTTCCAGTGGAGTTGTAGCATTATAATCTAAATAAATTTTTTTCTCATCGGTCATGATATTTTTGAAGCTTGCATGAGACCAAGTTAAAACCCTAAGAAAAAAAGAACTTGAGAGAAAATTATGAAGATTTAACTCTATCCTAACTCGACTGTTTCGTAAACACGCACGTAAACAGGCGTATTTACAAGAAAACAATTTACAAAGCTTAAGAAACCACAAAACGAAAATGGGTTGCTCTTGAGTTATTACTCGACCCAGTCTCCGGTCTTAGAACTCAACACCAAACATCCCCCACCCTACCCTAGTGAAGTCAGTGTTTTCGTCATCAGGTAATTATCAGGAAGGAAGGAATGGCTGATCATGATGATGCAGTCCTTGTCGATTGTGAAGAAGTTCCCGATCTTTCGTACGAACCAAGACAAGTTACTCCTTCTCTTTCGCTCAAAGATGGACATGTAAATCCAGGGGGAAATTTTTCGTTGGCAGGAAACAGCGGAGAGATTTCAAGTCGTCAGGAGAACTCGGTCCCTGAACTTATAATCGCTGTGTTTGTTGTGCAGTTTGACACGCGAAGAGGTAAGCTTATTTCATAAAAGCCTAGATTTATCAATGTACCACCATACTACCTAAGGCTTTTTTGGTACTGAGTGGAACGTTTCGTTTTGTTCCCCTCGATACGCTCGATTTCTAACATATATGTATAATACAAAAAATATATATTTTCTTTCTTTCTTTTTTAATTTTTGACTGTATCATTTTTCTCAGGTATGAAGTTATAATTTCATTAACCTCACTTTGATAAATTGGATTGTACTGTTTAGTGTCAATATGCAATTTTATTCATGCTGTACTTAAATGTTAATATCCTTTTACTTTCCCTATTTGTTTTTGAGCATGGTGAGGTATGATAATGAGTTTGAAAAGAAAGAAAATGAAAGTTGAACCAAGGATAGTAACCATAACAATAGTAACTCTTCTTCCTGTTCCATCTTTTTGGTTTTACACTGGAACGTAATGTTTCTCTGTCTGAACATGTGTCCTCCATGACTTGGATCTTCCCAGTTTCTGTTACTTGTGTCCCTTACACATAACAAACCCAGAATAAGCATACCTTATTTACTCAATTAAGTGCCGCAGCACTCATGGTGTTTCTTTGAAAGTTGGACGCAACAAAGAATTGTTTGAACTATGGTATTGCTATTTGGTGTATTAAAGTAACAGAATTAAGGTCTTTTGATTTTCATTATAGCAGGGCCATGGTGCTAAACTCTTATAATAATTGTTTTAATACCAGATTGAAAACCTTTAAAGACAGCTTCAATCCCAAACATGCATATTTTAAGAACCAGGTGTGCCTTCTACAAACAGGAATGAGGTGTCAATTGCAATGCCAACCAACTGTTGGTGATAAAATAATGTATGTCTTGGATATCGTGGCAAGTAATGAATTGACTGTCAACCAGCTATTGTCTGACAGACTGTCCTACAATCAGTGACAAAATTATTTGAGACACTTTGCCATAAAGGGGTTCTCTAACATATTTAAAAAAAGGAAATTAAATAAAGCTTTCCCTCCCCCATCTCTTCCAAGCAATGTTGTGTCACCATTCGAGCTACTTGTAGAAAGCAACAAACACCTTAGCTTTGAATGGAGGGGGAGGGGTGTGGATTGTTTTGTTCTATGAAGTTGCCGCATTTGAGGACAAAATAATTAATGCATGCATGTTTGGAAATGGACCATCCATATATCAACCCACACTTGAATGACACTTGACTCACAGTCGACCAACACAGCTTGTACTCGACCAATACATCTGTTGAGTACTCTAGACAATATCTAGAGACTTATATGTTGGTCAACTTCCCTTATGAGACAGAAGATCCAGGAAATTTATGATCTATGGGATATCAGCTCCTTAACTCAGTGTGATGTGCTACTCTTTCAAGTAAATATAGAGTAAATTTGTTGCTGTCTATAATATGTTACTTTACAACTAAAATGTCATGTAGTAAAGTTTAAATCCCCCTTTTTAATTAGGAGCCCAACGTTTACTTTTATTGTTGTTTGTTAGGAAATGAAATTGAGTGGAAGTATCCAACATCTGTAAATTTGATAGGGGTTGAATTCAAGGCCCTTGCTAGTGGTTCTCATACAATCACAAAAGATTTTATGTAAGTATTGAGTAGATGTATAAAACTTACAATAATCATGTGGTTCTTACCTTAACAGCTGGTTTGTAGATGATAATAGTTTGTGTTGTGTAAGCAAGTACTTAAACCATCATTTGCCTTCTTATAACCTACAATAAAAGGTTCTATCAGCCCATCAGGTAGCCTGTGAATAGAGTTTGACTAATAGTCACGGGTCGCGGGTCACGGGTCGCGGGTCCAAAGTCGCAGTCGCGGGGCCAATGTCGCGGTCGCGGGTCCAATGTCGCGGTCGCGGGTCCAAAGTCGCGGTCGCGGGTCCAATGTCGCGGCAGGGGAAAATGATTTGGGGTTCGAGGTAACAGCTGAGTGAAAACGGCTGATATGAACACAATATAAAGGGAAAAACTCTTTTTTATGCACGATACTCCACGGTAGCCAATTTACAGGTTACGGATGTTAGAGTCAACAAAATAATGTCTCAAGAAAAGACCTAAAAGAAAAAGCTGGCCGATTTCTGTCTTCACCGCAAGTTTATTTTGTTTTCTTTCTATCGGGCCCAGTTATACTTATGCATAACAGTATCTGATAAAAAAGTTACCATAAGTTACCATTGCTTTTTTCTTGTCGATGAATTGCTCACAAATGCTTAGGGGTTCATTTACTGAAAAATATGCGATACACTTCATAGACTACAGATTATAAACGTTACAGGGGCACCCAACGAGAATATAGTTCAAAACCACATAAACATAGCATTGTTGAATGTACTTTAGTATTTAAACGTTAGATAAAGGCTTATTTTTATCCCCTAAAAATTTTTCATCTGTTCGGATTTCCTAGCTGAAAGTATAGTGATCCGAAAATTATAGGGATCAAAATATACCTTTTCGAAAATTTCAGCTAGAAAAAAGGCTCCCGAAAATTCTAGGTGACCTTTTTAGGGTAAAAATCCGTTAAAAATGGGCAATTATACGATTGTTTTGAAGTTCGAAAATCCTAGGAGAGGCAGGCAAGCAAGAAATTTTTCAGAAAATGATCCGAAAATTCTAGACCTCAAATCGTCTTCCGAACAGATAATTTTCCGAAAATTGTCGTTGGGTGTCCCTGACGTTACAACAGCTTAAAGCCTTTTTTTTAAAAAAGTGAACTCGGGCTCAAAAAGCTATGAGTTTGTCGGTAGAAGAAACGAGAACTCTTATATTTAACAAATGTTTTCGAAAACAAAACTGAAACAAAACTGAAAGAAAATGTGAATAGGCGCATGAAACTTCATTCAAGCGGTATTCAAGGCATGAATTTAATATGGAAACAAGTAATAATCCACAGAAAGGAGTCTGTTCCTCGAAGCAAGATTTTCGCTTAATGCTTTTCTTTTTACAACTAAGACGGCAACCCAGAGTGTTCAATATAACTTCTTGTTCTCTTCACCTAAATGACAACCAGGACCACCTGACAATAGGAAGCCATTCAATGTGCGTCTCAGTCAAATCTTGAAAACATGCATCGTAAATAACCAAGTGAGTAAGTAGGTAAGGAAATAATAACGCCCGATATCATGAAGCTGAAAAAGAAAGTAAACCAGACACTGAAAACGGTAAGTTATCAACTACACCAGAGCTAAGAAAAGACAGTAAATTAGGTAAGTAATTCCAGATTCCAGGTACTGGATTCAAGTCTTTGTCAGTAGAACCAAGAGACTATGATCTATTCTGTCTTGGTAGAACTTGGATTCCGGATTTCAATCGTTAGTGGAAACAAACTCCTCCTGTGGACAAGAGAGGATAAAGCTCGAGCTTTATCCCCTCTTGCTGTGGATTATTACTTGTTTCTATATTAAATTCATGCCTTGAATACCCACTTGAATGTACTTTACTGGCACTTTAAGCCCAACGTCTCTCCTCCTCTTTCCAGTTACTTGTGCAAAGAGTTTATTTTGGGAGTTTGCGGTTAGGAAGTTTTTCAACAAGCGTTTTCTTTATTTTTGCCGAAAACATTTGTTAAAATTGAAACAGTTCTCGTTTCTTCTACCGACAGACTCGTAGCTTTTCGCGCTCGAGTTAGCCTTTTTTAAAAAAGGTTTTAAGTTGTTCTAACGTTTATAATTTATAGTCTATGAAGTGTATCGCACATTTTTCAGTGAATGCACCCCTAAGAATTTGTGAGGAATTCATAGACAAGAAGAAAACAATGGTAACTCATGGTAACATTTTTTATCAGATACAGTACTGTTATGCATAAGTACATTGAAAGCTGAATTTATACATAACTGGGCCCGATAGAAAGAAAACAAAATGAACTTGCGGTGAACATAAAAGTCGGCCAGCTTTTTCTTTTACGTCTTTTCTTGAGACATTATTTTGTTGACTCTAACATCCGAAACCTGTAAATTGGCTACCGTAGAGTATCATGCGTAAAAACGATTTTTTTTTTCCCTTTAAATTTTTTTCATATCACTCGTTTTCACTCAGTTACCTCGAACCCCAAATCATTTTTCCCTGCCGCGACATTGGACCCGCGACCGCGACTTTGAACCCGCGACCGCGACATTGGACCCGCGACCGCGACTTTGGACCCGCGACCGCGACTTTGGACCCGCGACCGCGACTGTGGACCCGCGACCCGCGACCCGCGACTATTAGTCAAACTCCTGTGAATACAGCCATCTCTCCTTACTGCTCTCATCTAGGTATTTTTTGTGGTAGAGATGTCTGCAATTCGGCCCTAAAAGTTCCATACTGATAATGAAAATCAATGTTTACATACCTTGTTATAGGAAATTAACGCTGCATGAAATTAACGCGAATCGTTAAAATTCACGTTAATTTAAGTCGCGTTCATTTTGTTGAGCGTTAATTTCTGCGACGTTAATTAAGTGCAGCGTTAATTTCTGCTCTGTTAATTTCCAGTGTTTTAACCCCAATTTTGGAACCTGTCCAGACATTCTTGCCACCTAAAAAACACTAGCTACAAGCTTTCTCTCTTTCCATTTACCCTTTTTTCATCTTTCACAAAAGCTAAGGCGAAAGTTTACAATATTTCGCGTTCATCTTCATCATTGTCGCTGTCAGAAGTGATGTCAGTATCTTCTCCTTTGACCAGCTTTGTCTTAATCGCGTTAATTTCCTTTATTATGAAATTCTACCTCCTCTTTCGCGTTAATTTTCTTTATTTGAAAGTCTTTGTCCATTAAATTTGCGTTAATGGGTTATTCCAGAAAAAATCCACACCCCCCCGACGGATGGGGTCCTTTTTTAACCCCCCCTCTCACCTGGATTTCCTGAAGCACAAGACCCCCTCCCAACTGGATTTCCAAGGTGGAAGAGCCCCCCTCCCGCCTGGATTTCCGGGAAAAAATAAAAGGCTTAAATTTAATTTATTTTTAATGGAAAATACACGCAAACACGTCTAAATGTTTTTGTTTTAATTGCTAAAGCTTCAGCTTATATTAAACTAAGAATTCTATCGCGTGGAACTAAAAACGAAAGGAGAAAAAAACAAAAATGCGAACGACACCTGAACAGTGTTTACATAATTTCTTAGCTTATAAAAATCACTCTTCGCTCTTGGCGCACGGGCTCTGGGCACAGTAGAAATGTGTCAGGCGTTTGACGCTCCTCGTGACAACAACGTTGTGACGAGTTCCTTCAGGCCCGTTCTTTAGTATCTTGTTCGCGTTTTCTGCGATAAAAGGACCTGTAAAGCAACTTAGATTATCATTTATGTCAGGTGAGAAATATATGAACAAAACATTTTGACTATTTTCAGGGTCTGAAAGCGCTTAAGTGTCATCGAACTAAACGTTTGATTTGTATCAACTATCGGTCGAAATGACCCCTGCAGAAGACTTTTTTAAGGTCAACCCCCCCTCCCGCCTGGATTTCCGGAGTATTCGACCCCCCTCCCGCGAGAATTTCCAGAATCCCATCCGTCGGGGGGGTGTGGATTTTTTCTGGAACAACCCAATTTAAGTCGCGTTAATTTCCAATACCTTAATTTAGTGGCGCGTTAATTTCCTATAATAAGGTAATCTAGCGAGACAGCTGCTGTACAGTCAGACCTCTGTTAACCCTTTAGGTCCCAAGAGTGACCAACATCAATTTTCTCCTAACAACATCAGCAGATCATCAAGAGTAAAGGTTATGAGAATTACTAAATTGATTACCAAAGGGAGAATGCTTTGATCCTAAACCAAATTCTCTCAACTATTCGTAAAAGAAATGTATGGAGATCAGTCTGGAGAATTTGTCTGTGGATCTTAGGGCTTATTAAGCAGCACCCTTGGGGTACTAGTAAGTGCCCACTAAGTAACGGAGGTTGGTCACTCAATAGAGGTTCGTCATAAATTAACTTAATCTTCAGCAGAAACAATCATCACTTTATTTTGAAACAAACATGTACATGACGGGAGCAGCATTACTGGTTCACAGTCAGTCGTCTCCTATCTTGCACTGTATTTTCCTTTATCATATAATAAATCTTAAAATAAAGCTCGACTAAAAGTATCAAGCGCTTTTTTGATGGCTGCTTTTATAGAGCTTAAAACAATGGAAGAACTCTTCTTGGGATGGCCGAAAGGTAGCTGCGGCCGCTTAGTAGGGGTGGCCACTTGATACAAGTTTAATTTCACATTTTTTTCTACAATTATTTCGGGACATTGATTACAGGCCACTTACTAGTCAAGAGGGTGGCTGCTTAATGGAGGTTGAACTGTATTTGCCGCCTATTCATCAAGATTTTTTTATCTTTGTTTACTGAACATTTCTTCTATTCTTTGAAAGTAAGTTCTTTATTTCTTTCATTAGATATTTCAAAACAAAAGATGGACTTTATGGACTGAGCTGTTTTGAGAGAATAGCTGTTGATAATGTGGCTGAGAGAGGGGCCCGGATGAAATCAGTTGGTATTTTGTGTGCGAAATACACTTCATTACATGAACACATGCCATTCCTTGAAGAGGAAGTAAGGTACGCAATATCAATCATTAACCCTTTAATCCTTTTAATATATATTGTGACCTTATATTTCTCCATACTCTTTTTTTACACTTCTGATGATAATAATAAGGAGAATATATATTTTTTAAAACGAAGACTTTTTTCACCTGGTGACCTTTATAAATAGTTAGTTAAGCTCTTCTAACCAGGGGAGGGGGGGTACAGCAAAGTTTTATGCAGGGAGGCTTCACCCAGTGGTCCAACGCTTTACCCTTGACAGAAACGGTACCCCTTTCATATACCATCTATTGACAAATGGTACTCCTTCCACATATGTACCTATAGTTGCAGCCCTTTTAACTGCTGAAAATGCATCGTCTTTAAAGTATCAATGAATAAATCACAAAACCAGGAGGTTTTCTTGACTTTTTCATAACCACAAAATACATCTGTGAGTGCTTTCAGGCCTTTAAGACCGAAATGACAGATTTTGCTACCCTTTCATATATTTCAACTAGTGAAACCCGTACCCTTTCACATACCTGAAGCCCCAAAAAGGTACCTCTTTCAGGCACAGCTTCCCTGTATAAGACCATCATAAGGAGAACCCCCGAGGTCCTGTAAGCCAACTCTGTATCCAGGGCTTTCAAGCAGGTTTATATTTAAATTTTAACATATTTATCCTTTCTGTTTTAACATCTAGGAGGCAGTTAGAAAATCCTGGCCATTATGATGATTTAGAAAACTATTATCACAGCTATAAAAACTGTGTTCTCAGAAACAATTACATTCCTTCTCCAACTGATGAGAAGTTACCAGGGCTGGATGAAATACCAGTGTTAAAGGTACTGACTTACTTGCACCAATTCGTTTGTAATTCTGTTTATAACATTTTTAGAACAAGTGAGAGAAATAAGTGTCAAAATAGTTGACTTGGAAATTCATTAGATTTTGAGAATCTACCGCATACTGCTCCGATAAACTCTGTGCTTACCGGTATACATCTTTGTGAGGGGATTTTAAGAGGGCTCATAAACAGCGGGGCTTATATCTAAGGGGGCTTATACATGTAACTGGAAAAAAAAGGGCTTTGAAACAACTTTTGCAGTGCTAATTAGAATAAATTTTGTTATTCCTGGTTTTTAATTGGGCTTCCAAACATCATAATAAATCAAATTAATTTCAAAAAAGCTAGAGGGTGGCTCATATGGTGAGAGGGGTGGGGGAGGGCTTATGATCAGATGGGGGAGGCTTATAAGCAGGGAGTCTTATATTTTGTTTAAGCAGTAGTTCACAATATTCTTTCGTACATGGTGATATTTATCACAGGAAAATCTCTCTTGGCTTTGACAACAAGAATATTCTAAGAGTATTTTTTTTCCCAAAGTCCTATTGACCAGCTTTAATACTTTTGGTTATGGGAGTTACAAATAATAATTATTGTTGTTCTGTCTCGTAGATCACTCATCCAGCTGGATGTTTCACTCAGTTTATCAAGTTCTTTGGAGAACAAATCTTTGTTCTTTGGAAATTTGTCCTGTTACAAAAAAGAATTCTCTTCTTCTCTCCCCCACCTGTGGGCGTGGCTTGTTATAGAGGTAAGCAACTTACCAAAAAGGTCAAAATGACCCCTTTTTATGTTTAAAAAGTGGCTTGGCCGAGTATCATTTTTGCACAAATTTAATAACGTTTTCTCCAGCAGGCAAAAAAATTAAAAACAAACCGTGCTGTCCCAAATGTTAATTTATACAAATACCAAATCACAAATTTAACCATGCAGATGTGCTTCTTAAGAGGTTTAATTTGAAAAGATAGCATGGGTAGCTGGCAGTTTTGTTGGAGGGTGAGAGCACTAGCAAGCAACAAAGCTATGAACAGCAGTGGCTAAGCCTTCCCATTCTGTCCTGCACTTTTAGCTTGCTTGCGCTCCAAGTGCTGCCGCTCTCCAAATTTTTTGGGCTTTGTTGCACATTCACACTCCCCTCCCCAACAAAAACCTGCTACCATTAAAATATTCAAAACATGTCTCTGTAAATCCTAATGGTGGCAAAAGAAAATCACAGAAACAATCAAAATCAAAATTTCTTTCTGTAAAATCCTAACAAATAAATAGCATCATGCAAGCGTTCTGCTAAAGAGGTTTCATTTGAATGACAACATCACAGGATTTCCTCCACGGATCTCAGTTAGACTGACGAAATTAATAACCTTGTATTGTATAGGGGTGAAAGAATTAAAATTAGCTGTTTCATGGTTCCCAAAAATTAGGTGTCCATAAGAAGTATGGAGGAATATCATGTTCTATTTTTGTTGCAGTGTACTGTGCTTGTTTGTTGGCAAGTCATGGAATTCCGTTTGGCTTTGAAACTGGTAGCAATCCCCTCTTTTTCACAAACGTTTGTGATTTAAGTGCATTGAAAGAAGAACACAAGTATGTTGCATGTAAGTTGGATGATTTTGTCTTAAATAAATAAGATTAATTATAATAATTTTCTTCAGAAGCCAAGAGAGTAGTACACTTCAATCTATCACACCGTCTTTTCCTCTTTGTGTTTGTTTTTGTTACCACACAAAGCCACAGACGTTCCAAGAAAGGCTTTTCCCTTCACTGTAAGAAAATGAAGCAGAAGTGCACCAAAACAAAAATGTGAGGTTGTGTGTTGTTGACAGCTTAATCATCACTCAAGTTGTCAATTGAATTACCAAAATTTAAACAGCCGCCTTGATATTCAAACTTAGATGTGTTGTTCTTTATGCACAAGGTACAACAGAGAAGATATTTGAGAGCAAATTGGAAGTGTATGATGTCTATGTTGATAATCAGAACATCAAATGTAAGCAACATTTGAGTTGGATTGCTCATTTTAATAATGCTGATAGAGATCGACTACATCAACTGGACTCTTTCAGGTAAGTTGGAAACTCTGAATCATGTGTTTGTTTCGTTTTTTGTAAGATTTATTTTAAGCTTAGTCATGGAGTGAGAAAGGTGTGTTCATCTTGTCAAGGTTGTGACAGATCTGAGTTCTGATGGGATTCACACAGCTTTGATCTTCAGTCGAATACACCCAAGCTTGAAATAAGTTTGTTCTGGTTTAGGGTGTAAAGTGCCCTACTCCATAGTTCCTTGGAGATTGTGGATTCCAAAAATCTCTTGTACTCTGGCAGATGATGGGGTGGCAGAGAAGTAACAAGATGAGGCACTGATAATTCAGGATTCCCATACTGCCCTGAAATTTTCAGATTTTCTTTTTATCAAAGAAGTCAAGTTTTACAAACAGAAAGTGTAAATTGATGATTTCCTACCTCAATAGCAACTGTTCCGTGACTTTTCCGAAAAATGAAAAAGACTTTATTTTTTCTCAGCGCCTCTAGCAGAAAAAAATTTGTGAAGCAAGAAGCTCTTTCGAAAAAAAAAAACATGGAAATCATATTTGAAATAACTCTTTCACCCGGTGAAAGTGAATCCAAGTCAGTCTTGGATTCTGGATTCCACGCCGTGGATTCCGGATTCCAGGTACTGGATTCCACTCTCTGTCAGTGGAACTTGGATTCTTGGTTCCAATATTGACTGGGATTCCCGATTCTTTGAACTGTATTGCGGATTCCAAAGCCCAGAATTCCGGATTCCTCAAACACAATTTTCACGGATTCCGGAATCCGTATTCCCTTACGCTATGCGAAGTCTTTTTGTAGCTAAGGATATTTCTCCTCATGATACTTTTCAGCCATATGAATTGTCCGCAGATCAGATCACTGTGCTTGCTTTTTGAAGCACCATTTGAGTTTTGATGGTGAAAAGTTTATTTTATTGTTGTTTTTCGTTTAAAGGCAAGAGCAGCTATACACAGGTGGCGACGTTTGTGATGATGAGAAGATGTACACAAAGTGAGTGACAATCTACTTGTTAAAACAAAACGTATACTTGTAAAAGACGCTAGGATACTTCACGAGGATATTTAATATATTATAGTGCAAGCCTGCGATCTCAAGTCTGCTATGTCCGAACACGCTAAGGACGTAGGCTACTCCATCGACTGGGCTAGTGTAAAGATTATTGGCCAGGAAAACCACCTTCTTTCACGCAAGATACGCGAATCCATAAACATTCATACTCGGCGACCGGAAATGAACCGTGATGAGGAAGGGATACAACCTTCCCCCAATTTATAGAACAATTTTGCAGCCTCATCAAAACGAGGCTGCGAATAAGAGCAAACGTCATCACTGATGAAGGGATCCGGATGGGTTCCAAAAGCTCTGCTAAACTATCAACAAATTGCTGGTGTTGAGGAATATTTTTTTATAAAATGTTGTCCCAACAGCAGAATCTCCACTCTGTCATTATATTGCTGTATTAGGTCAATTCTGTGCTAAAGTCATTGCTTAGTGTCTTTTCCTTTACACAAAATGCTCTTGTAGAGTTATAAAGAAGATATCAAACAAGATCCATCAGAAGCACTAACCATATTAACATTTGTGGTGATTTTTGCAGTCACAGCATTAAAACTTGAAATAGTTGGCCCAATGTTTTCAATTTTCAATCCATGTCCATCCTTGCCATCCGTAGAAACAAACGACAAGAAATAGTTTCAGTGCCTAGATATAGTCTTAAATAACAAAACTGGACCATTATTTTTGGAATTCAATTGATGCGAACACACACACGTTTTAGATTTTTAAAAGATAGCAAATAGCCTGACATAGCCCCTCTATTAGTTTATTCACCATTTATTAGACGTGGTACACATTCAGTTTCGGATCCAGTCCTTGAGATTAGGGAGGGGCCCAGTCATACAGACCCTGAGATAACGGGGAGGGGGAGGGGCGGTCCCCCCGGCCCCCCTGGATCCGCCACTGATCATTAATTCTTGGTGACATCGCTTTGTCTGTCTTTTTTTTCAGATTTTTTGTCAATTTAAACAACAAGCTTTTCCAGACACTTTTCGAAGTAGCTTCTACTGAAGACAGAACTTTAACACCGGAGCACATCCGGAGTATAGGACTTGATTCAAAGGCCGATCTGCATTTCTTGTCTGACTTGGTAGATCTTTACGGAATTGACGTTCACATTCCAGAACCGAAATGTTGTCCATTTTACGTTTAAGTCAGTGGTCTCTACGCCTGACTGAGCTTGTGCTTTATAACAGCGCCTTCAACTCAACTTCAACCATCCGGCCCAGGGCGGATAAAGGTTGGGCGGTGAAACGAGCGCGTCCGAGCAAAAAGGTGTGATGCAGTGGACTGGGACTCTGCTTAGAAATGTCGCTTGTTTTCGACTTCGGTCAGGGCTTGCGATCTGGTTTGTACCTTAGACACTGCCGCTGTCACTAAATTATGGCGGCTTGATTTGTTTTCTTGCACTTCTTCCTTGTTCTTTTGTGCTGGTACGCTGTCTCCGAGAGGCAAATGTTGCTATTTTTTGCGGGAGGTTTAGTTGGAGTAGACAAACATCTCTTTCAAAGGCTTTAAAATTCCTTTATTACTTCCATGACTCTACCACTTACTTATATTTTCATTCTGCTACTCGCCAATGTCGATGTTATTCCAAAACAAAAACAACTAAGTACTGTCTAAAACACGAAGGAAAATCATGCCATCCATGGCAAAACTAAAAGACAGCAGATGGTGTTTCATAACTAGATGACGTGTGTTTTATAAATGCGTGCAGCTCGTGCAAGGTAAAATTATGCTAATTTCAATCACCATCATCCTTCTTTTTAATTTTGAAAAAAACATCTCATACGTCTTTCTGTTTCTTCGAAACTTCAAAATTAGTTTCCCCTCAGTTTTTATTGTTTACCTTGTTTTGTTTTAGAGAGAAAAACGGAGAAAAAACCTTACAACTAACCTCAACAAATTTTGTTTATATGCGGTTGCCGGATTTGCAACGCGTTGCGCGAATCGCCATGGCGCGTTACACCCGAGAAGCAAAGTTTGAAGAAGTACAACGCCACTATATCAATATATATCAATCTAATTTTTCGTTTTGTTATATAAAATTTATCCCCTTTTAACATATGTAAAAATTGAGGTTAAGAAGTGTTAAGCTTTTGAGAACGAAACGGCGAAAGACGATTAGGTGATATTTAGTGGAAGGAGGAGGAATTCAACACTTTCAAATTAAACTCAAATTTTGGCATTATACGACCAACAGGTTTGACTTATAGGCATACAGACACAAAGATATGAAACTGCTTATTGATACTGTTATGAAACGAATTTATCTATTTAACATTGTAGCCTGAAATTACAGAAAGAAAATAGGATTTCCGGTTTGCAAAAAGGAAAATTTCGCCGGCCTTCAAGCGCACCGGAAGCGCGGAAAGAGCGCTCGTGCCAGTCCTACTCCGCATCACACATTAAATGAAGAGCGGAGCGCTCGTTTCACCGCCCAACATTTATCCGCCCTGATCCGGCCTCTATCAGAGGGCTCTCATTCTCGAACCCAGTGCTTACGCTTCAGACTTCGCGCGATCATGCGCAGAAGAGCTCTGGGGTCGAGATTGCAGAGCTCTTAATTTCAGGGAACTACTAAGGGCATGGGACTGAGTGTAATAAAGAAGAGCTTTTGGCGAAAAATTGAAATGAATCACCGAACGCAAGTGGCGACGTTACTTCTTCAACTGCGCAGCAGTCGGCCTTCAACGAGAGGAAACTATATTTAATAACATATTTGGTGCTTTTTTCGTGAAGACCCAGAAGGAAGAGGATCAAATCCTTGACTGTCGCCATGCTCGTCCAATCATGAGTGAAACCAGAAACTACCAAACCAATCGTGGCTTGCCCTCCTTCTCCCGCGCTTTTTTGACATCTGATTGGTTCACCGTATTTTCACCGGCCGGAGAATAAATTAGTTTGCTTTTGGATTTACCTCTCCGATGAAAAAGTCAAGCCAATACGCAAGCTCTTCAATTGGATATCGCGGGAAGCGGAAGGTTGAGGCACAAATGTGTGGCTCCACGAGAAAGATAAATGGTACTTGAGCCTTTGAGGGTGCAAAGACTCCAAAGAAAATGTCAGACTCCAAGAAAATGTTTGAAATAGCGAGCGAGATTGTCACTGGTGGATAAAATACGCGCGAGATTTTTTACCCAGTCCCCAAAGTGTAGCATTGCAGTAGAAGTAAAAATGTACGAAGATCGTTTCTCATTTGTAACATAAGTTGAATTTACATAGCGTTGCATGCCTTGAGAAAGTCACTTTCCCTGTGATAAGTAACGACGTTAAAAGACTAGTAATCAAGCCTTTGAAAGCAACATCGACAATTTTAGTGGCAAGAACGTGTAAAAGTAATAAGCAAAACACAAACACTACACGTGCACCACACTTTTTGGTACATCTCTTTGCTGCCACTTCACAACAACCACGTGAAATGTGATAGCGGATTGTACTTTCTTTGGTTCATAAAATTTAGCTCCAGAAAAAAAGAAATTCGCCTACGTTTGATAAACTGAGCGAGTTGGAATACGACATACCAGTGACGGATTCAGACCTCCAAGTAAGTCGAAGGCCTGCTCATCCAGTCCCAGTCAACCAGAGGGGGGCCGGGCATTATTGCCCCTGCACGCCTGAACTTTGGAGGGGAGGTCCGGGGCCCCGGACCCCTCCTTTTGATCCGCCACTGCATAGGGTGGAATTTAATGGGAAGCGAATTCACTTTATTGATGACATTTATCGCCGTCGTTGTTGCTTAACGAAAAGTAAAACAATATTTGTGAACATTACAAATGTCGTAAGTGTATTAAACAAAGAGGATGACAAAAAAGTATGTTAAGAGTTGTTCTATGTTACAGTTAAGGTAAATTAGAAAAAACAAAAAGAAGAAAAGGAGCATTGATGGAAGAGTCGAGAAGAGTGCGTTTACTGGAATGCCTCTTCGTACGGTCGTGATTTTGCAAGGGTTTGGGTAAGGATGACAAAAATATAACCAAGAAAAACAAAACTCCTGTAAATGAACTGACTGTTTCCACCTTCTTGTGGACGATTTTCCGGCTGTCTGGTGCTTCTTTCCCCAACTTGTACTATTTGCTTTCACTGGCGGATTTAGGGGAGGAGACCGAAGGGCATGTGCGCCAACCATTTTTTAGGCCAAACTAAAGCACGCAGTGCTGAGGAATATTATATTTTTGTACTGGAGCACCCTCTTATCTTACGCTCCCTCACCTCAAATTAAGCTTGCTTGAAGATCTGAATTCGTCATTGGTTTCGGTTTCAGCATTTCGCAAAATGAAAACTTATTCTTTTGTCTTCGGCGTAATTAAGAGCACAGCATTTACTCAACAAATCCCTGCAATCGCTTAAACTACTTATTCGCGTTACCTATTTTCCTGTGCATACAGATGCCTGCTATTTTCATGGCCTCACAAGGAAAGAAGGAGAACGGGAGACTTCCAAATGGAAAAAAAAACTGAGGGAGAATCTAACTTGAAATTATGGCAACGCAGAAAGCATAGCCTGTGAAAAGACTCCCGGCGGGGCGGGACGGGACGGGGCGGGGCGGGGCGGAGCGAGGAAACGGGACTTCCCCGTTCCCTTCCCCTCGCCTCTCCGTCTCCTCGCGCCTTATAGCAACGTCGTTCCCAGGTTCTCTTTCCTACCCGTCGGGATGGAGATAACCCTGGGAACGAGGTTGGCTTTATAGCTTTTTCTTCGTCCTAGTATACCCCACACTGGGACCTTTTCACAGGATTAGGATGCTAGAAACAAGATAGCATGCGAAAACATCCGTTTCTCCTCGCTCTCCGCCGCTGGGGACGTTTAGCGAGGAGAAACGTATTAACGGATGTTTTCGCAGGCTAGAAACAAGAATATGTATGTCTCTTGTGTTTCATTTAGCTCTTTGGTAACCAAATATGAATATTCATTTCCTCATGATTGATTTTGTTGTACTCTGCCACCCGCAAGAAACCACCCGAAATCGTTGTTATAGCAACTGTACCGGAGTTCGGAACTATTTCAAGTAAAGTTATAAAATATTAATATATATTTCGACTGCTCAGTCATTGAATACTTAACCGACGATCGCTTTTTCTTGATGAAAATAGCTAGTGAGAGTATTTGCCGAAAGAGAGAGATGGTAGTGTCTTGAGCTATTCTCAGGAAAGCCGTTTCCCTGAGAAATGGTAGCTGCACGCCAGTCCGAGAACGTGTGTCGACGAATCAACAAGAATCATGGCGTACACCGCTCTTTTACTGACTTTTGGTCTAGTCGTGGTTGAATTTAAGTTTTGTTCGTGCAGGGTCTGTGAAGCGGATAGAAATACAAACGGCTGCAGCACGCCGATGGGAATGAACGCCCCCTTTAAAAGAGAGTTTACACCGGCTTGTGATAAACACGACATTTGCTACGGTTGTGTAAGTACGTGTTTTGTGATTCTCTGGTGTTGCGTGTACTGCGTGTGCGTGAGAGTGCGTGTTAGGGTGATTGAGCGTTCTTCATATGCCCAAATCAAGTTTAGCACGTCGAATGTTTGACCACAAATTTTGTTGTTAGTGATTGAAATTGAATCTCACTTATAGGATTCAACTTAAGTAATAATGTTTTCCAATTATCATTAGCCAGCCTCCTTACTATACTGACTTGGTTTCCTAAGCATCTCTTATTAGATCCCTCAAAATTCTAAGAATGAGAGGTCGATTAGCGTACTTTAAATTGTACTCTTTTGATTGCTTTCGCTGGTATACTTTCCGAAGAATGATGCAAAATTGGACTCACATTCGAAAAAGTCGAAAAACAGAGCAATTTCTCATAGCGCCGCGACTGCGGCCATATTGATGCTTCAATAACAGTGAAACGGCGGCAAGCCAATTCTGTGTGAGTTTAACTCTTTTCTTTTGTAAACGATTTCTTTTTTACCAATCAAGTCCCATTATGGCTCTCGTTCCAATGTAAAATTTGCATAGATGCTGGCTACGTGAGTGAAAACGCTCTCGATCTATAAGTGAATTGTTGCAAAACTACCCGGGTAAAAGAAATAGGTTTTTTGGATTGCTTCCTGGAATAAGAACAAGTTACGATAGAATGAATACATTTGCTCTTCCAATACAAATATACCGCTTCTTAAAGAAGCTACACGAGCAGTGGCCTTTGCTTGCACTGAACCCTAACTAGATTTAGGTTATCTTATAAGAAGGATTCGCCTGATTCTTAGAGAACTAGGGCAGGCCCCTGACTTTCAAGCTTTTCATTCTTAGCAACAGGACAGTTGCTTACCTTAAAGTTAACTTTAGGTGTTTATTATAATTTTTTTCAGGGTCATCATTATAATTGGACACGGAAAGAATGCGACAAGTCATTGTTAAACGATATGCTAAGAGCTTGCAATGGGCGTATTAGAAAACGACGCGGTATTACTGATGTTGTACTGGACATTTGGTATTTTTTCCAAGGACTAAGCAAGGAAAAGAGAAGATGCAAAATAGCCGCAGACATGTATTACAAAATTGTACGCGCCTTTGGAGGCTCGCACTTTGAAAAAAGAGACCATAGCTACTGCAAAAGTACGTGCGCAGATAAACACGGAAGTCCCTATGAAGATCTTTATTGAGCCTGAATTTTGATTTTAGCGAAGAGTGACTGAAACAAACTGTTCCGCATAAACCAGATCGACTATTTCAAAAGTCGCGTCTTCTGACATAGGTTCAGAATACTAAAGAGAGTTTGCCGTTATCTTGACGTTCAATGTTCAACTGACTTGGCAGTTGCTTTGTCGTTTAAGAATAGAGCAGAATCTGGTGTAAGGTGTAGAGAGCTCGGCTAAGTATGGCTTATAGTTACTCGTGTGCAGTGTAGAGAGCTCGGTTAAGTAGCTTATAGTTACTTATAAGAGGGACTTCAGCAGAACTCGACTTGTTCAAGTGAATTATTCAAAGAGAAAAAGACTTCAAATGAAGCTGGGGAACGATTTAATATCACCAATTGTTATCAGATCGTAAGTGTCCAAAATGGCCTTTCTTTTTGGAGAAATGAAGATTAATAACAAACCTCTGAGTAAAATATTTGGCATTTTAATTTGTTCTGTATCGTGTACTTTTCTTGAGCTTCTCACTTATAGTTTAGTCCCAGAGAGCCGTAGATTATATAGAGTATTTTACTGCTGTACCATAACGAAATTGTCTTTGAGAAATGGCACACAGTGACTCTGTAAATCAGAAAGAACAGTTTTAGCCCTAAAAATGGGGCCGTGTCGGCGAGTAAAATACAGTATATTTGGCTCCCTTTATCAGGGCCAATACAGTCCAATTACCTAGGGTTGATTCGCACCCACTGGCCGTGAAATGAGTCTGAGCGTGGGCTGGAATAGGCTTCTTCGAAATGGGGCTGTCTTGGCTTTAATCATCGTGCTCAAATGGTTCCAGGAAAGGCTAAATCAGACTGTGGCCTGCATGGCTAAATACGCACTTTGGGGCTGAAACAGATCTTTTTAATTTTCAGTGTAGCTGTACCAATTTTGGAGTGCTGGAAGCTAAAGAGTTTAAGTATTTTGACCCTTAAGTTAAAACTGCTTGAACTTTTATCCTCCCAGAAAATTCTTTACAATTAATTGTACTGCTCATCAAATTATTCTGATGGATCTCTCTTAAAACTCTAGCTATTCTACCCGTCTTCCCGAGGCTTTCATTTTTGTTCCGCAGTAATAAAACCGCATATTAAAGCGCTCAGTTTGTAACGCACACGAAAAAAACGCGGGGAGATTAGGAGAAATTAATTATTTTGATGGAAACAAAACAACTCGGTATATAATTACGGGTGGGGTTGGTCGCTGATGGAAAATTTAGTCCAAGCCACTACTCAGATTCGGTCCTTAAGGTTTCGATCTTCCTTGAGTTACTAGTGAGCTAAGCTTTGCTGAAAATAAAACGTTCGTTTTTCCTAGCAATGATTGCCGGATCATACACGGATGCCCTGTACTACAGGGGCACCCAACGGCAATTTTCGGGAAAATATCTGTTCGGAAGACGATTTGAGATCTAGAGTTTTCGGAGCATTTGTTGTCAAATTTCTTGCTTGTCTGCCTCTCCTAGGATTTTCGAACATCGACAAAATGGTATAATTACCCATTTTTAACGGATTTTGACCCTGAAAAAGGCCACCTAGAATTTTCGGGAGCCTTTTCCTGGCTGAAATTTTCGAGAAGATAAGTTTTTATTCCTATAATTTTCGGATCACTAGACTCTCAGCTAGGAAATCCGAACAGATGAAAAGTTTTTAGGGGATAAAAATATGCCTATATTCACCGTTTGAATACTAAAATACGTTCAACAATGCTATGTTAAGTGGTTTTGAACTATATCATCGTTGGGTGCCCCTGGTACGATTCTGAAAAGATAATATTCAAGCAAAGCAATACTACCAGTATTTCACCGTTTTTTGGCCCTGATTGTCTGTTAACTGAAGATGTTGATCAATCGAAATGAACAATTTTTGGTCGTTTGTTGTTTTGCGAAAGCGGCCAATAAAGTTGCGACCTTGTCAAACAGACATATTATCCATAGCCACCAGCGTTGATTTACTTAACAAAGGAGCTATTTTGACATTTTATTAAATCGACTAAATTATAGTGTGCATATATGCTTGTGTAGTCTTGTTCTTTCATTCATTGGTGGAGTGAATTTAAGAACATTTTAAAATAATTCAAGAAAATGGTAAGTCATCTTGGTGTTTTTTTATTTTTAAGCTGAAATGAAAATTTTTTCTGTTAAAAAGGTACATTCTGCGCTAAGGGAAGTGTATGAAACCTGAACATAAAGACACAGTTTCACAGAGTGCAGAATATAAAGATTCTTTTTCTTGACTTCGCAGTTTAAAATCCTCTGAGCAAGGTTATATATATCTTGTGTAAATTTAATCGAAGTAGTCCAAGAAGAGAAAAAGGTCGAAATATTCAATTTTCACGCTGCTTGCTACTTGGTGTTTAAGTCAGTTTTCGGAGCGTAAGTTTGTGTAAGGTTAGAACTGACAGGAAAAAAACGAATTTATGCAAAGAGTCAAATCTTAAAATTAAGACGATCGTTAACAAGAAGAGACAATTTTCTCTCTCTGACAGTTTGTGGACTTGAAGTAAAAGACGTGTCTTTTTTTCCTAAAACCTAAGGGTATATATATTGATTAACAGGCAGGAACTGCATTAAAATGGCTGAAAAGAAATAAATTTGCCATGTATTTATGTTTATATTTGAGTATAAGATAACAATTACTTTAGAAAGAAAAATTTGCATGAAAATTTCCGGGTTCCAAGGAGTTCCGTTTTTTGATCGTGAGCATCTGGATCGTGAGGAATTGGTACGGAGCTTCCCACTACCCTTTGCGCGGAAGAATAAAATGGCGAACGTTCCAGGTTGTTGTTGTGTGGGAGAACGTCAACAAAAATCAAGCTTGAGACAGTGAGAAAAATTCTAGAACTCAGCTGAAAAATGCCGAGTGAAGACGGGTCTGATACTGAAGAACAACAGGGAGCAACTTGGGAGCACCAGTCTTTAGCACAGGTAGAATATCAATAACAAAACCATGCATGTTGGGGATGAAACTTTTGACAGCTCTGACGAACGACTGGGGTAGAAAAATATTCAGCCAGGGCAACGATTGTTTGGCGAAACAAACTGTCAAGATGTCCGCAGCATCTTAAGAATTAAAAGCATTAGGTTAATGCTATTTATAAGTTTACCAAAACTTGTTGGCTTTGTGAAACCTCAGTCACGCTGTCCGCAATCAGTTGTTATAGCTACAATAAGCCACTTGCACTAAGAGGTCACGTGACCAATGCTTCCTTAAACAATGAGCTGGAATCTTGCTGATGCCAAAAATTGATAGAGCACATAAAAATTCTCTTACACCCAAAATTTGGGAGGGAACACATTTAAGGGAGATATTTTATGGCACTTTGATTTTTCAACAAAGTAGCATGATTTGTATTGGCCTCCATGTTGGAAGGCATACTCTTGCCCTCCAACACGGTGGCAAAAACTGCTTTTTGCTTATATCTTGTTAAACATTTTATAGTTACACTCAGATGTGATGTAAACGTTACCACATCATCTTTTCAACAGTTTCCTTGGAGTTTAAGTGCAAAATTTGTGTTCAGAAAGACATAATTCATAATTTTAAAAATCACATTTTGGTCATGTGACCAGCTACGAACTTACTCATTTTAAGAAAACAGTGCCGGTTTGAAAAACCAAATCACTATTATTTTGTTTAAGGTATGACCCACTAATTGTTTTTCGATGGCGAAATCATATAACTTTCTTTTTCATAAAAACGATGTCACATGACGTCTTAGTGCAAATGGCCTATCAATACGTCAATAGTGGAGCAGTAAATTACCTAAAATCTCTCAACCAATATTAAAATCGACTTTTTTGATCTTTAATTTTGAAAATGGTTTATTTTTCGTCAAATTACGCCTCTGTAGGTAAAGATAAGAGTCTTAAGAGGACATAAAGATGCAGTCAACAGCTGTTCGTTTACCTTCGGTGATTCCAAGATTGTTACTGCTTCACATGACAAGACCTTACGACTTTGGGTAAGTTAAAGATTTCTCAACAAACAAAAGGGTTCAATTTCTATTAAATGTGTGGGAAAAGTGGGTAGCACTATATCCACCAGATAATGCTATATATCCAGAGTAGAAGTATTTGGAAAAGCAGTTATAGTAATGTTGCATTATCCCACGGTTAGTGATTTATCTGGTGTTTAGCCTCATCCACCTTTTGAAGGCCAAAACTTTGCTCATGCTAATGATCCTGCTGGCTATGCAGGCTATTACTTATCCTTTATTTCTTTAGCATATTAATTTTGTTGGTCATTCATGGACATTTAAACTGCAACGTTTCATTTTGTCTCTTTCAACAATATTATCTTGTTAGGATGCAACTTCTGGAGCACATCTTAAGGTGTACAAGGGCCATACCTCCTTTGTGACCTGCTGTCATGCAGATGCTAATAGTGCAAGGTATCAGATAATTAACAATTTATTATTAAATGAGGCTGAGTTAGATTTGAAGTATTATGGAGCTCGAGGAGAGTGTTAACACCCTTTGAGAGCATCACATTCATGCCCAATAACCCATGTTTTTATTATTTTATATTCTAATATTGGTACCATTTTAATGAATTTGGAGAAATGAGAGTAGGACTTGGGAATTGAGAAGCCAATTTCATTAAAGAAGAAAAACAAACATATGTGCAGCCACTTTCTAACCACTTTCTAAAATGAGATCTTACTCTCTATTAACTTCTTCATCTTGCTAGGATTGCCTCAGGTGGATGGGATAAAAGACTTTTAGTATGGGACATTCAAACTGGAACTATTCTGGTAAGGCTTCAGATAGCCCTAGTTCTACTCAAAGCAGTGGCCAAAACAGTTTTTGAAAATCAAGAAAATCTACCTTTCAGTTTGTCATGTCTCATTGGGTCTGAGTCCGTAACTGCGGCTTCATACCCCCATCATGACCTTCTGCAAACTTGTCAGACTTTGTGTTGAGTATCAGGGTGGTTTTGAAGTGACCAGCTCCTGTTGATTAAGGTTAATGTATATTTAAGCCAAAATCATGGCTGAAAGCATTAAAATCACAGCTGGTATTTTACAAAATATTAATTATTTTAAAATGTTATTTTGTAGTAGGGAACTGTATTTAACTTATTGAAAGAAAAGACTCAACTAAAGACAGCAACCAAGCACAAAGTTTCTTGGTCTTCCCAATTTAATAAAATATAGCTGATAATCTCAATGATATAATTTCGTCTCCTTTATTAAATTTAGACTAATGTTATAATTCTCTTTGTGGATTGTCTTTAGTGGGAGGCCCTGAATGAAGGTATTGTAACATCCTGCAACTTTTCGCACGATGGTCGCTACCTTATCAACAGCAGTGATCTGGATTTTGCTGTCAGTGTATGGGACGTCAGAGAAGGAGCCCTCATAAAAAAGCTATTCAGTAAGTGGCATACAACTGAGTTGTCCTAAATGTCTATAGAGTAAAGACGTGTGATGTTACAAAAAGTCAGATTTGTGTAATTATGGGATTGGTTGGTGTAAATTCAGAAAGAACTAGGTGAAAAAAGCCCCTTGCCAAAATAATTTTTTAAGACTTTTGAACAGTAAGTTGCGTGTAGATCACTCATGAATCAAACCTTTTTAGCAAGACTTTCAAGTGGTACTGTTTGTCTTCTAGTATCAATTTACAAAATAATTTTTAGGATTTTTTATTTACAGGTCAATATATGTTTTTTGGTACACTCAGGATTGAAAAAGTTATTTTCTGTCATCTTCTTAGGACTGAGGATAGTCATTTCCATCACATTTACAAAACTTTTAGTTTTGTTTCTGGAGACTGGAGATGTACAGTGTAGATTTAATAATTATTCAAATCAAATGTTGTCGTTATATATACTGGTACTTCTCTTTTAACTTAATAGATCATAAAAGTACAGTTACTTGCTGCCGATTTGCTCCAACACAAACCCGAATTTGTACAACTTCTATGGACAGAACAACGAAGATTACAGACATGCAAACTTTTACAGACGATTATAATGTTACTCTCACTTTGGGGTAAGGTTAGGGCATTTAATGAATTATTGTCTGAAGCATGGATCTCGAGTTCAATTTCCAGGTGTGACCACAAATCCTTCTTTCAACTTCTTTCCTTTCCATGAGGATTTAAGAAGCTTTAAATACCTGTGAAACAGAGCATTGATGGAGAGGGGGAGTGGGGGGTGGTAAAGTGAGTGCACCATCGGCCTCAGGTTTGTCAGTCAGATGACTATTTCAAGTTACCCCCATAAAATAAGGACTCTTTACCTTTTCTTCATGGTTGTGCAATCTCAACTGACATTATAATGGTCTAATGCCACTATGTAATGATTAGAATTGTCTCAATAGACAAGAAACATTGCCTGCATTCACCCAGGTCTATAGATTTTTCTTAAACACGAAAACAAATGTATGCTTCACATAAAAAGGTTATCAATGTTTTTTCTTTAATTATCATGATGCTGAGTCACTTCAAAGTGAACCTATAGTCTAAAAGTTACTGCTGTACCAGGCTAAATCACTGCTAGAGCTTTGCCACCTTTTATCTTGTGTGTTGCATTATTTTATCATACCATCCATGGATGTTATTTTATTGACCGTTTGATCTGCTCCATGAATGTTGGTTTGATTGTCTTCAGGGGTCACATCAATGTCATCTCCAGCTGTTGTTTTAGTAAAGACGAGCACTTCTTGGCCACAGGATCATGGGACAAGAACATTCAAATATGGGACATTGCCACTGGTGTCTATAGGTACAGCAGTTTTCTGATGTCAAAGAAAATTATGCTAAAATTTGGTGATAGCTTGGAACTTACAGAGGCCCACAGCAGTAAGAGCCAATGAAGTCAATTTTAGCTGGTGATAAGTACAGTAAATGAGAGCTGAAACCCTACCTATTTTGAGACTTCTTCACCGTTCAATATATTATTTTGTTGCACTTCTGAGCTGAGCCCTGTGTTGATGTGCATTTTCAGTCCATAACGGCTTAGCTTAAAAGGGGGGTGGGAGAGTTTACCCCCCTGACTTCTGAAGTGTACTCCCCCCTGACTCCCCAGGTGAAAATGCGACTAGAAAGAGTTTGCTTGTATAGTCACCACAGTGGGGGTACTCTGGATTTCGAGAGACAGGGATGATCGAAGGATTTTTTTGAGTTTGAAATTTTTGATTCCAGGATTTAATTGGGTAGGAAATATCAGTGGTATTTCTTTTCGTGCTTTTAACGCCTTTTGGGAATTTTTAAGGCTTGAAAATTTGACACTTTGGGGGTTGTTGGAAGTCCTGGAAATTTTTGGGGTTTTGATTTTTGCCCTCATTAGATCATCCCCGTCTCTTGAAATCCCGAGTCCCCCCCTGGGATAGTCACATTGTAGGATTTTGTTCAGAGTCATAGTTAGAGATGTATTGTACGGCAAACAGCTTCACAGGAAAGTATTGTTCATTCAGTAGTTTTCATTTTGAATTCAGACTTAAAAACTTTGGACCATGCTTTATGTCTCCCAGTTTGACTTTTAATCCTCCCCTCTTGCTTTCCAATTAAAAGAGGGGTGTGAGATCACACATATCCATCATGTACACTGTATTGACAGTGTTTGTACTCTTTTAAGCTCTTCAAATTCCATGACTATTTCCATGACTTTTTCAAGTTTTTCATGACCTTAGGTTAAGCTGTCGCTTTCAAAACTTTCCTTGTTTTAGCGTTTTTTTTCCCTAAAGCAGTTCAACAGACACAAACTCTGGCATCCACCGAAATGTCTGCCAACGTTGTCCTTGGTTTGTCGTCTGCAGTAACTTATGTATCAAACAAATCTTTAATTTTCCATGACTTTCCAGGACCAACAATTAAATTCCATGACTTTCCAGGCCTGTAAAATGAAATTCTTTAATTCCATGACTTTCCAGGTTTTCCATGACCTGTACAAACCCTGATTGATGATTTCTTTCACAGAACTCAGGGGCCAGTTACCTTTTCCAAAGGACATGAAGGCTCTGTCAGTGCATGCAGCTTTAGTGAAGATGGTAAGGATATCAATAAATAATCCACTCTCCCAAGTTTTATTTAGGCTCAGTGTATGTGGAATCCAGCCCTTTGAAAATGAGTTGATGTAGACCTCAGTTTTATCTTACCCATTTTTAGTGTATTATTATAATAATGTACAGGGACTTTATTTTGTTTTATTAAGCAAGGCTAGTTTATTTAGAGCCTTGCATAACTAGTTTATGATTATGTCTGTTTGATAGGTACTATGTTAGTGTCTTCATCATATGATGAAACGCTGGTCATCTGGGATGTTGAGAACTGCTGTCAGAAGTTTGCTCTGAAGGTAAAAAAACCTTGTTTTTATATAGTCAGCTCTTGCCTTGCAGGCTAAAAATAAGCCTGTCACTATAAATATCACTAGTTGGAACCCCAGCCATACCAGACACTCTGCATCCTGAAACATGTATATATATCTGAGGCCCATGTAGGCTTTTAAAAATTATTGAAAGCCATTATTAAAGTATGTCCTGAATGTTATAATAAATTACGTTGTATAACATTCATGACATTTTAGTATTATATTATCTTTGAGGGCGAGTGATTCATCTCTTCTTGAGTTGTTTTATATACAGTTCTTGTAAAATCAAGTACTAGCAAAAAAAGATTACTGGAAGTTACTCTTATTGTTTCTTTCTATTATGGCTCCAGAAAGTTTGCTGGCATAGTATAGCAGTGTTCTTTGTATTTGATGTCAGTACTTACATACATTGTAGTCACACCTCTCTCTCTTTCTTATGTTGTCAATTTAATTTTAAAAAAACTTTTTTGAATTTCTGCCTTACCAGTAAATGGTGATAATCAGTTGACGTGGTACAGTCTATATGTTGCCTTTATTTCCAGGGTCACACAGGATGGGTAAATGACTGTAGTTTTAGCAGTGACCAGAAGTGGATAATCTCCTGCTCAAAAGTTAGTTCTTTTTTCAGGGTGCAAAGAAAGTCAGTTTTACAGCCTGCCACTTGGGCAAGCTGTAGCTAGCATGTACTAGCCCACAAGTCATTTCAACTAGCCCCAAAGCCCTTTTTGATTAGCAGGATTGATTACAATCCTTCTGTAATTTGAATTTCCCCAAAAAACAGCACTAGCCCGATAGCAAAATCCACTAGCCCCGGGCTATCGGACACGACTTTCTTTACACACTGTTTTTTAATTTGTTATGTAGGTCATGAAAATGACAGTCAATAGCAGATTTGGACCTAGCCTGTCTGATATTAAAAATTAATTATTTTCTCTGCTGTAAGGATAATCTTTCTATTTCGTTCACCAAGGTAACTGAAAAAAATAGATTAACTTGTTAGATTTTTAATGTGTTTGGAAAAATCTTGTGTTTCCACTTTTCAAGTATTGACGTAAAAAACAAGCTTATAATAATAGAATTTTATTAAAAAATAATTTAGTTTGTAAACTTCAAAGGTTAGTTTCTCAAACATTGAATTTAAGCTAAAATCATCAAGGGTGACACTATTCAAAATACAACAGCCACTGCAATAAAATTAATGTCAGTGTTAAACATGAAGCTTTTAGAATTGCTCAGGTTAAGTTGATGTTTTCTTTCATATACTGTAGGACAAAACCGTACGGATGTGGAATATAGAATCAAGTGATGATATACCGGTGGTCTTAGAACACAGAAAAAACATAGGGCTCAGAATTGTTCAGGTTTGTATCAAATATTTGTTAAATTGAGCTATTTACAAGGCTCTATTTTTAGCCTTGTAAATAGTTCACTATAGAAACCTAGGCGAATTTTATGGACATTTGTTCAATTTCAAAAGTAGGTTGAGTTTGATCGTCCAGGTGAACATAGTCCTGAATAGGACTGTTGTTGTTGACTGTGAATGATGTATTGACAACCTGTGCGGTAGTCATCTTCAGAGTCAAAGTGAGTTGTATCACATCAGTTGATGGTATTGTACTCTGGTTATTGACCTGATGGTCAATTACATCGCGATGTCAATGACTCTGGGTTCAAACCTTTCACATCAATAATTGTTACTTAAGTTATTGAATATCGTAAAGCCATGCGGGCGTGGCCATTGTGAACTTTGTTTTAGACTAAGGCATTGTCCATAATTCTTTTATGCACTTATAAAGTTCATCTGGTATAAAGGCAAACAAAAGCAGATGTGTTGAAACATGCTTTCTGTTGTCGGGGCTGTCACTAAGATTTCAAGTTGCCAAGTAAATGCAATAAGTAGGCTGGGCTTGAAGGTTGGTTTGGTTCTATTTTCCTTTTGGTTCCTATGTAGCCAGGGGTCATGCAGTGTGCAAAGAAAGTGGGGTCTGATAGCCCAGGGCTAGTAGATTTTGCTACTGGGCTAATGAATTCTGTTCTCAACTTGCCCGACGGGCAGGTAAAGTTTTTGGGGGAATTCACTGTAATCAATCCTGCTCATCAAAAAAAAATTTTCGGGCTATATTAAGTGACTCTTGGGCTAGTAGATTCTAGCTACGGCTAACTTTCTTTAAACCCTGGGTCATGCTTTTAGTAGTTGGGGAATTCTCTGCCCCCAGCCCTGTATTGTAGTTCTTCCATGCTAACCTATTTTCATTATGTTATTTGTGATCGTAGTGTCAAAACTGTAGCAAGCCTTTCTCAATCGCTCAGTTGGAAGACGAAGCAAACTTCAAGTACTGTGTATTTTGTCGCCTAGAACATCCTTCTGAATACTCTCCTTCGCCAGTGGACTTTTGAAGTTAAGCAAAACAGTCAGGTTGGGACGTTGCATCTCATCCATGGAACTCCATCATGCTGAGTGTAGGTGTAGCAGTTTTGCATTTAGCACCCTGCAGTTCAAATCCAAAGCCTTTAGGGTGTGCTGGACATTTTGTGAGAACCCACCACATATATGGAATGTTATCATAATACTATGTACAGCTTTGGTGTGAAAGTACCATGAAATTTTCATATCTTATGTAAGTTGTAGCATATGGTAAGCTGCAGCTTACTGGTATTTTTGAGCGTTGTACTGTATGTATATACTGTCTCATGTAATGGAGAAGTATTTATTTTGATTTTATTTATTTGTGTACAAAATTTGTAACAAAAACTGTATTAAATAATATTGTGTACAGAACTATCTTCCTTACAGGTGTGAATAATGATGTTACTAGATCAAGTTGCTTAAAACTCACAGTTGGCTAATAGATGTTCAGCCCCCTCAAAGTTTACTTACAGCCAGAGGTCAGCAAGTAAAAAGTTGTCCAAGGTTGTGGACCCTGAATGCTGACTTTGTTCCAGTAAAATTATTAATATTAAGGATACAAATTTTACTATATGTAGTTTTAAAGTTTTTTCTGGTTTAGAAAAAATAATTCAAACTTACTGAGTATTTTTGGCTTGCAGAACTATAAATAATTGGTTATTGGTTACTGTTGATAAATATTAATTAGTTTGCTTTTCTTCCTTTGGTAATAAATCGCAACATCTGCAACAACAAGAATCTGCAACCTCAGTATGCAAAAATGTTTAGATTTCATTAAGATCTTTCCATAGAAAGAAAGCTAGAAAGGTCTATTGAGACCAGATGATGTTGCATCCCAGGAAATCATATGTCGACTAATTCTTCAATAGAGGCTAAAATCTATTTTAATGTAAGCCTCAAATTCTTGTCTTCTTTTTCTATCTGTTCTATGGTTGTTAGAGTTGAGAAAGCAAGAGATCTACCTTTGATTTACACCAGTATTACATCCTCTGCTGCTGATGGAAAAAGTCCTTTAGTTGTTGTGCATTGGCTTTTCCCACCACAGTAGCGAGAGACTAAAATTAACACAAAACAAAATAGGTGAAAAACCAAAAAGAAGTGCCGAAGCTGGCCTGAAGAAACAGGTGACTGATGCCTGACAAGCAAGCCCAGAAATTCCGTCCTGATGATGTATCAATCCCCAGATTTGGGTTGTGCTTCCGATTGGATGAAGCAAAGTTTCACCCCATCAGAAACACTACCCAGCTCTAGGAAGTGTCAAGTCATCAATAAGGAATTTCTGCGCTCATTCCTCAGGCATCATTTCCCAGGGGGAAACCGGTGGTGGCGTCACAAAATGTACTGGGCTGTATTCTCAAGCTATGCCAAAGCTGAATTGGCAAGATTAAGTCTACAGGTTCTATTTTCAGGGATTAACATATGCAAATAATACTACAGAGATGCCTTCCCATCACTGACTTTGATACTACATGTACTACTAAATTACTTACTGCAAATGATGCTTTACTGATTTGCTCAATACCTGAAAGATGAGAGAAAACAACAAATTTGAAAAAGCTAGTTTTTACAAAGGGAACTTTGATTCAGTGGATTTTCTGTATAGATAAAGGGACGAAAGGAAAGTGGGAGTTGAAAGGAAAGTAGGACTTATCCCTAGGTTCACCGCTATACATTAAAAATTGTTACCAAACATTAGTTTACTTCTCCCTGACATTTCGAATTAAATCCGTCGTATGAAACTGTTAGTAACCGAAGTTGAATAATATGCCAAAAATATCTCAGGCAACTCTGCCTTTCATGTTTGGCCTGAAACAAAACAAGGCACTTAGCTCTGCTTCAACTGATTTCATACAAAACAAATATGAAATCCAAGGCTTGAAAAAAGTCCATTATGGTAGTTAGCGACAGGTAGATTTTCTTGCTCGGCAAGTAACTTTTAAAGCTCATGTGTCCAATGTGCAAGGGACCAGGCAAGTCATCCTCTAACAAGCCCCAATATCCAAATACAAATTCTCCACACTAGTGTCCATACATTGCCTTATAGATTTAGTTGAGAGAACTTGATAAAAGATCAAAGTATTTCTCCATTGTTAATCATTTTGTTAATTCTCCTAACCTTTTCTCTTGGTAATGTATTGATATAGTTAGGAGAATATTCATGTTGGTCAATCTTGAAACTACAGGGTTAACTACACCTGTAAGGGCGCTTTCCATTTGTCACAACTGACCGGCCAGACCATTCCCGTCACAACAATAATTTCCCTTTTAATCAAAACTCTCCAGCCAGATAAGTCAAATCCTAAATAGTATGCATGAAGGAGAAAGTTTTTCAGCAAAAACTCTTGGTAAAAGCCTATTTCATTTTCAAACTGACTGGTCAGGCTATGGTCCAGCCGGCCAGTTGTGCCCTAAGAAGAACAAGAAGTTGCCCCAGGTAAGCAAAATGAGACAGCTGCTTGCCCAATGGACAAGCTGGAATTCAAGTTTTTTCAAGCCCTGAAACCCGTCGTAATATGAATGTTATCGGAATAATAATATTCATTTTCTTACTGTTGAACTTAGCTAACAGGGCCATTGCTTTTCTCTGTCCTAAACCTGGAACTGTCTGAAGGGTTGTCAGTAAGGCTTGGTCTGTTGGTGTAGGTTTTACCTTGATGCGATAAGGGTTGTTTTGGGGCTTGCTCTCCAAAAACACCTGGAAACAATTTTTTTTATCAGTAAGAAAATACAAAATATTACAACTTTTAGGAAGTTTTCAAAGAACATGAAAATAATGGTTGACATTAAATTACAGGGCTAAAACAATATTTTCATAGCACTAAACATAAGAGAGAACTAAAGCTTGAATTTTGGTATCACACAAATATCCTATGGAGCCACTACAAGGAAACCCTTCAAAAAAATAAAATAACCATCTTTGTAATGTTGTTCCATTAGGAAAACATTGATCTCAGCCAACGTTTCTTTGAATAGAGTTTTCTCAATAGTTCTGCACTTTTAGCTGCAAGTTGAACACACTTGAACAGAACCTTCCGAAAGTTTTCAATAAAAGAGGTTTTACCATTTGAGCCAAGATTTTGCCTGCTTCAGTAGGTGATGTCACTGGAAGAAGTGCTAGGCCTCTTTCAATAACAATGAACTTCTGTAGATCATAGAAGTACTGGGAACTCAAAGAAGTCTTTTCTGCTAACACAACTTTCCTAAATGAAGCCTAAAGAGAAGGAAAGTAACAAAGCTGAATACAGTTGGAATGGTAGATTGTTGACGTGTGCATTACCATGAGTGATCCAAATCCCTACCATGAAAATATTCGTTTATCTTTGGCAAAATGGGACCCCTTTTTCATCTTATAGATCCTCTCTAACTTTCTTGCAAGGTCCTCGCAAAATATGCAAAATGTATCCCTTGATTCTCAAAAGTGAGAAATAATAGTATTGAAGAATAAAACCTTCATGAAAAAAATTTGCGGTGTGAGAGGCATTTTGCAATCTTTAATAAAGCATAGATGACATCAATGTTTGCCCTGGGTAGTCAATATGGTGTGTTACTTTTAAGAGAAAGTATTTGGGTTGATGCTGCTTATCTTTAACCAACAATCCATTATTCTATATGTATCCAGTACCTTGGCAAGTTTGAGCAGCTTGGATTTGTAACTATCTCCTCCTGCCACCAGATCAGCTTCAGTGAGATATACAACTCCTACCTCTAATGATGGATGGAAGTCCAGTACTCCCATACAGTCATCAACTTGAACAGTAACATGACTCTCTGTCAATCAAAATGATTGTCAGATAATCAGGCAATAATTATTATTAAGGAAGACTCACAGCCAGTCAGCCACTATTTATTCAGTTGGTGGGTCAATCAATCACTCATGCACATCAGTTGCTGTGTCAATAAGGAAGTCAATCACCATGGAGTGGCACCTACAATATGTATGGTTTCCCAATCCAATCTCAGACCCTTCACACTGGGTCTCTTTCAAGCTGTTATTTGTTCAGTCTAGTTAGGATAGGGTACAGCGATAAGAGAGTATAAATGTATCATTTTCTACTATAGTGGAGTATACCAGTAATACATAGAGTTTACAACAGAAATGTGGACATCTGGAATGGCTGACAGAGTCTTGGTGTCTAATTTAGTAAAAGAAAACACTCCAGAAAAATAATCCCTTGGACCTGACCTAGAAATCCTCATTTCAGACCTGGCCCAAATTCAAAACCCATTTTCAGACCTAAACACAAAATTGGCACTTGTTTGGCAATTGGGGGTGGGTGGTGGGGGTACCAAAGTATTCTCAAATTCTCAGTGGGTGGTAATTGTGGGTTGTTTTCTAGAATGCAATGATATTGACAGGAAAATAAATCCCTGGAATTTAGCAACCAAATTGCCCCCTTTCTAGAACAGGGTATCAATATTGGAATGTAAAATCTTTAAAAAAGGAGTTCTGCTGCTCATTGGAGGCCTGGGCAACCCACCAAGCCTTTCTGAGTACAACTGTACCTTCCGCCTTCCTCCTCCTCCTCCCCAGTTGTGCGTTGTTTACGGGCAAAACAAAAAATCACTAAATAAAATCTCTGTGTATCATAGAAAAACTCGGACAATCGTCAACTAAACAATCATTACTTCAGCAGGAGTCACTTCTTGATTTCAGTAAAAATGTCAGGCTGAAAAACACTACAGAGTAAAAAAATGAGAAAAAAAAATTCTTACTCTACGCAACTCTTCTGACCTTATCACTAGGCAAGAAAATCAAACATCAGGTTTTTTTCTTAGCTTTGGTGTTATTAGTTTGAAATTTGGCGCGAAATTCCCGCCAACCATTTTCATCGAACAAGGTGATTAATCATCATAATTACAGCACAAACCTTGAAGAGCCTTAACAATCTCGCTACCATGGAATCTTTCGTTGACAAGAATATGTCCCGGAAGAATACAAGCACCATGGAGCCGCGGCTGAGTGGAAGTGATTTGAGACGAACGCGACGCCATATTGTTGACGGCGTCCGCGATTCGCCGTCATTTCATTCAGCGGTAATAAGTACCAAGCCAAGCGCCGACAAGTTGTGCATGAATTTCGAAAAGTTGTCAAGTTCTCGAGTCACGTTGTAAACAAGTTTTGTGATAAAATCCCTGCTTTTTCGCTTTCAGGATGAATGTATCTGAATTATTATCATTCCAGGTTTGTATTTTGTTGTTGATTTGTGTTTGATATTTCTTTTTCCTCTCACACTGTTTCCTCCATCAACTAAATTTTTACAGCGCCAGAAAAAGTAGGCTTTTTAGCTCAAGCCTTTAACCTATTGTAGCTCGTCAATCTCGACTTGCCTTCTCGTTTCTTTTTTAACTGATTCTTATTGTGTGGGTCGTGTGAACCTTGATTCGTTTAAAGGGCATGCTTTTGTGAATATTCTCCCCTGCAAATCCGAATGTTGGCGAGAAACAACTTATATTTGTTTCTCATTGTACTCCTTTTTTTAGGGTTTAAAGACGATGAAATTCTTCTCTTTGATGAATAATATTTGTAGCTTTGTACCTGCCTAGGTGGGAGAAGGGTAGGGTATACCTGAAAAATTTGGATGAAGGTGACTGTACAACATGCATTCTGGAAACCTGACCTTATTTCAGAGAAAAACAGATAATTTTGCTTAGCCAATGCTGGACCTGAAACAAATGGTAATTTGTTTACCCACGAAGCCCTTAAGAGTTCTTATGAACTCGTTTCAATATGTCCATATCTTCCAGATTGAATTGGAATTTGATAGTGTTGGTTTTTGAGGAGAGGGGAAAACCGAAGTACCCGGAGAATAACCTGTTGAAGCAAAGGAGAGAACAAACAACAAACTCAACCCACAATCATATGGTGTCAACACCGGGATTTAAACCCGGGCCACATTGGTGGGAGACGAGTGCCCTCACCACTGCGTCGCCCTAGCTCCACCCTTGCTCCCCTGAGCCACTAATACCGAAGTAGTGTAACATACATGTAAAGAGTATTCCCTGTTTTCCCGCCGATTGCAGGCCCTTGTTCCAAAGGGCAAAAAACCTTACCCTGTTTCAGTCCACAAAGTTTAAAATCAATACACAGTTTCACACCACAACAGCTAAAACCAATCTCTTCGGGGCTCCAAATACCTATGTACAGTAGCGTGGACACGGAAGTACCCCAACCCCCACCAACACCACCACCACCCGATCCCAATGTTGAAAGGCATGTTCAAATGGAATCTACCTTTTTGTTGGTCAGATAGACTTGAAAAAAATCTTGAGAATCTCTGGAGTTGTCCAAAGTATTTAAACAGTTCTTGAGTGGGAAACGGCCCTATTTCTGCCATTAAATGCCATTGCCACAGTGAAACTGAGGAATGCAATTTCCTGTATCTCATATTATTGTTTTTGCTCAGCCTGAAAGAGGAACCAAAAGGAAGAAAGGAGACAAGAATGTCTCTGAGAAGACAAATGATTCTAAAAAAAGGCCAGTAACTGCAGATCTTACCACAGGATCTGGAATATCTGAGGAAGAGAGAATGAAAATATTAGAAATGGTGGAAAATGAACCCGAGGTTAGTGATGAGATGATGGACAAAAATGTTCTTACAGTTACTGTATCTTATTTTTTACCTGCTCTGCAGATATTTTTAATTATGTGATTTTTTTAAGACTTTTTTGTCTTTTGTGCAGCCTCCTCAGAGCGACATCTTGCCATTTTAGGGATTCTATATTCGTTTTCTAACAGGGCTTGATAAAAGCTTGAGTGTTTCTTGGTGTTGTGGAAACCATTCTTGTTTCACTTTCATTTTAGTGCTTTGGGTATTGTTCCGTGTCTTTTCAGTCCTTTATACTGTGTCATTGGTGATCCCATCTGTCCACAACACCAAGAAACTACCCAAAACATGAATGAGAGCTTGCCCGCTAGTCTTAGATTACTTTTCATTATGAGATAATTTTCCAGGGCTGTTACCCATTGGGCAAATGAGTATTAGTAGTTAATTGTCCAGAAGGAAAATTTTTCTATCACCAACTACTCTATGGTACTGTTTTCAAGCCCTGTTACTCTCCTTGATAATGATTGAAGCTTTTTCTGGTGTCATCATTCCTTCTGTTTCACTGGAGGTAAAATCTTTATCATAAGCAGTAGCTTGGTCGTTACAAGGCAATAACATTCTTTTGATCGTAAATTTTGTTTTCTTTAATTTCTCGTAGGTTGAGGCCCTTGATGTTGGATCCCTCAAAAGGATGTTGCTTATGTTTGAAAAGAAGGTTACAAAGAATCAGGAAATGAGAATAAAATATCCAGATAACCCTGAAAAGTATGTTGAATGTTGCTAAGGCCTCTGTGTAGATATAAATGTCAATACACTGTACAGATTATTGTACACTTCACTTAAAAGGGAATCTGTCATTGCTAGTACAGGGCTTCTGATATTCCGCGCGGTGACGGAACCGCGAAATTCAGGTAAATCCCCAAAATCCTGCAAATTCACAAAAACACACAAAATGCCACAAAAATTTGGTAGAAATCTTATCAAATACATGTCTGTATAGCATTTGTGAAACTTATCCCAGCTATTGAGGCTATTTACTTGCAGTAAACTTGCAAATTTATCTTGGAACTTCGTCACTGAATCATGCAAACAACGTCCCAAAACTACCAGGTGTAAATTGTGTTGTGAAAATTTGGGCACTAGCCATGATGTTAAAGGCTTTGCCATTGGTTCATTTCTGGAGCGTATTGTTGTTGAAAGAGCAAATGATGACCTCTGTTAGAAAAATGTTAAAAAAGCTGGTCTGATCAGTGCAAAACCAATCGATTTCTAGCGAAATTTGCCTTGAAAATAACCACAGAATCTGCCGTTTTTTTACCGATTGCTTTTCGGCGAAGTTTGCCCCAAAAATTCCCGCGAAATTGGCCGATTCCTCTGCGAATTTGTCCCTAAAAACCCCGCGAAATTTGACTTTTTTCTGCGACCTATCAGAAGCCCTGCTAGTAGGTGAGCTTACCAAGGTCTTTAAAAAGACAGAAATTACTCATTTTCCACCCTGTTTAAGACAAGAGATTTTCATAACCCTGATTCATTTCATTTCACTTGGAATGGGAATGGGACTCACCTTATATATCCTACGGTACAGTATGTGCCCTTGTATTATAGTGTCTTTAAATTTAATATTTTGTTGTCTACAGATTTATGGACTCCGAGCTCGATCTCAATGATGAAGTCCAGAAGTTACATGTGGTAGCCACAGTTCCACATCTTTATCAGCACATTGTTGATGTTAATGCTGTTGGTACAATACTGGGCTTGCTGAGCCATGAGAACTCAGGTAAACTTGCATCAGGTGCATGTCAGTTATTTGGCCAGTCAGTGGTGGGTTAGGTGACAGTAATAACCAAGGGAGTCCAGTGCTCTGAACGTGTGAAATCTAGGGTGCCCTGCATATGATTTCTACAAAAAAAAACTAAGATTTTCTAGTTTCTCAGGAGCAAATGTTAGGCAGCAGGGGCCGCCGGGTGCTACTAGAGCACAGCCTTGAATCATCATCATGATCATCATCTTTTTTAAATAACTATTATAATAATCATTATTATTATTATTATTAATATTTTATTCTTGTTGGATATCTTCATGTATCGTGTTCTTTAAATGGTTAGTTTATTCCTTTGGTTTATATTATTTTCCTTTCAGATATTTCTATTGCTGTCATTGATCTGTTGCAAGAGTTAACAGATGTGGACACCTTAAATGAGAGTGAAGAAGGTGCCACTGCCCTCATTGATGCACTTGTAAGTGCTGTTACCCTCCTGGCCCAGGTTGTTTAACTGTTGGATATCACTATCCACCAAAATAAATCACTATCCAGTTTCAGATAATATTAGGAAAAGCGATTGCAAGTCCATTGGATAGCGATTTATCCAGTGGATATTGTTATCCACCTTTTGAACAACTACGGTTAATTATTAAAATAATTTATTATTGTTCTTTTTAAGTATTCCTTGATGAAAAGCAAGACTTGACCAAGTTGAGTCTGTCACTGTTACCAACCCTAGGTGTGGTCAATTATTTATTGTGACAAAGTCATATTATTTCTATTTTATGAAGCATATCCTGTTTTTATTTTCATGTTCTTGTAGCTTGATGGTCAAGTAATTGCTTTGCTGGTACAGAATCTAGACAGACTTGATGAAAATGTCAAGGAAGATAGTGATGGTGTTCATAACACTCTAGGTTTGTCTTATATCTGTTACAGGTTCAAATACCCAAACAAAAAGCTAATCTTTCTTTTGCCTAGATTTGCTGCAAACTCTTCACAATCATGAAAAAACTGACCTCTCAATAATTTCAACTTTTGACCATTTACTTATCAGACTTGTCTAATCATTACAAAGCAGTACCTCAGTAAAAAAAGCTTTATATGATGCCACCTTAACTTTCCTTCATTCTTCTTTGTTTTGCTTTGTTTTTTGAAGCTACACTTTTGAATTTATTTTTTGTTTGGAAGTTCAAGAAATCCAGCTTCCAAGGTATACTCCCATGAACTAAAAAAAGTATTGTTCTTTCATTTAAAAGGAATTATAGAAAATATGACTGAACTTAGAACGTCTGTGTGTCAAGCTGCTGGAGAACAGGGGATGCTTGGTTGGCTTCTAAGAAGACTCAAGGTGTGTGTTGTGGTTTGATTTGTATTTTAAATACAGCCAAACTTCCTGTAAGTAAACACCCATTATTTGGTGATGTCATGGTTTCTTTCAGGAAGTGATCACTTAGGAGAAGTACCGACTATACGTCTGGGAAAACTGTTTTTTTTGTGGATAGGCAGACTGTTAATTAAGCTTGGTGGGGGCTGATGGACTGTAACCTGTAACTGGTGGTTGCAGAGGGTACTATGGATGTGTAATCCTCCCTGATCTCTCCCAATCAATGTTGTTAAAAATGTTGGATTTTTTCTTTTCAAGACACTGAAAGGTAGAGGGACTAGAGTGGCCAAATTCTTGTAAAGAATCCTAAATGTGTAGCAGATTTTTTGCACTTATCATTAGATTATACATGTAGTTATTGTTTTAATGATGCCGCAATGTTATTGTTTCTTCATAAATGGGATTTCTGCCCCTGTGATATGCTGCCTCTATAATTGTATAATATTTTATTTTGTTTGTTTTTTTAATTCACCTCTTTTTTTTTTCAGCAAAAACCTCATTATGATGCTAACAAATTATACTGTAGTGAAATCCTCTCGATTCTTCTTCAAAATACAGAAGGTAAAATTGTATTTCAACCATAGTGGTTTCTGGTTTTATCATTTTGTTTCCCTTAGACAAGAAACTAATTGCTTTGTTCTACATTTCCATTCTCCATCCAGGTGTACATTTTTTATAAAATTAATGATAGCATTGTCACTGTGTTGTTTCCTTATACAAGGAACTTTTTGTCACTTTGTGTCTCTTCAGCCAGGTGTATAAATGTGTACACTGTCACTGTGTTGTATCCTGAGGCGAGAAATTTTGTTCCACATTGCTTCTGTCCACCTAGGTGAATAAATTGGGTTGATTGTGACTGTCTGAATCATTTGCATGCACAAGAAACTTTGCCTCGCACTGCAAGTGTACCATAAATCTCCTTAATGGCTCTTAAGAGGCGTACCTTTTTTACTGTAGGATTAGGGGGAGTTATTTAAGTTTGGGTTACAGTTTATGAAATTTGTCTCTTTTTTTGGTTTAGAGAACAGACAACTTTTAGGTGAACTCAATGGAATTGACACTTTGCTTCAGTGTTTGTCAGTAAGTGCAAATACTTCCTATTTTTTTTAATGTAGCAATGATTCTTAGACAATGAAAAGCGTGAAAATACAGACTGGTAACATGGTCTGAGTATTATTATTAAAACAAAAGAAAATTTTGGGTGTAAATTTATTGTAACATATTTCAGTTTTACTTACTTGCATATTGTACACATATCACTGGTATGCATCTAATGAATTTTACATAAAATAATAGGCTAATAGAATATCTTATAATCAAGTTATGAGGGAAAATATAACTGTTAGTAGACCTGATCTGTGAGAGTTAGACACCTGCAGTATGTATCTGTGACCTTCACATTCCCTATGATGCAATAAATTTGTCTTCCCCACAAAATTTTGCATAAGTTGTTTTCAAATTCTCAAGGGTTGATTGTTACTCTCAAGAGAAAAAGGAAACAATATTTATACAAAATTTTGTGGGGAAAACAAGCTACATATACATTTTGCAGTAGGGTTAGCTCAGTTGGTAGAGCACTTGACTGCAGAGTGGGAGATCGCGGGTTCTTTTCCCAGGGTCCGACCAATACTCAGGGTCTTGAAATAACTGAGAAATGAAGGTGCTTCCTTTGCCGTGCAAACGGCTAGACCTTCACATGGCTTGAATGACTATGTAAAATGGCAGTCCCATCCCTGCAAGGAGATGTTAAAAAAGTGTCCTCAATTAGTGCTTTCATGCTAAATACCTAGTTGACACTCAGATAAAGTGCATTTGTATTTTATTCTTTGATGGGGAGTGTGAAAGTCGCAAATTACATGAAGTTCCTAATCAGTATCTTTTTATTCTTATTGTTCACTAGCTGTACAAGCGATATGATCCTACAACTTCAGATGAATTAGAATTCATGGAGAATCTTTTTAACTGTTTGTGTTCATCTCTGATGTTTAATGCCAACAAAGATCTTTTCCTGAAGGGTGAGGGACTCCAGCTTATGATTCTTATGTTGAGGTGAGCTATTTCTCTGTTACTCAGCTTTTGAATTTGAAATTCTTTTGACAGCAGATCCATGTAAACAACATTTTTGTACAGTCTCATTTCATGGTTGTGGCATGTGTTATGTTATTCTATTTTGCTTTGTTAACTACAGCTGTATTGGCCAATAGAGAAGAGAAATGCTGACAACTCAAAAACTGAATTTGTGGATTTTATGGGATATGTTGGCTATTCAGAAAGGCCAAGCCCCCTTGCAAAAATCAGCTTGTTGGTGCATATAAGCACTGTTACGATCCGATGACTCCATGGAAATCCTTCCAAAATCGGCCTGGATTGTACACGTTACGATCTAGGTCAATTTTAGAAGGATTTGTATGTAGTCATCAGATTATAACAGTGCTTATATCTCCCCACCAATTTGAACCAACAGGCTGATTTTCGGCAAAGGGGCTTTTCCCATCTTGTTCTTTTTTTAATATGCCAACCAATCCAATTATTTTTCATTCAAATTTGAATTATTTTGATGTCATTCTTCTCTTTTCTATTACTGTGCACCCTTAATAGTCCTCTCCCCCAACGAGGGAAAGACTACACTACCAGGACTTGCATCCCTTGGTCTTTTTGAACAGTGGTGTGAGATCTTTTTTGTCCTCTTTGAATCAATAAGGAAGGATGAAGGAGAAAAGGCCAATGGCTTAACAGCCCGGTTTGCATGAGTACATGTAAGTGTGTTATTTTTTAAGCGTGTCCAAATGTCAATCATATCCTCAGAGAGAAGAAGCTTTCGCGGAGAAGTTCACTGAAAGTACTGGATTACGCCATGCAAGGACCTGAAGGCACTGAAAACTGCAGTAAATTCATTGAATTTCTCGGACTTAGAACTTTGTTTCCACTATTTATGAAGGTGGGTAGTCCGTACTTTCTTTATAATTTCTTAGGATATTGCCATTGAAATATGCAATCCCAGGGTGTTGAATAGACTAAAAGAAGATGTCTTCAGTTGGTTTTTGAATGCCTTGCAATGATTGATTCACTGTACGTTTTCTCTTACTTTCCAGCCCCTTAAGAGCAACAAGAAAGTTGGATCTTCTGAAGACGAAATAGAAGGTGCACTTTGCCTTTTTTTGTATTTTCTGCACTAAATCCGGGCCCCATTATGACCAAGCACGCTGCTTGAAAAGAAGGGGTTTATGGGGTGTGGATTCTCCCTGTCGAGCCCCGTACAAGCGTCCCCCGCCGCCTCTAAATGCACACAGAGGAACAGAGGACGTTGAAATGAAAATGTGGCCTTTAGACTTTCACATTTTCACTCGTAGGATAAGTAGAAGTTTCTTAGAAAAGAATACGAAACACCGAGAAGGGTGGAAATTGGGTAGAAATAACAAGCTTGCACATTGCAAACATTTTTTTTTTTCAGTGAGTGACACAGAACACTTAAAATCGTGCACACAAGTTCCGAGCCCCTGTCTCCCATTCGTAGCTCTCGAACCTCCCTTAAAGGGCAGATAGTTATCCTCAAAGATTACAGATATTTTATTGGCAATGATCATCGTTTGTTCTGTTTCTCCCCCACAGAACACGTGTGTTCCATTATCATGTGGCTTTTCAGAAATTTATCGGGCAACTTGAGAACGCGACTTGTACAAAAGTTTGTAGAAAATGATCACATCAAGGTCGACAGATTAATGGAACTACACTTCAAGTACCATTCTAAAATACAGGAATGCGATACCAAGATTGAGAAAGAAAAACAGGTTAGTATCCATAATCTTAGTTTTGAAGCGCTTCCTTTAACTGCATCACAAGTGTCTCTCGTTTGAGCACGATCAAGGCCCTTGCAATATTTATCGGCGGAAACAAGTCATTGGTGCCGTAACGACTCAACTTTTATAAGTACTCTTCACTCGGTATCCGGTCTTTTGGATACAAGTCGTTTCGATACAAACTCTGCTCAAGCAGTTGTAAAGTTGCACAAAAATTTCGATCACTTCAAGTATAGCTTGCGTGTGAACAAGAAAACATTTTGGGTGAAAATTTTTCGTTCCTTAAGCCAAGTACGTGAAACAATTTACAAGTCGACTGAATAATCTTGTATCGAAACGACCGGTAACCCTTCACTCCATCTCACAAAAGTGGCCTTAATTAGGATCCGACGGCAGCGTCGAAACATCGCTTAAAAATGAATTCGCGTTCACCCAATCTTCATCGCGATTATTCCAACTCAATTTACTCTGTCAAATGTAGGCGAACGAATGCGTCTCTGCACCTGCAAAGTTGTTTTGCTGAGTAAACTTACTGTTTTTTTTTTTCGACCTTCTCGTTGTCGTCGTCGTCGTCATCTGATCTTAAGGTCCCTACACTCTCTTATCCCGGGAGATTCACCTCCTTAATCACCCGCGGGATCCTTAATCACCCGCGGGATAAGGTTCAGTTCCTGCTGCCGTCTCTCCTCATAGCTCGACAGACAGAACCATGGTAGATCCAATCTGTAGGTCATGGGTTCGATTCACACCAAGGTTTAAGACTGTTCTCTTCGCCATGTGTAGTTCCCTGATCCTCGTTACCATGACACTCGCGGGTTTATGGATCGTTTCTAGCACTTACATTTTCACTTCTGAATTTATTATCTTGTTCTTCAATCATGGTCCTCAGTTCGCCTCTCCTCCTTTCAGTCACTTGTCCACTTGCAGTACTTTTGTTTCGTATGAACGTTCCACTTTCTCCTTGCTGTCCGCGATGTGAAGTCCTACAAATTCTCACTGTAGAGAGAAACAACAAAGCGAATTAGCCCCGTGTAACTGCGACATTCGATCGACACAGGTGTACCACATAGCTCCTATCTTATAATCCAATGCCAGCTTTAAATGTAGAAAAGCAGTAACGGTAGTTAGCCTGGTGTGACTGTGGATCCCTCTCGACAGTTCCCTTGTTTTAAAAGCATTTGATGCTACATCTCTGTATGTATTTATTTGTTGATTTATTTCTCTTTTTCCGGTAGTCTCTTCAAGATGAAGGTGAGGAGATTGATGAGGCAATGGAGGATGAGTTTTACATGCGCCGGCTGGATGCTGGACTTTTCTCGTTGCAGCTTATTGACTGCATCATCATGGAAGTCTGCTCATCTGGTGTTTCCTCGGTAAATAACTCAACGTCCCATTAGTTATTAGCTATTGTATTATATTTGACATTCTGGCGCCCCCGTCGGTTGAGGAACAGTGGAATTCTTCAGGGGTGGATAACAAAATTGACGAATTTATCAGGGGTAAAGTAAAAAAAAACTTCTAAATTCCTTAGGGGGTAAAAGATTGATTTTGAAGGAAATCTTTAGGGTTAAACTAGTAAGAATTCATGCAATTTTTAGAGAAAAAAAACACCTTTTCAAAGAAATTCTTCAGGGTAGACCCACAACTTTTGGAAGTCTTAGTAGTGAATGCAGTAGTGTTTTTGAATTCTTGAGGGTAATAAGAAAAAGCAAGTCCTCAACTACGGAGGATAGGTGCGAATATTAAACGCAATAACCCATTCTACAAAAAGGGTGGTTTCAGTATTGAAATTTGCTAACAACAGTGATAAAGTCACCGGTTGTTAATCGCGCCATTTTTATCTATTCTCTGGCAGCTATAGATGAATTGACTACACTTGATGGGATTAATCATTTTCACATTGCCCATAATAAACCTCGTTTATCCTCCCCCTCCCCCGAAAAAAAAAACACTTTGCCTAAGCGTTGTCTTCAATTTCTCTTGAATCGACTGTAATACCCGGGAAAAATTAAAAACAATGTTTATGCACATATGAAAATGGTGAATTCGAGATCTCGGTCTCAGGCGCTTCACGGTTTTGGGAACAAGAGAAAGAGGTTAGGTACTGAGTACTGAGCTAGAATGTCGCTCATTTGAAAAACATTGCTTTATCAGTAATTACAAATGCACAGTACACCATGATGGTCCGCCTGTGTCTCACCCTTTGATGAACTTCCGAGGTCCAAAACGCCTCACTTTCAAAATGAGGCCAAGTGCACAAACTTTCTTGTGAAAAAGAGTTTTATTTGCATGAAAATGAAAAATCATTTCCATATCAAAGGCTGCGCACTTAACCTCGTTTTGATACAGAGGCTCGGGGAAACTCAAAATTGGCCTATTGACATTTGTTGTTGTCTTTCCAGGTAAAACAACGCGTGGTGACTTTACTAAACCAACATGGAGGATCTATGAAAGACATTAGAGCAGTTATGAGAGGTCAGTCTTGTGAGATGTGTGCTTCAATCAGCTGTCAGGCAAAACATATGAAAGTTCATTAAAGCTATGTTCACACTTTAGGTATACCGGATTGCCTTTTGTGTCAATACGAAAAGCTGGCACACATCGAACATCGTACCGGGGCAGTTGGCAGAGAGGGTTTGGGTAACTAAATCCCAGTCTTCACTCCGTCTCAGTGGGTTCCATTCCTCGCTCCTACTTATTCACTTCCGTTTCCGGTCCGACTACCTGTTCACGCTACACAAATGTGTTACAGAACCCATCTGCTATGTGAGTCAAAGTATGTGACTCTCCATTTTCGAGATCGGCGCGGCGCAGCTTCGCTCCGTTACAGAAATCGCGCCGAAATCACCGTTCTTATGTGTAAACACAAGCCCTATCCGGTATGGTTTTCGTGTCGGTGCAAAAGCTATCCTATATACTGTGAACATAGCCTTCGGCTAGACAGTCGTAAGGCTAGTGATTGGTTTGCTTCGCACCCTTGTCTACACTCGTGCGTAGAAATCATGACAGGTAGAACCATTTTATGCGCTGACTCTACGTCACCAGGGACCTTACGAAACCACGACGGTGACGGCAACGAGAACGCCAGAAAAGCAACAGGTTTAATGAGCAAAACAACAACTCTGCACGTGCATCACGCTTTTTTGTACATTTCGTTGCCGTCCCTGCACAACTACGACGTGAAGTGACAAAATTTTAAATTTACTTGAGAACCTAGAACGGTAAGGCGATAAACTCTACCATCTCTGTCTGAACTTGGGCGCGGTCCCCTCTCTTCATTTCCAACCTAACGTCCCTTCTTTTTAAGTAACTGGGCGACTTGGGATAATTGCGAAAAAAAAGTGAAAGGATGCGGAGTCTATTTTTTCAGGGACGTTCTCATGGACGTCGCCTTTGTCGGATCGTAAGGTCCCTACTAAGCTACAGGGACGGTGGAATCGGGGGGACTGAGAGGGGGGCAGCTTTTACAATGTTTCAGTTTTTGAAATGAACACTATTGAGCAGCACGAAGCAACGCGAGTATCTTGTTAAGTTGTTTGATTTTTAGTCCGAACGGTTTTGTCTGATCACACAGACTTCATCTGGGAGTACATAGAGATAGGGCAAAAAGATAACTTTATACCTATTAATTATTGTAAAATCACGTTCTGGTTAGCATTGAAAACTACCCACATGAAGGCCTCGGTCTGCGATTTTCCTGTAATGACCCCACTCTCGGTTAATAATCCTGTGTAATCGAACGTGCGATGTTTGATTTTGGGGCTCACGGATTGAACGTGGGTTTAAGCACATTGACGCGACTATTCAGTTGTTTTATTGGTTAAACAATACTTGTACTATCGTTTTTATTATTGTTTGCTCCAACCACTTCTCTGTACTTACAGTAGCTGAAAGTCTGTTCTTCCGTTTCCTTCTAAGGGAAAGTATATATTTCTGACAAGATCTCCTTGTAAAAAGTTCAGGAGCTCAATTTTTATAAAGATAAGATGGGTGGACAGGCCGCTTTTTTACCTTAAGAGCTTAAAATTAATTGGCTCTCTCGCTGTTTTCTTTTTGTATCCAATTAGAATATGCGGCAAGTGTTGGAGATGCGAGGAGCAAAGAAAGTCGAGAGGTTGAAAAGAAGAGAATCTTATCACTTATCGACCGATTTTAACCCTTTCAAGATAATCCGCGTTTGTTTTGTAAAATATTCAAGGACAAACCGCGTCGATGGGAATTCAGTTCCACAACTTTAATGTGAATAGTGTTTCAACGTGTTATCCAAAGACGTAGAACTTAGCGCAATCTTGTACAGAAAATCTATCACATCTTATCAGATTTTATGTGGCCTCCGTTGTTAGCTGATATCTGATTGCGATGCATAAGACCCTGCGTAGAGGAAAACTGACGTTTTAAAGCAGCAAACGGCGGCCAACAGCTACAGACGAATGGGAACTGGGCCGAAACTCCTGAATCGTTAATATGTTTTAACCCTTTAAGCCCTAAGAGTGATCAGAATCAAATTTCTCCTTGTAATATTAATGCTTTGCAAAACAGAGTGGTCATGAGAATTACAGACATGATCACACAAAATGAATTTGCTTGATATTTTATCAACTTCTCCCCACTACTTCTGTAGGAAATGAATAGAGGCAACAAATGAGAATTCAAATTTTGATCTTAGGCCAAGGGTTAAAACGTGCTTGAAAATAGATATCTGTCTTACTCAACGATAAAGCAATTAAAACAGGAAACGCTTAAAAAAACTTTAAAATTTGCGGTACATTTTTCATCCGGGGCTAAGAGTTCTATGAGAAAAAAAGTGTTCAAGTTCTAAAAAAAATGGAGGGACAACTTTGGGTTTGCGAAATTTAACCACTTTGCCTCTCCTAGTCACGGGTTTTTAAGGGAGTTCCGTGGAAAGACAGTTACTCTACTCAAGAGAGTGCTGTATAAAACATTTTTCAATGGAAATCAGTTTCAGGCGACAGAGAAGGGAAATCTGCTTGCAAGATAGAAGCAATGTGTTTTTTTTCTCCTCTGTATCGTTGAGTATAAACTATTATCTTATCTTTATTTTTGAGTATCTTTATTTTCTTATTGTAGTATACAAGTTTGATTACTGACGACCCTCAACTGGCTAATTACAGTGACCTAAATTTATAGATGTAATAACAGGGGCACCCAACGTCAATTTTTGGAAAATACGATTCGAGATCTAGAATTTTCGGAACATTTGTTGTAAAATTTCTTGCTTGCTTACCTTTCCTAGGATTTTCGAACATCTAAAAAAATGGTATAATTGCCCATTTTTAACGGATTTTTACCCTAAAAAGGTCACCTAGAATTTTCGGGAGCCTTTTTTCTGGCTGAAATTTTTCACGAGACTTTCTGCTTGGAAATCCGAACAGATGAAAAATTTTTAGGGGAAAAATACGTTCAACAATGCTATGTTTAAGTGGTTTTGAACTATATTCTCGTTGGGTGCGCCTGTATTAAGAATTATTTAACAAGTCAAAAGAACCCTTAAAGTTCTTGAAATGTATAAGAAATCCTCTTATCCGCTTCCTGTACACCTAAAATATCTTTTAACTTACGTAAAAATATCCCGTCTCCTGTTTTTCGTGCAGCTAATGTCGTATTTTGAGCTCTTTTTTCCGGCGTCTGCATGTGTTGCAGTAGGTAGTTCTTCAGGGTCTTCGGAAGTGTTCGTTTCAACTTCAGAACTAATTCGCTCATGGGTATAGAGTGTTTTCACATGACGTCTCGGCGGCCATATTGGTATCCCCAAACAATAAAACGGCGGCCATGTTGGTGTCCCAAACCAGTCCTGTGGGAGATGAACTCTTTTCTTATGTAAACGTTTTCTTTTGTTCCAATAAATTTGCATAGATGCTGGCCACGTGAGTGAAAACACTCTATGGCAGCTGAAGTTACACCTGTTGCGTGGATTGTTAAAACACCCATTTATCCTGTAACAAGTTTTCTTATCTGCAACATCTGGATTTTTAGCTTTGCGGCAGCTTGAACTTCTAAAACTGTATTCGTTTCTCTGGGAGCGGACAGTCTTGTAGTTTGTTCACCTTGTAGCAGCTGAACATTTCCAAGCATTGCCTGTCTATAAACACTCATTGCTTTGTCGGGTGTCAGCCCAGTCCTCTGGCATTTTCGGCCTGCGCAAGCCTGGACTCTAGTGAAAGCAGCCACGCTGTTGTTACTGCTGAGAGCGGAATCTCTCCACGCGAAGCTTTTCTTGTAACTTTCATTTTATTGTTATAGTATATATTTTTTCCGTTTCGTGCTTGAATTTCCCCCTTTCATGTCTGTAGAATTTCATCACTCGTGACAGTAATGACTTAAAGTAATCAAAAGTAAAAGTCAAAAAATGTTTTTATCGTTAATTTTCCTTTTAATTTGGTTTGGTAGAGCCACATTTACGGGACCGTTCGTATTTCGAACTTTAAAAACAAAGATTTTCCTGGTTTTTGACAATTCAGATTATTTGAGGGAAAGTTAATATTCTATCAGTCTATCACTGAAATTGCTCGAGAATGGTCATTCCCCGCTAGCAGAGGTCCCTCAGAAGAATGGTCAATGCATCAGTTTTTTTGTTTCACGCAAAAATTTAAGGGATGATCACTGTAACTCAGCCATTATACAGTAACTCAATTATTTTCTCTTTTGCGTGGTTGCCTGTTGAGGAAACCTGCCATTTTTTTCTTGGTTTATTCTCTGCAGCTTTATTCAGTAAAAGGGAGTTCGTAAAGCATTTTCGCGATAAAATTCTGTCAGTTTTCCTTAGTGTGGCGGATAATTTATGATCAGGATTGCCTCACTAAGATTTTCTTTTTAACATTCCAAGGCTAATTTTTCTCTGCTCGAGGTCGTTTGTTTTATAAAAATGATAGACCAAGAATACAACTTTTAACAGTCGATTACAATTCTCTGAAGGTTTCGTTTTGGCCAGCCAATGGCTTTTAATTGCGTGACCGTAAAGCAAATCTTGCGGAAGCTTATGGCTCTGCCATTATCACCTAACTCTATGCAAATAACACACAAGACGTCGGTTTGAGAGCAGGGTTCTTTCATGTAAAGCCGCAAATCGCTCTATGTGAGGCTTGTGTGTTACCATGCCAACCTCTGTCTTGTTTAATGCGAAAATTATTACCGGCTGCGAAGCGAATTCGCCGCTAAGGAAAATTTTAAAAGAACCAATTGCAAAGCTAGGAGCCCTTGAAAAGTTGAGCCTAACCATGAAGTCGGAAGACGACACACGAAGTTAATTGATGAGATTATAACATCATCTTACTTCTCTTATACCTTGAAAAGCATTTTCAGTTATGCTAACACACTTCTTCATTTTACAAACTTGTTATATGCGGTACATTTTTACCACAAACAAAAAGTTTAGTTTCTAATTTCGTGCCGCACCAACGCCCGGTGTGAAGTCGTCAATTAAGCTTGTGGCTTACCTCTCTAGCCATTCCATGCCTTTCATTTGTGCTTTCATAATAGATCAATTTCAACACACATGAACTCCAAACATGAATTCTTTTTAAGTTGAGTCGATATCTTTGTTTTTTAGTCTTATTATAGACGTAAATGTATGTACCTCTTGGTAATTAATCAAATTTTTCATCCAAATATCTTTGCAATTTTTTCAGTTTTCGCTGTTCAATGATTTGTTGGTGTTGACACCGAAATAGAAAGTAATTTGTGTTTATCTCCGCGAGAACTTATGGCTTTTTGCAATATCCATGGCGCGTGAATCAATATTTTCTTTGTGAGATTGCTTCAAGCTGCAGTATCCCTAAAGCGAAAGAGTTATTGCAGTATTTATGATTCGCCAAGGCGATATTTCATTAGGAGAATTGAAGCTGTGAATTGTATAACAAGAAAGATCAGGCATAAGAGAAGACAAATTTTAAAATGCTCTTAAATTGTAGGCTTCTTAGTCTTCACTAAGCATCATTTTTCATTCATTTGTATTCATCTTGCGACCAAATGGCTTAATGGCTTGTTTTACGTGGAAATAGCATGTGTGTATGTGTGTTGTTCCGGTAAAAATGACACACTACATTATGGTTCTTGTCATTTCCCCTCGCGACTCTTTTAGTTTTGCTGTAAACAAACCGAGATGGCGCTTTGTATTTTGGTTATGTCTTGAACACCGACGGCATTTTTTTCGGAAATTGCATTCAACAGGCTTACTTTCATGGTGCAAGGTGATAAAGGCCTTCTGACGTCATGACAACCACAAGTGATGTTGAGAACAATCTCTCGCGTGGGCCGTATTTTACTTTTGAGTGTAAATAAATCTTTTTTCAGGGTAAATTATACTAGTTTGATTCTCTCCGGATGTCAACCGATAAAAATTCATTTCGTTTTCTTATTTTACGTTTTGTGATTTTGTAATATTTGTGCTGTTGAATCATGCATGTTTCTTCTTTAATAGAACATGCAAAAGCGTTTTTTCCTCAGAATCGTATTCGAAATTTATTTATCGACGCCGCGGATTCGGTCGCATAAATTCTGCAGAAGGATAGTTTAACTCTTTTTCGAAAATACAAACTAATAATAGAAGCAAAGCTGACAGATATTGTGCGTTTAATTTCGGGAAAGAAAATAAATAATACAAAGTGTCGACAGAGAAGAAATTAAATATTTTGAACGTCAGAGCTAGAAATGTGTGTAATTTGATACAAAATAATAAAGTAAATGCAATAAATTTGTAGTTTTATGGTCGATAAGATTTTTTGAAATATTTCTCGACAATAATAGAAAATTATTTGAATTGCTTTAAGGAAATCAGCGAGAGTGCTTAATATGAATTCAGAAAATATTGCTTTGGAGTTTCCTGTAATGAATTTTTCTAGCCAATCTGGTGAGCGTGTGAACTGCTTAGCCAATCATGTGGCTGCTTGTCGCGTTTGGCGCGATTTTGTGCCTGTCAGGCCGCATTTACCGCCAAAACTCCGGTGTGCCAGTGATAGCTCATGCATATTAATGTAGATATGAATTATTTGTAATATTTTGTATGCAGATTAGTCCCTTGGCAACAGGTGGCCCGACACTGACAAGACCTAGGGATCTCACCGAGAATATACAGCTTCGTTGGACTCGAATTTCCCCGTTCAACAACAGACCCCGCCTACAAAACCCCCCGAATAATAACTCGATATGGCTCGCTAATGAGCGCGACGTCCTGTCTTCACTGTTTACGTCCCCCTTGCTATTCCCTCTCTGTCGGAAATGATTTGAAACTGCTTCTTTACACGAAACTGGTTCGACTGGCCTAGAAAGGCTTTGGGAAATTCGCTTGAAACCCGTTAACCGGTGTGGGAGTTCGGCATTTCATTCAAACACAGATCCGTGGCTTCCGGTTAGAATTGTGAAAATTCTATGAGAACATGTGGGCCGAGAAAAATTGTCATTAGCTACTGTCGACGATTGATCGCGAGATGAAAGTTTCCTGAGATGAATTAAGCTTATCTCGATTCGCAATATCATGCTAGTGGCCGGGATGTGCCGTTTATTTCCAGGGGAATGGCGAATTTCGTAGGAAGAAATGTTGGTGCTGTCAGCGGAAAGCACTGCTGAAAAATGCCGAAATCGTTCTTGATTAAGAAGGGAAAAGAATATGGAAGTCTGCCATCAAACTCCTGCCTCCAAAAAAACTCGACTGTTACCGAAGGTGAGTTCTGTTTCCATTTTTTCCAAAAATTCATTATCAGGTTAAATTTATTTTGAGGGTCTCGAAGCTGTCGATCTTTTATTTTTTTTCAATTTCTGACTGCTTCGTTTTTGCGCCCTGGCCTGGCTGACAGAGAAATTTGTTGATTGTATTCTTGTTTTAGTAACACCTGTTGGTTTTTTGCACTCGCTTACCTTTTCAGGGACCGCGAGTGAGTCGGGAAAATCATCAGCTTCGCAAAACTTGCCACAAAGCAAGCAGAAACGCCGTGAAATTTCTAAAACAGTGAGAGGAAACGCGGAAGAAGCAACTTTGGACGAAAACGGCAATTACGTGGAGGACATAAACGAGAGTCGTTCTGATGGACGCCACAGAGGCGCTGAGAACGCCATTGGCGGTCGAAGCCGGTATGTTTGTGCTGAATGTGGTAAGTCGTATGCCACATCTTCGAATCTCTCTCGACACAAACAGACCCACAGAAGCTTGGACAGCAAGCTCGCCAAACGCTGCGAGCACTGTGGCAAGGCGTATGTCTCAATGCCGGCGTTGGCGATGCATGTTTTAACTCACAAGCTTCTTCATAAGTGCGACGTGTGTGGAAAAGCCTTTAGCCGACCCTGGCTTCTGCAGGGACATATGAGATCTCATACGGGAGAACGGCCGTTCTTGTGCCCTGAATGCAATAAAGCGTTCGCGGATCGTTCGAATCTACGGGCCCACATGCAGACGCACTCGCCGCTGAAACAGTTCAAGTGCGACCGCTGTGATCGAACGTTCGCTTTGAAATCATACCTCAATAAGCACGCAGAATCTGCTTGTGCTCGAGACGTAGCTGTAAGCAAGTAGTATTAGATTCGTCAATTTCTAGAATCCGTGGCATTCAAAGCTAGAGCGGTCACCAAATTGTGTATATGTAGTTAAGGTAGCCTTGTGATCGTGTAATTTTATTGGTCGTATAACCTGTGGAGCTAGCTACCGTTTATCTTGCTTACAAGATGTGCGGAGAAATTGTAGATTTTACAGTGTAAAAAATGCGGTAAGGAGCCAGTAGAAAATCGTACCGGTGAATTTTCGGACGCTTGTCGCCATCAATCTGCTTTAATGTCTTTCTTCACTTGACCACGTCGAGCGTCAAGAGATTTTACCTATTCTTTCTGGGAGAGAAAAAAATATATATTGCCTCTTAAGGTAGGTAGTTCCTGCCGTTTAGCCAAGTAAAATGTGAGATACATTTTCACACAGCTCTAGCGAAAAGTTTATTAGACTCGAAAGCATTGAGCGATGGCTAAAATTGTTTACTCGTCATCCCACCAAGGGCTCGATTTCATTTGAAATCTCACCGAAAATATAAACCAAAATTAATTTGGTACATAGGAAATCCCTTTTGGCTTACCTCGAAGCAGTTGTTTTTCTTTTAGAAACTAATTTTTTTTTTCGTGTTCATAATTCTTCACAAACTTTGACTAATTTTTAGGGGATAAATTCGCTGTTAATTTTGACTTGTTGGTTCAGTTGGATTTTGTATTCTCTAGCCTTAGGTTTTTAATATTTATAAGGGGCCATTTCCTTTACGTTGAAGTGAATAATCTGGCCATGTCGGTAATTTTTACAGCTTTTTAAACATAAATATACAGCTGAAATTTTAGCAAAGGAAAATAATTTTTTTTCTATTTTTCGGGTTGTAGATCGACCCTGCCAACGGCATACAGTCTCACTGCTAGGCAGTTTTTATTCCATAAATTAAAATCCATAATTTATTCCTCCGCTAAAAACCACGTCTTTTGAATAAAGTAATTGTATTGAAAACTTATATACATTTAAGATCTTTGGTGTGCGGTTTTGAAATGATACCATTACACTTGGATTTTAAAAATAACGATTTTTTTTTTCCTTTCGTTTGCCTCGTAAGGACAAAAATGTTAAAATGGTTTAATTCTCAAATGAATTGTCAGTTTAGTTCTTGTAATGAAAAAGATCGATCAGAGCGTGGCAACAAGAGAGTTTCATGTCTGTTTCGTTTTTTATGTTCACCATATTGTCATGTCTGCTGAACGTGATCTGATATTTTAGAGATACCAAAATGCACTTGTTTTGCGTCGAAACCTTATTCCTCGAAATCAAAATGAGGTGCTTATCCGTTTGTTTGAATTTCTGCCAAGTAAATACCTGTTTGATCTGACCATTTATGTTTGTGCAAAAGCCTTACTCGAAAAAAAAAAAACTCTGGTAATTGCTTATTTTCTATGTAATTGGAGAAAATGAAAAATTTTTTTAAAGTGTGTATTACACATGTCTCGCTGTTTTTTCCTCCACATGCCAAGAATTTTTTACGGTTGATAGATAGTTTTGCGTCCTTGCATTCAATTTTTTTTAGATTTTCGTATTTAATTTTGAATTTACTTACGTTCGGAATTCTGCTGAAATAATAACGAGTTACTTCTCTTTTGTTTTAAATTTCCATGTATAATACGTATGGTATACGAAATGTGGCGAATTTCTTTTAAAAGTATTAAATCGTTTAAAATTAACTGTATATTGATTGCAAATATAAGGGAGAGAAACTGATTTTCAGGCCACTGGTCCTTTTAATTATACAACCCTCATGTTTCTTGCTTTTCCTCTTGAAACGCACACATGCTGGTAATGGAAATCTTAATATAAGAAAATAATTAGAAATACGATCGATTTTAACTTCTCCTGTTTGTTCAAGATGGAGTGGGGATATTTCGTATTTACATGTCAGAGTTTTAAGGATAGATAGAGGATATAGTACGCTTGGGTGGTTAATATTCCCTCTTACAGGGCATCTTACAGTTTCACAGATTCAATTTCAAAGAGAACATAACTGCTCCACAGTATTGCCAGTTAGTCTTGCAGCTTAGATATTTAAAAACCAGAAAAATCAAGATTCCTTAGTTTAAAAAGCGTCTATTTTGCCGGTCAGAAACATGCTTCGCCTGCGCTTTGTGTTATACTTCGTATTTCAGTTTTAGTGGAAACTTTTACTCATTTCGTTACAAGGAATGACGCGTATCTTATCAGCAGCAGGACTGTGCAAATGCAAAGAGATAATTTTCGGTATCTATTCCCATGGAGTACCTTAGTTTTAAGACCTGTTTGACGTCACAGGCATATATCTACATATATCACGCTGATTAAATGATCTTTTGTAATGCATTGAGTTTTTGTTGTTCTTCGTAGGTAGCTTCGCACAATTCAAACAATTATTGTATTCCTTTGTTGCGGAATCTTTGATTAAATTGTAAGAGGTGTGCCAGTGTTTCCTGGGTGATTGTAGTGTTTCTCCGTATGGCGCGAAAATTGCCTTGCGGACAGAGTTCCTTTTATTTTGGTTAAAACAACAATCTAAAGTGTTAACGAGCGACAGGTGTCATGCGTGCGAGCGGGGGGAGGGGTGGGTGCCCTTGTGTGTAGCCTGCGTGGCAAGTGCTTCCGCGCGTTTCAACTGTCGGGCCAAGGAACTCGCGCGGTAACGCTTGCTGTGGTGGGACTCGTACCTTTATCTGAACACTTACGCATTTGCAAGTGGGTCATCAAGAATTTCATTTCCTTTTAAACGACTTGCTGACGACCTCAAGCAAAACTGACAACGAGAGAGTGAATGGACAAACCGACAATTTGCCGGAATAACTTTAAAACACAACTGTTATTACTATAACAGAAGACGGATCGAGAGAGTCTTCATGGCCTTAACTGACAGACGACCAGTGAAAACGCGAGTTTATTGACCAATCAGTTCAATAACTAAGGCTTAAGACCAGCAAATGACAAGATACATAGCACTTTAACTCTGAAGATGACGACCGCACAGGTTCGAAAAGTCAGTCACTGTCAACAACAGTCATATTCTGGCAGGGCTACACGCTCCCGAACAATCATATTCCACTTACTTTAGTTGACATGACTCTCTCAACGGTTTGCTTTTGACGCCAGTGAAAGGCTGTGTTGACAGTTTAAAGTCAGAAACTGCCACCCTGTCCATGAAGTTAGGCTAAGAACCATCCCTTTTTGGCTCTACACACTTCTGCTTGCTTACGCATACACCCAGAATAACAAGTGTAGTTTGACTTCCTGTCATGCTCCTTTGAGAAATATCCTTCCATTTTTGCTGGTCACATGCCAGTTTTCAGATAAGTGACAAGTTTTTCAGA